CTTGCGTAAGATCCCCCGCCCCCACAGCCTCATGAAATCCTTTTATGGGTAGAGAAGGAACGTAGGAAGAAAGGTGTGTGTAGAATAGGTCGGAATCGGTCGAAATATTTAGTTTTCAAAAACTATCCTTTTCGGTTATTAAGTTTACGGTGATTAGGATAATTTAAAGCACTGTGGAGCTTGGCAAATCCTATGCAAAATAGCGTAGAAATATTGTAAGAAATTTTCACCAGATAGCAATAATTCAAAGCCTAGTCATGCATGCTTATTGATTTTCAGATAATGACATTTGATAAAGCCCGAAACGAATACTTCAATGCCCCCCCACTATTTTATATGTAACTCCTTTTCTGGTTGCGAGGTGACGGGACAATCTGGTTGAATGTAAGGAGAAGGGGTGGAAACGTGAACTTTGCGCATTAGGGACCCACCATTCGGCAGCTCCAATTGGCTTCCGGTGGGGCGGCTAGGCGGTGTGGTGGTGGGCCAAAACGAATTGGAATTGAACGTCGTCGTCGTTGAGGGAGTTGGCTGGCTTTTGTCACGCGTCTTTTTTGGGAGGTTTAACGGTTTTATGTATTTTTGAGGGGATTGGCTATGAATCAGGCCATCCCTAAGTCTTAAAATCAGGATGGATGCAAAATGCCGTTTTTTAGTTTTTATTTTAAATCAGCTATCTTGCAACGATTATTACCTGGTTTTCTTGTTTTAATTGGGAAAAGCATTCGACAATTGTAATTTGTAGCCTATGGTGGAACAACCACGTGTAAAAATAAAAAATAGGCTTTCGATTTGCTTCCAAGCCAGCTTTCTGATATAGCCTTTCCTACCCAAGTTTCTTTCTTTTCTTTTCTATTTCTTTTAGTTTGAAAGAACTAGCTCTTTTCTTTTCGAAATGTCCTTTTAACTCTATGAACATCTACAAATTCCATTTCCTAGAAAAGGACAATTTCCATTCACCCGGAAACTATTTCTTTTTTAATCCTACCACGAAAATTCGGGGACGACTGGCCCGTCCCATTTTCGGTTGATAATTAGTCGGTCGACCCATACGTGCTTCCCTGTATGCGTGGAGGCCGCCGAATGGAATGGAGGGATGTGGGACCTAGTTGAATTTGATGGAGTCGTGACACGGAAAAGCCCACAACACTCCGCCATTGGCTCGCGATGTAGCGACCCCCATCTGTTCAGCTATCCCCCACACCACCACCACCACCACCAACCAACATCCAAATTAATATTCGACAAGCATCTTGTCTGCCCAATTTCTGACCGCCCAATTCCAAGAAGATCGCCCCCCAACCACCCACCAGTAGTACCTATTTTTCGCCACCACTTCGTGGCAATTCTATTTTTATTTCTTTGCATATTTGAACACCGGACACCAGTATCAATTTCCGGCTTCGAAATCATCAATCTCTTTTTTTGAAAGTCAATATATGCAAGTTTTTTGAGGCTACCCATGCTACTCCGACCGCTTCATTCCACGATTTACACAGCCGTTTTCTCTGGGGACCCATAAATTTCCTTTTTCGAATGTTGCAAGTCTCTTTTTTCGTGTCAACTAGCTTGTTCAAATTTTCATGGAATGGTTTATTTTATGTATTCTCGAAATTGTACGGCCCGGCGCAATCAGAAGGAATTGTTTTTTCAGTTTCAGACTTGTCCGTAAAATCCCAATTTAGTTTTTAAGGGCATTTACTATAACTGTCACATCATTCCAAACTTAGGTCGCTAAACGAAGTCAGCAAAAGCGTTCCAAATCTGAAAAACCCAAAAGTTTCGAAAGAAGAACCAGATTTTGATATGAGTTCGAAGGTAAATCTCGTTAAAATCAGAAATGCTAGAGATCAACATCCCGGAACTTTTTTTCACCGGAACACAGAGTTCGGCCTAACTAGTTTCCACGTCCCTTCCGCCGGAAGTAATTTTGGGCTTTTTGCAAACTCCTGTCTTTTATTTGAACAGCCCTCAGGCTGCTCGCCGATGTATTTTTGGGTCCTTTCCGTTCGAATTTTTCAACTACTTCTCTTTCGAGATACATCTCTTCATTAAAAAGTACATTTTATAGCATGTGACATGCACAATAAGAAAGAACGATGCATCTACGAACCTGGGTGTTCGAATTCGGCGCGGTCGAACGAGCTGCGACCGCCGCCCGTTCGATATGGAGATCCCAGGAGGGACCAGAAAAGGTACGGATTTTGTGGGTGTTTTTTCTGCTTAATGAGCTAGACGCTTTATTGAAATCGGGGAAAATAGGGTTGAGTCAGAAGCGGGAGGTGGGTGGTGATTTGAAACGATTAGACAAAATTCGTAATTTGATTTAGGTTAAACGGGTCATACAGTGCGAGACCGGATCTTCCATCGAGGCATCAGAGCGAGAAGGATTATCTGCAAGAAACGCATCGAAATGATTTGGAGCGAGCAGGAGTCAGTAGAGAGGTAAATATTAAAAAAAATAATTGGCTTTATGCGCGAATGGCTGTGTATAATATTAATAATAAGGTATGATACACAACGATATCTGTGAAATTTTTAGTGTATTCGAAATATTCCTAACGGTCATGCTTTTAAAAAATAGTTTCAGAGGTTAACAGTAGATTTTTTTAAGATGATTAGGATACCACACGTCGTGCCATTATAAATATTTTTTTTTGCAAAATGCAGTATTATTTCTGACATATTTAAAATCCTAATAGTCGTGCTTATAAAAATCATTGGTGAAATTTAAATTATTGATGTGCCCACAAGTTGAGCACGAGCACAATTGTTCAAAAATGACAGCAGAGTTCTGATAAAAATCAGGGTTAGCATGAGATCCCTGTTCGCATAAAACCTAGAAGCCTTAAAAACCAGTTATGGTAAAGGGTCCCATAAGCTAAAGTCCCGTTGCCCTCCACGCACCATTAGTATAGTACACATTATTTTATTATTAGAAGGCATCATAGAAGGGTAACAGGGTGTGGGGATGATGCCCCCTAATCCGGCAGCCGGGAGAAGGCGGGCCACCAGGATGATGGTCAGGTCCCAAGGGGAATTAGCACCGCCATCCATCCTTGCCCCCATCCCACCGTCTTCTCCAAGACTTCTTTTTCTTCTTCTTCTTCTTCTCCCCCCCTTTACTGCAAAAGCCACCGGCCACACCTGATATCTGGCTTCCGGGTCGACCGAACGGCGGTTTCCTTGTTGTCCTAATATACCTTTACCCCACCAAAAAAGGTATGTCCTTTCCGCTGGACATCCGATAACCGAAATGCTGCCCCCCTGCATCTTCCTTGTTGACCCAAAAATAAAAGCCATTAGCTGCCCCTGCCGTCGGCAGCCCGTTTTTGGTGGTTCTCATGCCTTATTAGCGATGCATTGGAAGTTGGCGGGTATACACAACACATCACCCATTACTACTTCCGCTCCTAACAGTCCTGTTTTGATCGCAATCTCAAAAATTAAAAATTGAGGCATAGCCCCTGAAAAAGACCACCCTTTTCGAAGGTTTCAGGATTATTATCCATTCTTAGCCGCAGATTTGCCGGCTTCATTTTTGGGCGATTAGTCAAGGGGGGGGGGTAAACAGAGTTGATGTCGGGGTTGTAAGACCTTCAAAACCCTCCTAGACAAACCACTGAAACCGGTAATAGACGGGGAGTTGTAGTGAAGATCCCTCCCCGGGGCCATTTCCTGCGCCGAAAACCACCTCATAAAATTTTCATCTGACTACTCCGGCTGACTCCACGGCTACCTAACATGCCGATTTTGGGCCCTAATATATCGTGGTGGGGGTTCTCGGAAGGTCGTGTGTCGTGTTGCTAAGGCGATCGGCACGTCCAAATAAATCCCGAACCTATTTGATAAACGAGGTCCCGCCCAATGGGTTCACACCCCGGGCTGGGTGCTGGAGAAGGCGAAAGTCTCAAAGAATTCGATCCTTCCTCCACCAAAATGCCCTTCCCGTTTTTTTACTTATTCTTAGAAACTGGGATGACAGGTGCAATTAGGTAATTATTAAGGGGTAGGGTGGAGGGCCGGTCGGCTTGTACCCAAAACAAAAATAGCCGCGGCTACCCGTGGCAACATCAGGCTCCGTCGAAACCGGGGATAGGTGGTTTTGAGGGTATTGACCTTTCTAAAAACAGATGCAACGTATAAGGGGTCAAGTTTTTGTAGATATTTTTTGATTATTGATTGCTTTCAAATCTTTAGCTGTTTCGCGTCTTTAAAGTTTCATGGGTGATAAGATATTCTGTTCATAAGAATATTTAAAATTCCAACAACTAACCTATTCTAAAAATAGTTGCTACGTCGGTGGGCTAGATTTTGGACATTTTGCGACGATTGATCGCTTTACGAGGGATGACTATAGTTTTTTAGTGTCGGAAAGGCGACATTTTCAAAGTTTAGGTTATCACGGCAGCACAAAATTTCACAACGTTAAAAATTTTAAAAATGCCCCAAGTTGAGCCCTTTTTAATAATATATGTGACCTGGATTGGGTTACATTTTTGCAAGCTTCTTGATTATTGATCGTTTTAATAAACCCCTTAGGTCGTAACACTATAGTTTCACTAGCATCGGCAATGCGCCACGTTTGGTATTTAATCTAGCATAAATAACTATTGTGTTAAAGATGTCTAAAATCCACCAAATTTGCCCCTTTTAGCGACGAAAACGACGACGCGTCCAGGTACCAAATAGTAGTCAACCTTTAGCAGTGCGTACTAGACTCCTTTTCATAGTTCATTGACATCCACCCCACCCAACCATATCAACGACACATTCCAATTAGCGCTAACCCGTGGGTCTCCTCCACATTTTCAGCGTGTTGGTGGGCCCTTCTAAATCGGGGATTGGTTCCCGGGTCCCACCCTCAATTTGACTGGCTAATCTCTCCCCCCGTAGCCTCTTTTCAGCTTCACTGCTCCTACCCGCCTCGTGCGGGGCCCGGGCTCTCTTTTTTTCATAGCTCACACACATATCACATGTGGTAACTTTTTCAGTTCTCGATGACGCTGCTCAAACCGCTGCCCAGCAGCCCGATCTTCTACTATTTTTGCGGGAAATGCCACGTAGCTGTGAGTTTTTCATGAAGGGAATTACCCGAAAAACCCGCCAACCGGCCCGTTCAACCGGATTTAAATTTTTACTATTGATCCGGACCCTCGAAAACCATGTGTACGCAAAGTTTCTTTTAAAAATTTTGTAAAAGCAAGAAATTATCGCTCGAAAAGTAATGTTTTATAAATTTTGATGCGTGTCCTCAACATTTTCTTAAATAGCTTACGGAATTTGGTTAAATCGCGCAAATATGGTGGTTCTAAAAATTTTTTTGATACCCTGTACGGTATATCCAAGTTTATCTGCAATAACATCGCTTTCCGAGGGCCCAACCTTTTTTTCGGGTGGTTAATCCGGATGGGGAGCCCCAAATCTGAACCCTGAAAACAACTTTTCTATTTTCAGACCGTCACGAAAGTAATTTCACTTTTATACCTGCTGGTATACGGCGGATTGATAGCGCTGCTGCTATGCGTCGGGAATGCCACTTCCGGTACGAGCAAATCCAGTCCGAGCGCTAACCGCGGAAATCTATTTTCAGTCATGTTCGCGGCAATGTTTTTCGCCAGTGTGGCCTACTCGACAATTTACGGAGCGTTTAAGGGCAGCAAATTGTGTCTGATACCGTTTCTATTTTTACAGGTGAGTTATAGCGTGGGACCTTGTTTATAGAGTTAGAGAAGGGAGCATGAGAGAAAGAGTTGGGGAACAAGAGAAACAGGGGGAGATCGAGAGAAACGCACTAAGTTAATCATATAATTTCAGGCGATATTGATATTCTACGTATTTTTATTATTGGTGATGTGTTCGTATGCGGCGTTCAACCATGAGAGTTATTTATACCTGCAATTGAAACCACAAGCAATACCGTTCGGTCTTCAACCGGTTACAGGTAATTTTTTTGCTTGCTTGACGAACTCTTAAATTCTGAAGTTTTATTAATACATTACATTACTGATCACGTGCATTCTTTCGACCAACGATCCTAACGAGAGCCATTCTCCCTCAAATGCTCTCACTTTGGACCTGCCCCGCAACCAATTTAACCCGCCCTAATGGCACGTCGACCAAAAAACAACTTAATTCCTCGCGATCAGCCGAAGCGCCAGCGATAGCCATAAAATTGAGGGGGCCACCACCAACACACGGCCCACCATCAGAAACGTCACAATAGGGCCAATTCGAGGGAGGGGGGCCCCCGTGGAGCACTGGGAATTGTTTTCAAAAGCCCGAATCGCGTTCATTAGTGCGGGGGAAACCCGGCTGGTTTAACGGCTATTCATTAGTACAAAAAAGGGTGTACAAAATATTTATTCTTTCCTGGGATTCAAACAATTGATGGCCAAAACATTGGCCTATTTTTAAAATATTAAAATTCATGATTTCGAAATGTAGAATATCGAACCTTTATGATATTGTAATTTTAATGTATCAAAATTTCATACGCTACCAGCGAAATTTCAAGATGTCGATATTATCACCTAGTATTTTGAGGATTTTCCTGGTGCTGTATTCCTGATAAATTTCGACTTATTAAGGTCTAGAACTTTATCTAGAAATCTAGAATTTTATGAAATAAAAATGAACAAAACATCGACGTTACTATGTAACGACAGCTTAATATCGAGCCGAAGTACTCTAGTAATTTCAGTGTTCATCTGCTTATCGGTGCTGTTCGTCATCCTGCTTGTGCCACTCGGCATCTCGGCACACATCGTCTATCTCGACTATGTGTTTATCTCCGAGCTTGATGAGGTGAGGAGTACGGCCCATTGAATATTAACGACTTTTCGGGGGGAGTTGATGTGGATTTGAATTGACTTTTATTATGTCTGGACCAAGGTCAAAAAGGGGATAATATGAGTCATTTTTTGGGTGGTTTGGATTAGGCTGATTATGTTTGTGAGAATAGAAAGCATAACGTATCTACTAGAGATATATTTGCAGGCGTGGGGAATGACCAGAACGTATAGGCTCCATTTTTGAATTTTTGCGAAGCCAGAAAAGACTAAAAGTGAGACTCAATCATTGATTTTTTTTTGCTTACTAAGGGTGGGAAATAGTGAAAGTTTATTTAAATACGAAATATAATATCAAAATTGCATCAAAATCGGCTTGGAAAAAGTCTCTGCTGGCTTGTCTCAAAAACCTACACGATCTCACCATTCCGACCATTTTCAGGTGCTCGACATGGTGAAGGAACTCAACGAAAACATGTCCAAAGACGACCCAAGTCCGCCACACTTCTAGCAACGCCCCGAACTGTTTCCACCGTATCCGCAAAAAAGCCTGCCGCCACTCCGTTCATCTTACCCTCTTCCCCCTTCTACTCTTCTTCCGATGCGGGAATTCCATTGTGTCGCCTGCCATTTGCATGCCCGAAACCGCCCAGCTCTCGAAAAAAGGATTGTGATACAAAAGACGTCCGTACCCGGACCAATGCGTTTCTCTCCTCTGCCTGAGGGTTTTTTTGAGGGGTGGGAGGGACGAGAGCGGCTGAGTTTGAATATAGTATCATTTTGGGGTTCGGCGAGTCGTTATCTGTAATTCTCGAAGTTTGTTAAATTGGTTTGGGGTTTTCTCAACCGTGGAACCATCATAAACCTAAACCGGTATCCAAAAACCGAGGTACCCCCATTTTTGTTTTCAACCATACCCACCAACCGCGGCTCCCAACCGCTTTCCGGGTCAAAATTAGCGGACCGGTGAACTCACCCGAGAGTCTGTCTGTGTGTCTCCACGTCTGTCTGCCTGTCTATGTATGTAGAGGATACTCGAACTGCCAACAAAGTCCTCTAATCCGTGCATAATGCGGGGCGCGCCCGCAGACCCGCAGCACCCAATTGCCATTTTCAGCCCAGCCAGTAGCGAGCAGCCTATACCCAGCTCCCAACCACCATCATTTTCCGCTCGCTGAGCTGTACTAGTACAATCGATCATTTTTAGTATTACGACCCTAGGGGGTCTGGGAAAATGAGGAGGCGAGCGTTTTGCATAAATTCAATATTAGTACTGGTTGCCCGGGATAAGTCTATTAGTGCATCAATTTCGTTTTATCTTGATTTCAAATATTTTTAAAAGCATCAGTGCTTTCTATTTCCCCAGATTTAACTGCGTAATTTGATCTAGCAAAAAAGCCAAAATTAAAGATTTTAATATTCTGTAAAATTCAACAACTTATTTTAAATCAATTCGAAGAATTATTAGCCAACCTACTCAATCTATCTCACCCTAAAAAAGGAAACCGCCAAAGCAAAGTTTCTGTCAATTGGGACCCTTCAAAACGCCAAACACCCCGCGAAAAGTGCTCTCTCGCCCCCTTCCTATCCCAAAAATGTTTGCATAACTGGAGCCAGCTCACTGGTCGCACCTCATTTGTTCCGAGTTCTCTTCTCAATCTCTTATATATCTATTTTACAACGGCACATTCAACATTTTTACGGTTTTGTCTACATGCCCCCCCCTCCTCCACCTTCTCTTTGGCTGTATTTTGAACTGTATCATTTCATGACACTTCGATCTCCCCTTACATCGATTCCAAAGTTCTTTATTTTCCTCTTGTAAGGTATCCCCAATTGTTATTTTTGTGCGGGTTTTACTCTGTTTACGAGTGATTCAATTTAGAAAATAAAGTTTTTGATCAGAATTCACATTACCCCATTTTAAGGACGAATAATGATGCCAGAAAAAAAAATAAAAATCCTAACTTCAGGATTGACAAGCAACTTTGCATTTGTAATTGTCCTTTTCAAGAAAATTACAGAACCTCGTTTTATGATCAAAATTACCTAAATTCTAGCACCCTCATGGATTAGAATGGTAGAAATGCATGCTCTACTAATCGTCGGAGCTTCATTTTTCGTGCTAGCAAATGGTTTGTAGTTATACTCAAAATAAAAATCAAATTGTTTTAGCTGCCGCAATAATCACTGCTGATTCAAGTTTGACAAGCGATCAATTAATTCCAATCGAAAGGGAACGGTCTGAAACACCAGGTTGGTAGGATAAACTACTCGAGAATCAAGCCTTAAAACCCTAAGGAATTCTTGCAAAATATAAAAAATGTCCTTAACCCACAGCCCATAACCTTTTATTTTCAGAACAAGTTTTCCTCCGCCTTGATCGCAATGAAGATAACCACATCACTTTCTCCGAGTTTCTCAGAACCGATAAAGAATATGTGGCCCGAAAAATGAAGGAATACTTGGAAGCAGACATTAATGGTAGGTTTTCCCGATTGTTACTTAATCGGTTTGTGATTCAGGTGACAATGTAATCGATTTTGAGGAGTTTATTCAATCCGAAAAAGCTGTAAAAACTTTGGAAAAGGCGAAGAAGGCAAAAGAAATTGCCGCCCAACGGGAAGCAGAGGGGGAGGATTATGAGGATGAAGGTGATTAGTTTGATCTTCACAAGGAAATTGATTAAGAGGAAGAATCTGAAGAAAATCAATCGCAAGAACCCGAGCAAACGGGGTCTCAAGAGGAGGATGTGGAAGTTACCGAATCCCCACTTGATGCTGCTAAAATGTTGGCATTGAAAAGATCTAGTCAGGATCATTTCAAGGTAAATTAACTTTCCCTTTTTTGACGTTTTTTTTCAGATTTATGACCAAGATCGTGATGGTTTGCTAAACGAGACCGAAATGGTGGAGATGGTTCAAGATTATCTTGAAAGCGTTTTACTTGTTAAACCCAAAAAGCTATTAAATATCTATGATCGAAACAACAATGGCGGGTTAGAGCCACGAGGTACCTGGTTTTCTGTCCCAAAATAAGGTTGGTGTTAGAAATGTGGCAACTAGAAAAGGATATGCCGATCGAATTGATTGAGCCGTATCTAGAAACCGATGGCCGACTTCATGATGAAGTGTTTGTCACCAATTTCTATCGTATTTTTTTTTGTATTTAGGCTTACTGACGACGAGCTTGACGAATTGGATCTCTCCGACGCCGAGAAGAACTACATAATTTTTCGAAAAAACCGACGGAAATCAGAAAATGACGAGTTCTATGTGGAGGGCATGGAAGAATATATTTAGTGGGGATTTCAATAAAGGTCACGAGATTAGACGAGAGTTGCGATGATGGGACGCACAACAACAAACAAACTAATAGGATCAGATCTGGGGGCTGCGAATGCACTTGTTGCGGCACATTTAAGGAAGATGACGAAATTACGTAGGTATTGAGGGATCGCAAAAAAGTATAACCTCTTATATTTTTTCGGGATTTGAAAACCAAACGGTTTTGATGAAGCAAAAATATCATTTACTATTAGATTCAACAAAAAAAATAGAAACAGGAAAACAGTATGCTTAAAATATGGAAATCTTGGATGCATTTTCCGGGGGAAAATGCCCTGAAGGGCCGATCGATGAATGATGGTGGTTCCTTGGAAAGGGGATGTGGGCACATAGTACCATTGTGGACTGTGCGAATCGAGAGGGTCGAATTGAACGAAGGAGTCGGACTCCTTCTTCTGCACGCCCCACAAAACATTCCCCCACCAGTGATAAACCCCAAGCTGGAGCTCTAAAAAGCTTGTGCCCCCATATCTGATATTTGCACGTGCCTGCTTTGCCAAAATTTCACATCTTATATGGCATTTGAAAACTTATTTAGGGGGGTTGATACCTCATATTTCATTCCAGGCTGTGATACCTAATACCAAGTCAAGTAAAGTACTTCAAATCAGAATTGAGCCCACATACTTTCCCACTCGCCCCACATCAACCCATCATCATTATCCCCGGTTCTCGCACTATATCACTCAACACCCCCTCTTCTACCATCCACTTCCAGCATCTATCCTCCCCTTCCCCTCTTCCTGCTCCTCCTCCTCCTCTTTCTCTTCATTCTCAATCCTTCTTCTACCCCCGATTTTCCCATCAATGATTTCTCGGGGCGTTGGCGCCGGCTGCTGGCGACAGCGATGATCAGCCAGCCTTCCTCCCACCACCAAATACGCCACACAGCCAACCCCCTACACACGCACACTGATTACGATCGCTTTTTATCGCCGGCGCCTGATTGAGGGTTCTTTTTTTGTCATCGCTTTAGTCGGACTTCGTAGGTGGTCTTTCTCGATTTTGTTGCGTGAAGAAGCCACTGGTTTCTCTTTTTCGGTTGCTTCCGGGTGGTTTCGTTATCGGTTATTTTGTGTTCGATGCAGAATCGATTATTTATTTTGTTTTATAAAGATTCCCTTTTGAAGTGGGCTCGGAAAAGCTATCAGCGTTGCATTAAAGATAATTATTTTTGTTTTTAGGATCAGAAGTCGGAAACAGTGTCTGTTTTAAAGTCATAAAAGCCTGAAATTCTTTTTGTTAGATGGGTTTTAGCAGACTCTATCCAAGTTCTTTTCTATATATTACATTCTTAAGGTCTTTTAGCTTACTAAGCTACATCCAATTTTTCCTCCAACGGACCTGATCATATCAGCTTGCCAATTTTCTCAAAATTGACATCGAACGTCCAAATTTCCTGCTAAATCCCATTCAATATTCCTCCCTCCATTATGATTTACGTGGCGATAATCGATTGTGCAGATTAGACGTTCTTTGGAGAATCTTCCTTCCTTCCTCCCTTCCTTCCTTCATTCCTTCCTTCCCACCCAATCACTTCGAAAAGTGCTCCTCCACCTCTTGCTCCTCTTTTGCTATCTCGCCCTGTGGCGACGGACAACATATCCGACACATCTTTCCACTCTGTTGGCTCTCCTCCAGATTTGGCCTTGAATCCGCCCCTCCCTCCCCCTCTCCGCGGTCCGCGCCCATATCAATCGGCACGCGTCTCCGCGGGGCAAAAAACCGCACCCCAGTAATAACAATTTAACTGATCCTCCTCCATTCGTATCGACCTGTGCTCCCGGAGATCCCGAGATTCACACGATCACCCGCCGTCTCGAGTTTCCAAATTACGCTTGTCGTTTATTCGTTCGTTAGTCGTTACTGTATCCCATCTCCTTCTCTACAATCTTCCCTTTCTATCGACGTTGATTGATTAGCCGGTCGTGGGCGGTTGATAAAATTTTTTCAGATAACTGATACCTTTAGGGAATTGAGATAAAGCGATTCGTAGCTTTTTGGGGCTATTGACCGTTTCCGGTTGGGGAACAAACGGCTGTCATTTTCCCAACGAGTTAATATAGTTTCTGCCTCTCAAACCTCATCCTTAATGTTACAATCTTGCATTTCCAAAATTGCTTTTTATTACCCTAACCATCACACAAGAGCAGCCCCCAAATTTAATCTGCACTGCCGATCTACTGTTTCTGAAAAAAAACACACGAAGAGCAGTTTAAAGTGATCGGCCCATACAGTCTCTGCATCATTTTCACATAGCTTTTTGTCCTGTAAATTTATGGGTCGTTTTTGATACAAAAGCTATGGTGCGAAACGGGAGTGGCAGACATTTTGTCGAGCTCCTTAGGGTAGCCTGCTCGAGCTTTAGCAGATTTTTAAATTATTTTTAAACGCTTTAGATATCGCTCGTGTGCGGGTAAATACCGCTGAGTGCCGTATTTACTCTGATATTGGCCACTCCTGTCAAAATCTGTCAAAATTAGATTAATAATTAAATAACGTGGAATAGTGATGCTTCTCGGCCATCAAAAGCGGCTTAAGGTCCTTGGAAGGTGTGAAAACCGATGGGTTTGGTTAAAATCAATCCATTTTGGGTTTCGCTTACTTTATAATCGGCTTTAATAAAATGTTCCGTCGGATCTGTTGAAAAATGGAAGCCTTACGGTTATCATGACGGAAATACAATAATTCATGGCTCTTTCTCTCTAGGCCCCAACCCAAAGCCCATTTCACCAGCAACCTAATCCAAAGCTGATAAATCACACCGCGGCGCACTGTCGCTTAATTGTGGGTGTATTTGGGGCACGGCCGATGGCAATGGTGGATAGAGAGGCAAAAGGAGGGGGGACGATGTTAGCGTGACACACCCGGATGAACGCGTCTTCTTCCAACCCATTACATTCCTGCCTTCCCGAGCACCGCCCAGGGATTTCCATCCTTCCATCCTCCATCCATTCCTCAATCCACAACTCGTTTGATCTTTGTTACTTCGCGGTTGCTCCCGTTCTCTCATCGTTTTTGCCGTCTTTTGCGGTGGAGCGGCAACATTTTGCTAAATGCACCCCCCCGCACACTGGAATCGGCCTTAATTTTAATCCGGGTTGGGTGGGAGTGGTTGGAGGGTTCGCAGGGGGTTTCGGGTTATTTTTGCAACTAGGGTCGGCTTTCTGGGAAGATCAGGAACTTCCAGTTCTTTGAGTGGGTGAAGTTCCTACTTGACAGACCAGTAGCATAGTTTGCTTCGAAAATTCATTACGTTCTGTAGCAGAATCTGTCATCGACTCGAAAGTCAACATCTCTTAAAAATACCTATTTGCAAGTGCCTTGGGAGTACACCATTTCGATTCATTTTTTCCAGAATTCTTGATTGTCATGCTTACGATAAGAAACCCCTACGGTAATTTCGAGGTCACGGATTTTCGAAACATCACATTTTCCAGGGATTCGGCTTTCGTGCAATTTAACCCTCAAGTTAATCAACATTTGACACGTTAATTTTCGATCTCTCGTTTTTCAATTTGTTGATTTTCGAGATCGTGATTGTTAATGATGCTATGTATCGTTCTATCAAAAGGAAGTTTTAACTTTGGCGATTAATTTAAACTTACGAGTATAATAACGCTTTAGGGCACTCCAGAGTTGGAAACTATGTAGATGAGTGCCGAGCAGCCGTCCACATCACAGGCTTCACCCGGGGGGGTTGACGGTGGACGTGGAGGAGCAGCCGGTGGCCGATGACCTGGTGACGAAAGTGAGGGCGTCATCGTGATATGATGCCACTTGCACGGCAGCCAGAGAAAGAGAGAGACAGACAATCAGATTTCCTGCAAACATACAGACCGACAGACAGTCTGGCTCGTGGCATGATTGAGAGTTTGAACTCGCGGATATGCAACTTTTAAATTGTAGATCAGAAATTATAATAGCATGAAAGTAGGCGACTCTGATTTAGTTTGAGCACCTATCCACAAACCCCCGTTTAAAAAAGGCACATTATTGTTATACTACGTTCTTATTTTAGGCGCACTCCGGGCCAGCCATTCTGACCAATGACGCGCCAAAAGGCCTTCCTCCATTGCCCCCATTCAGTCACTCATGGTCAGGGGGCACATTCCCTAGAAGGGCTAAGGAGAAGCCACCCAGAAAACATAGCATGGTGGGTTCTAGTTTCGATTGGAGCAACAAAAATGTGCATTGGCCGCACAAAAAAAGCCGATAGGGAGAATTCAAATACAAATTTGCAAATTAGATGTTAAGACGTTAGGCTTTTGTGACGGTATGCTTATCTCTAGACCCGACAACCCTCTCCCCTTGCTGTCGAGCGGCGGATGAGCCCATCTGGCGGAATATGGTCGGAGCCATCCGATGAAGTGACACCAGATGATTTGGAAAAGGAGCCACCGGTGGGTAACGGATATTGCTTTTTCAATTAGCGCAATCACCCGCACTGAAAATAGCTTCGCGGTTTTTGCCGTTACCCTGGTCCTGGTACATGCTAATTGTTTTCGAACGACGAGGTAACCGTCATTTTTGCAAGAACCCAAATTAATGGCGAAAATCATATTTTCGATTGTAGCCCATTCTACGCACAATGACGTTTCTCCCATTTACAAAAAAGGATCCCTAAGGCTCTAGGGGTGAAAAAATATTTGGAAATATTCATGCAAATGCACATGAACGGTGTTTTTTATCTATAGAGTTCATTCGATAATCCAACCCACTTTAGGAAGAGAAACAAGAAAGAAGTTGTCATCCTCGACGTGAATCAAGCAGTTACTCGATGGAATTTGGACCAGAAAATGATGCCGATGATGAAGAAGATAATCGAACTCGAGATATGGTATCCTATTTTACGATCTTCTTTGAATTCATAAATCATTAGGATGAAGACGATGAGCTCAACCTCCCCAGCCTTCCTTGCTTCTCCCCAATAGCAAGCCCACTTTTTGCACCAAAGTACAAACATTCTGCACAGATGAGGTTAGCTGACGCTCTTCTCTTCTTTCGTAACCGAATATCATATGGGATTTGTTTAGTGATGATGGGTCAATGACGACGTTATCTGAATCTATCATCTCGTTCGGGCGCCGCCACGGCGACCTGACACTAGACGATTCTTGCTTTGATCTGCTCAATACGTCCGCCGAAAATTCCCCCGTCAACACCCCTATTGAAAAGGCAAATTCCGCTTTTCTTTTCAAGAGACCAACCATTTTTCTAGGTGTTCCCCCGCAACAGCACCCAGGAATTTTTCCCAAGGAAACCTTCGGTTCCAGAGCCTCAACTAAACCCAAATGTGATGGAGGTCAGCCAGCAACTATCCGCGTACGATATGCTTTTCAGTTAAAAGAGAACGATTTTCGAAAACGCTCTGCATCGGCCTGCATCCCAAGGAGTGATACAGCATCTACCATTAATGAGCCGAGCCCAAAACAGCGACCGCCCGAGCGATCACTCCGGAAAGTCAGCGTTAAAACGAAGCGCCCAGCTTCGTTATCATCGGAAATGTACGGAACACCTCCCTTCATTAAAGAATTTCTTTTAGAACCCTCCTATCAAGAGAACAACCGGTGGTGTTTACACTGGAGCCCTCAACATCTGCAAAAGATGAAAAGGAAAACGAGTAAGCTGGATTATCTACTGTAAATTCAGACATTTAGACCATCCACTGAAACCTCTTCTTCTGCGACAAGCCTTGCCGAGCGAAAAAAGTCGATTCGAAAGCCATCATTTGAAACGATGCATCCGCTGCTGCCAAAAGGAAAACTGTCACGACCATTGCAGTCGATTCCGGCCCAGAGTGTCATGGAAAAGCCGGCACCCATAACACCGCCTGACATTATGGAGGTTGCTGATTCAACCGACTATTCATTCTTTTTTTCAGAGATTTATCTGGGACCACCCACTACCGGGACGTCAGGTTGGAGACCTACGGGTCGTCGAAACATTACGAGTAAAAGTTTTATCGATGAGAGGTCTCCGCGGCTCCTCGTCCCAAAAGCCCGTCTATATCCTCGGCAAATTAGATAGCAAAGATATATTCCAATCCGCCGCCATTGCCAAAGCTGATAGGTAATATTCAAAGCCAGAAACATGTCGTTAGCATTTTCAGCGAAGACATGTTGGAAGAATTTACCTACGACGTCTCGATCCCGTTCAATCATTTACATCTCGTTGCTGTAGAAGCCGGGAAGATCGGGAAACCAGCACGACCAATCGGGCGTGTGTCTGTGAAACGGAAAGATTTGATGAAAGTGGCTGGGAGAGACCAGGTACGCTATAGAGGTATATTTTGGCTTCATTCCAAAGGCTAGTAAGGCTTTTGCAAAACATAGACATTAGCTTTTTAAGCGGGGGTTGAAGGGCTGGTAAACACTTGACAGCCAGGGGGCTCGAATTCTCTATTACTGACGATTGTTTAGTTCTACCCTCTTCGAGTGGTCAGCAAATTCTCCGATGTACAGGGACAGATTTGCGTCGACATACGCCGGATGAGCTCGAGTTTTTCGATACGGTAGGTACAAAAATTAAAAAAACAATATGAGTTGCCGAAAGTCAATGAGAGTGTGGCTTGTTGTTGGCTAATCTCAAAATTCCGCGCTGGTCCGGAATTTTATTAGTACGAAATTTTAATACCAACGTCATGACAATAACTGTCATCAAATCAAAAAGAGTTGACGAGTATAAAGCTAACATCTGGTTCCAATATTGCTCAAATCTAAACAGATCTCGGGTGGTCTCTGTTGGGTCCGGGGCATCTGGGTACTTGACTCTCCTTTTCGTTGTGTGTAGACCAAGGGGAGCCCACCCCATCGGTCCTTTCATTCCCAACTGACGCCGTTCCGGAACAACCCCATCTTTTATCACAAAAAGCCCGAATTTCACCGTTATCGGCGGCTGAATGCACGGCTCGTCGACTGGTACACAAAAATTCTGATCAAATTCATTTTTCGCAGATTTTTTGGGTGCTCCGGCTGCCGGCTCGACATTCCTTTCATATAGCGATCCAAACTATATTTTTTTCTACAAGAAAATAATTTTTTCTGAACGTATTTTTTTAACTAAAGCCCGTCCCTACTTGATTAGTATGAAGCGACAAACACAAACATTCGCTAGTAGCTGCAAACAACCAAGCTTATCGTACGCCCCCAAATGTTTTGTCTGAGTCTTCATTTCTGGTGCTCACAGATTCCAAGCCTTCCGGTTCCCTTTATCACCAGGTTTTGCAACGGAGGCGCCCGCATTTCCCTCGCCCCAAATCCCTACGAATAGTTCAGCCAAGTATGCGGGTAACTTGTCTTTTATTGCCTCTGCTCTGTGTGCAACTATTTCGTTTCCGCCCCGCAGTGACCCGCTCGCTGGTTTTATGACCCTTCGACACCCTTGGGCATCAAAGACCGTTTTCTTAGAAAGTGCGGAATGTTGAAAAGGATTGGAATAAGTTTTGAGCAAAATTTGCGCAACTACGATACAAAATTAGCAAAGAATTAGAAAATTAACATAGCCCATCACTTTATGCATTCCTGCACGCTGCAAAATTAACATAATTTCGTTTTTCAATTATCCATATTTCAAGCAACGTTTCTAAGCTAAATTTTTTTTATGCTAAGCCACGCCTAGCAGCTAAACCTATCGCCGCACCCAACATTACTCTAAATCGAACCTCGATAGTCACAAGCAATTCATTAATCATTTACTACCTAGCCACCACCCCAAAATTCCTGTGAAATGTACAGTCACTATGAAAACATCTATACTAGCCGCCTCATCTGCCTTCCCAGACCCCCCTCCCACCACCGCTTCCCGCCGCTTAATTTGTCATGGGCGGCCGAGAATCGTAAAATCGGACTAAGATGCTGCTTTCTTTCACCATACAGCTGGTCTTGCAGTCTCAAAAAACAGCCCCTTCCACGAGCCTGAATGCCGATCATAGCTTCGTGTTGCACAACAAAAAATTGCATAACGCAAACTTTTACGGATGACTTTTCAAGGTGATTCATAGCGGGCGGCCTTCTAAGATTTGTAGTGGGATTATCACGCTGCCATAAACCATGGGGTCCTATTAAAAACCTAAAATGTATTCGCCCACTAAACCTTCCGTATTGCTTTTCATAAACTGGATATTGAAAGGCCTTTTGATTCTGTGTCTAAATATCCAAAGAAGGTCAATCTCCTAATGAGAGTTTTGCCCCTTTGGTGTTTCGGCGTCAAAGACAACATTGGCCACAGGAATTTCACCCTTTCCTAAATTCCGACGGTAGTGGGGGAGGGTCGAGGAAATTGCTTTCTGTGTTCTCAGAGGGTAATCCCTCCTTGGTCCGATGAGCTGACACGAAAGGTTTTTTGCCCTAGTCGTGGAGGGAGGAGGCTGAACGGGGTTATTATCTGTCCTCGCAAACAATAGTTCGTATACCGTAGTGGTTCTTTCGCAACTTTTGCTGGTTCGGCCCGCTACGGTCATTACCGCGATGTCCATTTTGCCAAGGCCAAATTTAGTTGGGGCTGCTGTGCCCCCGGCCTATTCAAGGCTGTATTATGCAAATGACCCCCCCCCCATATCGTCCGCCCAGCGGGTTTGCTTATTGATCTTTTGCGCTGCGATTGGTACACACCCTTTATTCCGTCTTTCACTTTTTATCAAGATCTTTTTTCAATTCCCCCGGAAACTAATCATCCCTTGGCGATTCGCCATGCAAACAGCGTAAAAGCGCCCATTCCGGAAATGGCTAGTGTTCTGCTACGCATCGTTGATTCCTTCCGGTGCCCGTTGGTTCCCACCACACGTGTTTATGCAAATAAAAAAATTCACCTCGACTGGAGGGCGCCCCCGGAAATGGGCTATCACTTTGTGCTTGGGCGACGGAGCGGAAAAATGTTAGATAGGTTGTACGGAACCGGTGGTCGGATCGCATGGCCGGTTTGGGGAGAGTGGATTGTTAACGGAGGGGCTTTATGATAATTCCATAATTTTTTACATTATTCAGGGTCATTTAAAATCCCGCGAACTAACATTTCCCGGCCACCTTAAGATTTCCTCTTTCTTGTTGAGCCCGAATGACGAACAGGGAGCAAGCCACGAGCGGGGCGCCTCGGATTACCAAAGCGAGGAAAATGGGTCCCATACCTCATTGTCAGCAACAGTCAGCAAATCCACAGCATATGATTCAACAAGCCGTCCAGATCTACCGTAGGGGGTCTTAAAGCTGGATAAGACGACAGTTTTTTTGTAGCCTCGGTGGGATTGTCCTGAAGACGCAGCCATTTTGTTTTGGTGAAAGTGGTTAGAATCTTTTTCTATTTTGGGAAAACTCAGCGCTTCTTTAGTTACTGGAAATTCTTCAAAAGCAATTGCTCAATTCTCCAAGTCGGTTACACTTTATAGTCTACTCCCGATCATTTATCTTTAGAGACAATTCTCTTCCTGTGAAGGGCTTAAAGAGTCCCCCCCCCACTATGCCCACTATTTACCCGGCACCCTCCTTAAAAATGATGCCCCCCGAGTTGGGCCCTTTTTGAGCCCAACCCAGGATTCATTGAGAAAGGCGCTGAGTCAGCTGTGTCCTGGGATCTTGTCAACTGCCCCTTTGCCAGTCCATTCAAAAACCTTTCCACCTTCTCCCTCCTACCCAACCATTTCTTTATGTCGCTTTTATGCAATATGCCGAATTTTCCATTGCGTTTCTGTAGTTGTCCCAAGTAAATTGGCTTTCCCCGATCAAAAGAAGATCCTAATTATGAAGCTCCCTGACATTTCGAGGTGCAAGGCGATGCCCTCCTTCCTAAATTTTCTAGTTCCTGACAAAACTTATTAAAAATCCATTTTTCAGCGTTGTCGACTACAGCGATCTGAACGTCAAAGACGCCACCGAATTGTACCTGCACGTCAAGTTAGTTTGCAAGCAGCAACTTTAAAACTTTGCCAATCTGTCATGGACTAGCCTCAACAATTTTCCGGAAAGAAAATAAGACGTGTGTCCAAAACAGCGCCCCAACATTTGATTAAAATGACAAATGCCGATCAGAGCATACCTTCCCACAAAGTTCTCTTTTGCAATTTTCGAAGCAAATCCCACATTTTTGCGGATGTCTGTTGACTAGAAAAAGCGCTTTTGAACGAACTGTGAGTTCTCACGGTTTTGGTCAAGTTAAGGGCCGGGCCGTGGGATTATGACACATCGGGAATGTTGATTAGCAGAGTTAGTAAAATAGGATAAGGCAGGGGCTTTTTTTTTGGAGATTCAGGAAAAGGAGCTGATTTGGTATTTAGGTGCGGGGACGGGGCGAAGGAGGCCAAACGGCTCCGGATCGGAACGGCCGGGGAATTGCAGATGGACTGTCCGCGTGAAGGGCCACTTTCGATTAAGGTTTGTGTTAACATAGTCATGTACTTTCGACTTAATTCGTTACCTTCCAAAAGAAGCAAAATAACAATTGTATATTGCCCGCACCGAACCAAATGCGGCAAAAACAGAATATCGTTTCAGATGTCACTTTGGCATGAACTGCTGAAAGGGTTGAACAACGTGTTCCACGGCCAGGTCCGAGTCGAGGTCGATGATCGCTGGAGTAACGGCTCGAAATGGTTTTATCTCCGTCCCAAGCAGTCCGACAACGATAAGGTGAGTGATAATATTCTAGCGATGTATTCCCCTATGAACTAGAAGAACGGTCCTTCAAATCCTCATGCACAACCCCGACGTATCGTTTCGCTCGTAAAAATAACGTCCCTTGACCTCATTACATGAGCTCGAACTACCCCCCTCCACCTCTGGCTTAAGGCCATTATGACAAGCGGCTTCCCTCAACTTTCCGCCTGACTTCCGGTCCGCACTGATGGGCCCAATGTCCCATCCTTTTTACGCGCCGTTTTTCACCCATTGGACAGCCCGGGTCATCACCCTCTCCCCGCCTCCCATCCCGCAACGGCACAGCTGGCCTTTGCGTCAAAATATTTTCAATGTTTAGAGAAATTAAGCCCACCCAGGTGGGGGATATCATGGGTTAGATTGGAATGACTTTGAGAAATCGCTTTGTTTGAATCTAGGTAGGGGGCAATCACGTGGAGTGGTTTATACACTAGCCGTGTTATTCAAGAAAAAAAGTTTCGATACCTTCCAATCCATTTACTTTGGATTTTTGATTTCGTGAATGCCCTTTTCTAAAAATAAATCAATAATCCATAAAAATTGTTGATACCTTAATGCGGATCATTCGAATATGCTGAGCACATTTGCATCGGAAAATAGCCCCTTTTTACTACCATGCCTCCACATTTACGTAGTCATTTTTCAGGAGCATCGTTTAGTTATCTTGCGAAATGGTGTTAATTTACATCTATAAAATTTTATTCTGCTTAATCGAATTCAAAATTTAAAGGAATCTTGAATTTTCTTTATTATTTTTACTATCCTATCCACTTCCCGTCCAAGGACGTTTTCGCTATACCCAAAAACACATTCAGAACACCTAACCGATCTATTTTCGTGGTCATTCCCAGCCGGAAGTTAGAGGGGGCGTTAAAGCCTTGACCAACTAGGCGCCGCTGTGCCAGAAGGCCAGAAGAGTGGGTGGTGGCTTTGGGGTCCCCTTTGTAGCAATGTGAGGGCGTCTCCGGGCAATTTGGGACGAATTCAATTCGAGCATTCAATTCGAGCTCTCATCCTCCCCTCCCTACGGCTCCAAAAGCCATGGCCCTCCATATCTTCCTCTTCTCATCCTCATCCGGGACATCAGACCCCCCACCCTAGAATTCCCGGAATCACCCTCCCACTCCAACAAAAAACCCCCAAGGCTCCATGAAAATTGCTCACCCATGGAAAGGGCAAACGATATACTGTGTGTACACTTTTCCCTATTTACGCCCTCGCCCACCACCCCCGGAACCCCCGGATTTTTGGCGCCTTCGTCGAGCGCCTAGTCAAAACACGGGCACGCATTTATGTTCGGAATATTCACGGCCGAACGCGCACCCCGAAAATCCACCCGATTTAGGGGCATAAAGCGAAAAAAAAGCTGTTGAGCTGTTTGGGAGTGTTCCCACCGTTGATGGGCCCCCTTCGCAGAAATTGCAGAAATCTTCGGGGATCGTTGCCCGATTGTTCCCTTCGCGTCAAATCCAGACATTCGGCGAAATTTGATTCCTGTCCCCTTCTCGATAGCTGATCAAGTTTTGTTGCTCCCGGCCTTCGGAACGAGGTCAGACGATGCCGCAGTTCTTTCAATGTTCCGTGTTTGTTCTTTGTTAGGGCGTTTCAAAGCCAAAAACGAGAGAATCGGAAAGGGGAGGCTTTTGGTCGGGAAGGGGTGGGGGCAATGTTGGCCCTTCGGCTTCTGCGTGCGCAATTGTCCACTTAGACTAAATGGTTGCGTCGCAATGCCCTCTGCTATGTCTCGATTCAGTTAGAGGGTAGGGGGAAAGGGGCTGAAGAGCATGGTTTTTGGAACAGCTTAATAGGATATTCGTTGGCCCGGATCGGCTCAGCAGCAGCTGAGAGGAACGAAAAAATAGATATACCACTTCCGGACCGGCATTCTAATCCGGAAATAGGTATCAGATATCTAGTTTTTCATCCAGTTTTTCAGGACATTTCTCTGAAATCGGATTTTGCTGTTAGAGTGTCTAAGTTAGGCTTGCAGCAGAGTTTTCTCCATCCCAAAATATTCGTGTTAAACTGGCCGGTCCAACTTCCGTAACTTGTCCTCCTTCCGTCACTTTTTTTAGCTGCGGCTAGCAACTGGCAGTCGCCAAACGCTTTTTCTCGGCTCCTCCCCAAACGTTAGCCGTTTTTTAGCAGGCGGGGTGAAACCAATCACCTCACCTCTCTGCTGGGCCCCCCTTTCCGGCATTCCCGCTAATCGGCCATTCAGCTCGTGCTCAATCGTAGATCGCCCTTTTCAACTTTTGGCTAGAGACCCAAACTATTAGAGGCGCGGCGATGTTTTCGGGGGCCACATGAAATTCCGAAACGCGACGCCGATGGGAAAAAGTAGAAGAATGGAGAAGGGGTGGTGGATGTGGGGGGCGGGTATAAAAAGGGTGGAAAGAAGGTGTGTATGGCAGGGGGGAGGGAGGCATTCATTTAGGGAACACCCCGCACTCGCCCTGAAATTCAAGCCTTCATGGCTAGGGGATAAGGCCCACCCCGATGGGGGAGTCCGTCTCACACAACTGCCACAGGACAGCCACATAATAAATTGTTGCCAACTTGGTCTTGAGCGGGGGATTGGGAGGTCTTGGTTGAGGTTCATTAGGTTTTGGGGGTTGTAGCATAGATAGGAATTCTTCTGGTTTCGATAAATTGCAAAATGTTTTTTTTGTGCACATTCTCTTGCTCATAGTATTTGCTATGGCGGAAGTGATAAAAGTAGCAGGGCGCCGGAAATAGGGGGCCCCGCCCACATCTTTTTGGTCTGCGATGGGTAGGATAGGTTTCAAAATGTCGCCTAGCTCTGCTTTGGAGTCTATTTTTGATCTGTTGCTAGCAGCTGAGACCAAGATTTCGCAAAACTCACATAATTCCCGTGGCCCCGTTTAACCATAATACCCGGAAGCGCAAAACTAAGAACTCGCTTCAACTCCAGTGCAAGTATCTCCATTTTCTGTTCAAACGAACAGTAGACATTGCCTGGTGCAGTGATCAGACACTTGAGAAGGTGTCCACATCGTTTCTCGTCTACCTCCTTCTCCTACTTCCACCATTTCCCCTCCGTTCATCCTTGCTCTCATTCACCAGCTTTTCCTCCTCTTTCTTTTCCAACCCACACATTGTGTGCACATGGCCCCGTTGACTTTTGTGTGCGTAAGCAAGCCGCGAACAAAGTTATTGCACGAACGAGACCGCTGTGGATTCCGCCACAGATGTATTGCCCTCATTCTAAGCTTTTTGCCGTGATCTTTGAAGGTTGTGGGTTTAAAGGGACGGGGAAGTCAGTCCTGTGCGCCCAAACTCTAGCGTTCCCAATAGGTCTGCACTAAAAATCTTTCCGATTTGACTGTGATCATGCATACAGGCCCGTTCCTTTCCCCGGAGTTGTGTTGAGTTGTACCTGATCTACCCGTTTTCAATAACCTAATCCTATCTAGTTCGCTCTTCTCGCCAACCGCCCGGTGGTCAAATTATCCAATTTACCCCCTTGGGACCTTTCAGCACAAATTTTTGACATGCACGTCACAACTTTTGTCGCGTTTCGAAGAAATGGAATCCTAATTGGACCACACACGAAGATTCGCTTCTCGTTGCCCCGGTTTTTCGGTGCCATTTCGATTATGTGACTTTTCACGAAATTAGGAATTTCCCCATATTCCACGTCTTGGCTGTGAGAAATGCTTGCGATCCCATTTCCGGTGCGCCCCAGTTTGCACCGGCTATTCACTTTTTGAGTAATGACTTTGCGGGGTGGGGTGGGTTGCTTTGCTGGTTCGGAGTAATGACTGTCGCCGTTCTTATCTGAAATTCCCATATTGCAGTCCCGGAAGGAGGGGGCCGGTCTGGGTGAGATGAAGCTGTGGTTCTCCTACACGGCGGACCACGTCTTGCCATTCACTACGTATCAACCTCTCTTCAACGCCCTTACGACATCCGTAAAGATTGAGTACAAGGCGTCAGCGGTGGCTCTTTTGGAAAATCTTCCACAGGTAGTCCAAAAGCAAATATATTAATTTGATAAAGCTTTTGCAGGTCGACCTGGGTGCCCTGGCACGACCACTCGTCCAAATTTTTGCTCACAGCGGTGACATCCACAGCCTGCTCCATCTCGTCTATCGTCAGGAGGTCCGGAAATGCCAGTAAGCGATACACATTTCTTAGTTGTTGACGAGGGGTGCGTGTCTGTTATGAATTTCCCTTCTCAAAATGAAATTTAGGGACCTAAACACGCTGTTCCGGAGCCAGAGCCTTGCCAGCCGAATGTTGTTCGAACTGATGAAAACGTATGGGCACCAGTATCTGCTTACCACCCTGAAACCATTAATCGATAAGGTCGGGCAAGAAAGGCGATATCTAATATTTCATATTTTAGATTTACTCGGAACGGAAAAGTTGTGAGATCGACCCGGCCCGTATTCAGAATGGGGATTCAATCGAGAAGAACACGGTGAGTTTCCATATGTTGTCAGGTGTTGAGGGTAGTTGCCCTGATCGGTCGGTCTCACGCCCCCCCCGGCCCGGGCCGGTCCGGAAAGCAACCGGAAGTGGTGATTACACATCATAGGAGAGGAGGCAGAGAAGGGCAGCTTTGCCCCCCCTATCCCACTTGGCTTGCTTTTGAGACCCTCCCCAAAACGCTGGTGTCATATGCCCACCCCCATCCTCCCGGCTGGTCCAACGACCGAAAAAGTGGATATATTTTTAGCAGTGTTTGCTCCAGGGGAATCTTTGCAAAACAAAGAATTGATGAGTGGAAATAGGGGCTGCAGCACTAAGCATACCGAAGACAGCGATGGAAGAGTTTTTGTGGCGCTCCATACATGGCTCGTTTGATAGAGCTTGCAATCATCTAAACAGCCTTTTTCAGGAAACCCTCCTCAGCTATTTTACCCTATGCTTTGACCGAATAGTCGAATCATCGGCCAGATGCCCCATTTCCCTCAGAAATATCTTCGCGGACCTCAGAAAAACGGTATATCCATCGTATCTTTTGGAAAAAATTATCGCTATGTAGGTATCGGCCGAAACTGGAAGAGTAGAAATCGAACGGTTAGCCGAGTCTTCATTTCTCATAATGCGCTTCTTCGCAGCAGCCCTGCTCAACCCAAAATCGTTCGGCATCAAGCGAGATCAACCGGTATGACATTGCCATCTCTTGGAAAATAATCCATCATCCAGGACTCGCGAGCCTCTCGGACACTACTCCTCATCTCAAAAATCCTCCAGCGATTGGCTAATGAATGCGTTGCCACGAACCCGTTGACATCCAAGGTTATTGTTTTCCGTCTCATCTCATCCGAATTTTAGGAACCCTGGCTGGAACCAATCCTTCGTCAAGTGACAGATGATGCCCACAAGGAAACAATGATCCATTTTCTCGACAAGATCGCTCTACAGCTCGACACGAAAGCCATGGCTAATGAAAGCTTGGCTGTCATAAAAGAGGGGTGAGTAGGCGAAAGGCAATAACGAACTTCTCATTTAGTTACCTTGTCGAAAGCAGACCCCGGACAGCCAGGCGTTGGAGCCTCATCCCGCAACAGAAAAAGCGCTTTGTGTACTTGACGGAGGACTCATTGTGTTGGCAAAAAAGCCGGAAAGGTTAGTGTCACATGGAATAAATTACATAACGAGAACTTTTAGGGGTTTTGGATCACAAGGGCTCTGTGCTGCTTGGGACCATCGAAAAAATTACCTCCGGAGAGCGGAATACCTTCAACATCGAAACGGGCGAAGTACAAGTAGAATTTGAAGCGGCCTCGGCAGCAGAAATGAAGGATTGGTAATATTCTAAAATAAGACGGGATCAACAAAATAAAAATAGGGTTACTGAGATCGAGCGTCAGCGGCTACGTGGAGATCCAAATGGTGTTACCCTTGGAGAAGAGCTGTCTGTGATGGGAAATGCAGATGTCGAACGGGCTCTGGAAGAAGTGCATCTGATCCTAGTTGAACACGCGAACGTCTTCGTCCAATGGCGGAATTCGTTAGAGAATACTTCGACTTCATCAGAACCAGCAGTGACAATTCCGCAAAATCTGGAACCAAAGGTGGGTATAATAAATAACAAAACATCAAAGAGAAGCGAAGCAGGAGAAAACATTGAAAAAAATTGATATATTTTCAGGATGAGGAAGTTCGAAAACAGCTTTTCGCTACACTCGATAACCTCCTTGCCGCCACCTATGCTATCGAAACGATACATAGGGATGCTGTGAGCAAGTATATGAATCATGTAAGTAAAACCCAATTCTACAGGGTAATAAAATAATTTAGATTCGAAACGGCGCCGGTACCCGCGAAAATCCAATCGGCGACGAGAACTACTTGCTCTTAAAACGAAAATTCAATATTGACCCGTAACCAGCCTCCTTTTTTTCTGTATTTCGCCGACCTTGCCGTTTTTTTGTCCGGTTGTATTTCATAATCTTAGTCGCTCTAAGCATTTGATTTCTATTCAACACACGGGTATCCGATCAAAAAGTAGTTCTATGTGATCATACAGCAAAATCAGTATCATTGACCATTAATTGTCCCCCCCCCCAGCAGCCTCTCGCCCAAAGTGTCCATATCAAAAATTACTGTTGTCATCTTATTTTGCCGCCACCCAAGAAGAGCCATTCCAGTATTCGTTTGATGTCCATCAGTTTCCTCCCCCACTGGCTTTCCAATATCTCGCTACGTGACTGTGTTCTCTTTCATCGAAGCCATGCAGAATACGCCGCCGTTTCCGTGTACAAAACGATTATAGTATGACTTTTAGAGAATTTGAATGTAATAAAACCATTCTGTCCTATGCTCGTCTGCAAATATTACATTATTTATAAAAAAACACGCCGGCAGAACTCAATAGCAGAAATCAGAAATGTTTTCGAAATCGATAAATTCTGCCGCGACAAGGCTTGGCGCCACACCGATGAGTTCGCGCACTAATAGCGCTATGTCCTGGGTTTAATTCCGCCAAACAAAGAAAGTTTTGAATTTCTGAAATTAAGGTTTCCGTATCCATCTTTTAAATGCAATTCTCTTAAATTAGCTTCCTCTGTAGCAGCGCTAAATTTTTGGTAATGAGAATCTGTTTTAAGTTGATTTTTCCTCAAAGGCGAGGTTAGCTATATCAGTAAATAAACGATAATAATGAAATAAAGTTTTTTTTGCTATTTTAATCAATGACAAAATTTAATGTCCTTTTCATTCACCGGCCCTGATCCCTAGCTGCTACCCCATATTTGTTGTTTATTATGAGGCGTATCCCACCCCCGGTTGCCATAATTTGGCCACTCTCCCAGCTAGGGCCCTGCAGGCGGTGTCCTAAGTGTTAGTTTGTGTATGTATGTGTTGGGGTCACATAGCCTCAGGGTCCATTCTTGCTAATCCTTCAAAATTCGGGGAGCCGTTCCGAGCGGAGACGATATTGGGCAAGCCCGAATTGCCCACAGCTGGCTGCTCCAAGCCGAATCCTATTCTATCCTCGACCCGAACACCAAACCGCCAATTATTTGCGGCGCCTTCAATGCTAAGTGCCTTTCATGGGGAAAATTTGCTGCGCTGGGTGCGTTTAGGGTTTGGAGAGAGGCTTTTAGCCTATTGCCACTTTCGCACTTGCAACTCTTTATTCTTTGGCCTTAAACTAGTTTCAAGTTACTCTTAATTGTTTTTGAATTTAGTTTGAATTTAGATAAAAGCATCTTTCATACTTACCCGCAAAAGTGGTCATCTACCATAGCTTCTGCCGCGACTATTTTTTGAATAGTTTTTCTTAATTTGTCTAATTAAATTTGATAGACTACCACTTTCTTCTTTCAGGCCAATCACGGCAATTGCAAATTTTCCAAAGTGGAATGTTTTTTCACAATCAGGAGCAGCCAGGCAGGGCACAGCTCTGCGGGGAAATTCTGGTTCGGACACAATGAACCAGAAGAGAGGGGTATTGCCTAGGACATTCTGCTTTCCTTAGTTCAATATACCCTCCTCTCCGGCCCTCTTTACCCGGGATTTAGTTCTCCGCTAAAACATTGTGCTCTTGCTTTTTGGTGGGCGTGGCTTTATCAGATTGTTACCAATATCTTAATTCATTGTCCTCAGGTTGGCGATGAATGCTGCTTGAAACTACCATCCTAGGGCGGTGAAAGGTCGTGTGCAAAAATATAGCGTTGTGCAGGACATTTAAGGACACCCATCCCTCGAGATTCTAAACGCCACGAGCAAAAGCATCCTCGTGTTACCGTCCGAAAATAATATGCCGTCCAATCCCGTCGTCGACATTTGAAGATGACGGAGCGAGGGGGCACCGCCATTTGAACCGCCCCCACCGATTGAAGGCTCGATGGATGCTTTCTGATCGAAACATCCCGGCTCTTCATCCGAACCTTCCATCAGCCATAAAGAATCTCGGATTTGACTGCCACAGGTCGCTTGACCCAAACTGGGAAAGGCGGAGGGTTGAGGGGCCCACCAAAACAATACGACAAACTAAACGCTAAACTCCCAATCGACTTGATTGTCGTCCGCCTCCCGGCTTAATTTTTGGAATGTCTCCGCAAGGGGGCGCTAATGTAATAAATGTAATAAAGTATGAAATTAAAAAAATATTTTTGAGGATCATCAAATTTTACTGAAAAAACTAGTGTGTAAGAACATTTGGGGCATCGCTTAATTTTATTAATTTTTTTTTCTGAATTCATGCACCACACTTGCATGAGGCTCTAAAAAAGGATAAATTTTTTTGGTCACATTCAGCGGTCTCCACCATCCATTAAAGGATGACGCATATTCGTGGCACCCAACCATTAGGCCGTATGTCCCTCGACATCATAAACACCCATGAACGAATGACGGTTCGATGGATGTTCCTTGATCGAAACATCCCTGCGCCTCCTCCGGGCCATCCAAAGGTCAGAATGCAGCTTCCGTTTTGGATATCTCAGGTCGCTTGACCCTGAACTGGGAATGGCGTCGCGTTGAGGGGCCCAAACGTAAGGCTGAACAATGGCAGTGCTACTGCTGAAGCTACATTCAACCCCCGGCTTAACAGTCATATCGCCTCCCGGCAATTTTTGGAATGCCTCCGCAAGGAGGCGCTAAAGAGTAGAGAAAAATATAGCTTATTGGTCGCGTTTTGGTTTCAGGTTCTACGCTCTTGGAACTCCTGACAGACAGTACAAAACCTTTTGAAACTCCTATTAAAATGTCGATAATAAAACCCGACGTTTACGTTTGCCTTTTATCGCGGTGACCCAAGCTACTTTAGACTCGCAAAGTGGCCGACCCGGCAAACCAAGAACACCGTTAAGTAACAAGATTTGATCGCGAACACTTTCTATAACCTGCTTTCCTTAAAATACTCTGGGTAAGAGAATCCGTTTTTGAGGGATATGTCAAGTGCCTTTTGACTAGAGAGGTCTGACGATTTCAAAGCAAGCCCACGACTAACCTATCGTCCTCAAAAGGATACCGGCGAGGAGCAAAGTCGACATTTGGGGTGGCGGTCGAGGCACCGAGCCATTTGCTAAAAGTCGTTGTGGGATTGAGGGCTCGACGGATGTTTTTTGATCGAAACATCCCGGCTCCCCATCCGGACCATTCATCGGTAAGAATCGAGCTTCAGTTTGACACCATTAGGTCGCTTGACTCTGAACGGGGAATGGCGTCGGGTTGAGGGGCCCCAACCAAACAAAAACACTAAACGCTTCCAAACCTTGCAATTCAGTTGCCCCCGCCAAAATCACAAATCTCATGACTGTTTAAGGAACATATCGCCTCCCGGCCAAATTTTTGGAATGCCTCCGCAAGGAGGCGCTAATGGCCAAAATCCCAGACTAAAATGCAAATATACATACATTCAAATCCAAGTTGAGCGCACAAAGTGATACATGCAAAAAAATACAAATTCAATCGAACCTCTAGTCCATCCCTCTCATTAATTAGTTCAACCCTCTCGACCCGCAATTTCAGGTCGATGGCCATGAAGGGATTGCGTGCGATCTGCTAGGCGATAATCGAGCCTTTGCCCTTCCCCCAGAGTGTCCTCCTCACCCTTCTCCTACGCCTTCCCATTCCCAAATAGCTCCACCTTCAAGCCTTCGTCCCCATTCCCACAACTGCATATTGTATTTCCTAATGAGCCGTTCGCTTTCTTGAGGGCCTAACCAGCTGCCACCACCTCGCTCAGATTATGGCCCCACACCTTTTGGTCGAACGACCTCGCACCCGCTCAACCGTGTGGCTCGGGCTAGTCACAAGCCATTCAAATTTTTACGATTTTTTCGCCGCTGTCTGTGGCGGAGATCGAATTTTTCGAGGGCCGCCAAGCGGTTTTGCAGGTTTGCCGTCAAAACATGGATTCAGTCTGTTGGAATCACGACTTTTTACCAATAATTCCAGCTTTAAAAGCTTTGAATGTCATTGAAATTAACAACAGACGAGGTTTAGTCCATCTGTGCCTCCGTGCTTTTTGGCGACTACTCTTTTTGTTGCTGAAAACCAGAGCACCACTTTTTTCCTAGTCGCGTCCATTCCGGGCAGATGCTAATCCTTTGGGCGCGACCAAATTGAAGGACGTTTCTCCCGGTTGGTTCCTCAGGCTTTTGTTTGCGTTTCCAGGGATAGTTTAGGTGACTTTTGGTACAGTCTAGCAAAAGATTTATGATTTTAAGATATTGGTTAGGATGTATGAGAAGTAGTTGATCAATATAGAACTCTCGCGCTTATTTTTGAGGAAATACGATACTTCTATGATACCTTCAGTTTCTTCGTTTTTCAGCGCATGAGCAATAATATTCCTGAAGTTTGGGCCCAATCGTCCATCCTCGAATTGGCCCCCGGGGGAGCTCCATTTTTCATCAAGGGGCGCGAACCAGGGCTGAGGGTGCCAGGATGAACGGCTCGATAGCCCAAATGCAAACTGACAGCCTCCACTCCCCTACTCAAATCGAGACCACTCCACTATTTTTCTCTGGCTCGCGCTCTCTCGCGTCACGTTTTGATTGTTGTCTTTGCTCAAGCGCTCCACGCATTCTGATTATCTACGGGGATGGTGGAATCCTGGGACTTCAAAGAAGTTGTGCGCTTTTTCTCTCTTTGCGTTGAAGTGTTTAGAGCACTTCTTCAGTTTTTCCTGGAGCCTTACATTTATAGTCAATACACTAACTAAAAATTAATTATAGCAATCAATAAACGGATTAAAATAACATTATTATCAATCATCGTATTTTTTAATAGAACTCAAATCAAGTTTCTATGTATTATAGTATTATGGCTGTTCTTAAAGCTTTATCTATAGACAATCGAAGAAATCAAGACGTAGTCAAAACGTAGTCAAATTAGTTATAAACGATACAAATAGAAAAAACAAACATTGTAAGTCATATAACCCTATAATCAATATACAGGTGAATACGACATTTTTAACCATAAAAATTATTTGAAATAATGTTATTATAACCCATCACTATTTCCTCACACAACTCAAATGAACGCCCCTGATTTTGGGCCATGTGGTGCCTCTCGGATTCCCCGGGCACAAAAGTCTCTTTGCATTTTTTTTGCTCGCCCTACTGCCCGGCTCCGGTTTATTGGCATTGCCATACGGGCCTACACCACCACTTCAGTTCCGATTTCAACGACTGTTTTTTTCATGAAATTTGATTTGAAGCTCCGGTTTTTTAGCAGCGCTTGAAATTGTAGTTTTGGCCCTTGGAGGCTAGCTAGCTTATCGAGTAGAGCTCCTTCGGCGCGAGCAATGACTTTACAGCCACGGTTTAGCATAAGGAAAAGCTTGCCATCGTCCCCAGGGGTGGCGAGTTCCTCAAAACAAATGAGGCCACGGGCCAACTCATTTTTCGTGGGGCGCCCGGTTTTTGTTTCTTTGTGCACTTTGGCGAGCCGAGGGGGTCTGGTCCGCAGCCGCAATTCCCAACAATTACTCGCAACATTTGATAGGTGTATTTGTCGGTTCTGGTTTGTTAGCGAGGGGGGAGTATAGGGGAGGGGGTTATTGTCCAAGATTTTCGACGATTCCGCTAGTTTTTTAAGGGTTTTGTTAAGGCGATTTCATAGAGCTTCAAAATGTTTAGACATCAAAAAATAGTAGAAGCTCGTTTTCGAAATTTTGCTGTTTTTCGACATTCCGTTAGCCCCGGTCGGTAGAGCTTTCGGATCTATATTAAACGCTTTATCTTGCAAAACAATGCAATCCAAAAAAAACTAGCGTCAAAAAACGCCCTGCGCTAATGAACCAGTACCGCATTTTTCCAAATAAAGAAAATTTTTTGGGATTTTCAAGGCTCTTTTTAGACCTCGTTTTCCCTTGCATAACCTGGCAACCAGAATTTCCACACCCCCAGTTAGTCAGCCCGTTTCCTCTTTGGCGACCTCGAAATCCCAGGCTCCCTTTCCAAAATCATTTTTATTTTCGGCAAAAGCCGCGGCCGGGTCGAACCCCCTCCAAACCCCTCCCTCTTGCAGGCGGTCGTGTCAAATAACTCCTTCTCACATTACTCTGGTCACGAAAGAAATCTATGCAACGGATTCCCGTGCCCCCGGAGATATACATTTTATCTTGCCGGCTATTTTGCATTGGGTGCCTGGATCCCTTTTTTGGTTGTGAAAGTTGGGACGTGGGCCCCTAGCTGGCAATTATTGTGTGTTGTCGCGGGGATGGAGGCGAACGGCTCTACCAAAAAAAGTAGGGATGGAATTGGGGCAAATTGGAGGCGGAGAAGGAGCTGGGTCTGGGTTCTTTCGGAAAACTACTGACATATACTTTATTTTCATACGGATATAAGTGTATTTTTTGAATAATATGACTCCGTTTTTGCAAAACGTGTTAAACTTTAGTTGTAATTCCAAAAAAGTTAACCGGACTTTTTTTAATGCGTTTTACTAGTATTATTAGCAGTTCTAGCCGTTAAATCTCGGAAAACTATGGAATTGGTCAAAGTAGATAGATTTTACAGCCTATTTTCGGTTTTTTTTGGGGTATTTAAGAATTAAAAATACGTTAATCCTAGTTTTATTGTTTATCCAAACCTACTCTGCTATAAAAATCCCCTATCCAGCTCAGCGGGCGGTCCTTGAAAAGTCAATTTGGGCTGTGTGTGAGGTGCCGATCTGGGCACCCTATGCTCGGGCCAAGGACTCGTTCTCCACACAAATGTGGCTCAGCCATTCCATTTACATAATCTTTCGCCCGTTCAGACCCCCATTCCGGGGAGGCCAATCCTCCTCCTTCTCCTCCCCCTCATCGTGCTCATCCTCGACGCCTTGGTGGCTGTAAATTTCCACGGAATTGCCATTTTGATGTGGGAGTTTTCGGAGGGCCCTTTGGGGTCCCACAACGGGTATATCTCTTTAGTTATGGGTTGGTTTTGGAGTACGCTGGAAGAGACATATTTTTGCATACATAGGATGGTTCTGTAGTAAGTTGTAGAAACACGCATTTACACCCCTCTAAATTTCTAATTGAAGAAAAACTTTGCATCTTGGTTTTCTATTAACGTAAGCGGCTTATAATAATCGTATATTTATTCTATTTTTGGGTTTTCCTATTATCACTTCCGCTTCTTCATCCGCCAATTAGTCTCAATTCTCATTTTTAGATGTCTGCCGACTATCGATCAATCATAATCGTGTTGAGCCTAGTGTCAGCGGTCGTTGGCTCGCAGTCGCTGTTCGCAGAATATGATGAAGATGGTGAGGGTGAGTGGGGGGAGAGGAGGACGAAAAGCGGAAAGAACGTAGGATCTGCAGCCAATTACCCGGCAAGAGCCCCCTAGCGGTGAGCAATTGAACGCCATTGACCCTCAAGTGCAAGCCGCACTTCAGTTGATTTATAGCTGGATGCTTATAAGAAATTGAACGGTTTGAAATGTCTAGGCCGTACGTCTGGGATTATCAGCCAAAAAATTATGGTAGATCGGGAGGTACCCGCAAGAGTCAACTTTATGGTTTTTTCTCTGTGTTATACTTTACGATGATCAAACCTTTAGAACGCCCTCGTGTCGCCTGGGTGCCAATTGTATCCCGTAATGTCAACTCCTCAGCTTCTTATGCACATCGAGCGATACAAGAGGTGAATTCGAAAGATCCAAACAAAATCCAACGAATCGTCAAAATGTTGAACGTAAGTTGGGCCAAGCAAAAGCCCTGGAATGCGCATGGCTCAGCTGTTCACGCTTTCAATGTCGAGATAATCTATCTTTTGGGGAAGACAGAGAGAGAGGGAGCGAGAGAAAGAGAGAGAGAGAGAGAGAGAGAGAGAGAGAGAGAGAGAAACAGCATCATTCCTGAAAAATAGCCTGTAAATCCTCCTGTTGACTCGATAACCCCCCGATCACGTTGTTGACCAATTTCGAAAAGAATGTCGTGCTATTGAGGAGAAGAGAGGGGAGTTCGAGGAGTGAATGGGGAAAGACGTGTCCGCCCTTTTAGCATCTATTTTCAGGACTCGTATAACCGTATGGATGAGGAGCGGCTAGTCCACGGATCTGCACTCTACATTTCATTGATACCCGTCTTCATTTTGAGCTCCTTGCGAATATTTTTCTCATAACCCAAGCCTTTTTGCTACGCCTATTAGACCGGTACCACCATCAAAAAATGTGCTCCCGTTTTCAAAACCTCTTTTATCCACTGAATTCTATTTATTTGAATGGCTTACCCCTATTTTAGTGCCTGTTTACCGCCCACCCTCAAAAAGACCGAGTGTGTGGGCTGTAGCATAGTAAATTTGCGGATTTGCATTTATTTCTACGGTCATGAAATACGCTCGTCATAAAAGCGGCCCGGGGTTAGTTGCTTAGCGGTGTGTGGAGTCAGAGGTTTTGTTATTGATTGCGATTTCCATTTCGCTCCGCAATTGGCCCCCACACAGTCAGTGCCCGTCGAAATATTTGGCTTTCCACCCCATCCCCCCCCTCAATTCTCTGTTGACCACCGGTGCTGATTTCGGCTTTTCACTACCCCCGATTACGACCGCATTCAAGTGGTCCTCATAATTGTTCGTTCATCAATTTTTGATTTCTCCTCTCCACCCTTTCCCAAAACTCGAAAATGTCACTTGTATTCAGTGCCCCGCTACACTGAATAGCTCACGATGTGATTCACACATTTTTCAACCTCCATTTCGGCCATTGCCACTCTTTCCTTGAATAAATTCTTCCGAATTCAGAACTCCAAGAAAATGCCGAAAATTAGAAACCTATGCACATGTGAGGGATTTTTGAATGTGCTACAAGTGGTAAGCGAGAGTTTTAGTTTCGTCACAAAGGAGTGTTTTTAGTGTTTGAGTTTGGCAGCAATCATTGGCAGCTCTGTTATTTGGAACGACGGGAATGTGGCACTTTTTATATACTATTCGGTACATCAGGCTCCAGAAAGCATAGTTAGCTTTAGGGATATGGCTGGCAGATACTCATCAACGTAATTCTGATTGCCACATTCATATTTTCATGCTTCCTATTGATATTGAACGTATTGGGCGGCAATAATTTGTTGGAGACCATTGGGAAGCCAAAGGTAGATTAATGAGAAAAATAGTAAAATTGTTTTTAGGCCCTCAGTTCCTATGCGCTAATATTTTTGCTGCTGATCGTTGCGGGTGGTCTGGAGACATGGTATGCCACTTTGGCATCGTCCGAGCCTTCTGGAGCGTATTGGAACTGGGCTGGGATTTATCGACCCCGCTTTATTGCCACAGCTGTAAGTTTGGTCGGAAATTAAATCGAATTAGCTTTGAGGAAGCTTGAAAATCGCTATAAAAACGAAATCATCGATTTGCATTTGAGAGTTAAAAATTAAACTTAATTATGTTTGCCAAAAAAAACAAGGAAAATTAAATATCACATACCAGTTTCGCAGTTTGAAAGCCATTAGCGATAAATCAATAAAAATACGCCTCGACAAATTAAATAAGACGTTCCTCAAAATTAACACAAGCAAACATTCTGTCACCTGAATTAAAAAAAGATTTTTTTTTGCTAAAGGAGTAAGTTAGACCGTTTGGAACATCACAATAAAAATTAAAATGAGTTTTGGTATAAAAATCGGGTATAATTAGTTAACACATTCCAAGCAGCTTTACTTAGATTTAGAAGCAATTTACTAACATGTGAAAACATGCCTCTGGAAGGTGCCACCAACTTGATATAAAAGTAATTTCTCCTAAAACCCTCTGGCTTCTTACAAAAAAATCTATTTATCAAATAAACGGGCAAAAATGCGCAAAATTCCATAAAAATTTGCATAAGCAAACATTCTGCCACTTGAACAAACACAGCCTTAAACCAAACGCCTCGATTTGCAAGAACAACTATTTACGGCAATAATCTGCGTAGCTAACGGGGTGTCTCCCATGAGAGGATAGGGCATTTGCTGTGATATGAGGGGACATCAAAGCATCGTGAGAGCTGTATTCGAAACGCTATCTTGGGCAAACAGTCAGCAGCCAGCCCTTCTTCTTCCTTCTCCTTTTCTGGCTCATGTCATGCCTCAGGAGAGCCCCCTTCATGCTTCATCCTCCTTTTTTCAGGTCTTCACATGGCTTACCTGGCTGACTTATGCTATTCTGCTCGGCTTGAATTTCATGTATTAAATGAAAGTTGGACGATCTCTGTGCATGACATTATTTGAATAAAGTTTGGAACAGCTGGAGTGTTATCTATATTTATTTTTTTAAGATGTCGATGACTTTGACAGAAAATAGATTCAATTCAAAAGGTTTTGTATTCAAAATAATCTACACTATAAAAATCAAATATGCAATTTCTTTCATACGTTTCTTTTTGCAAATTTTATCGACCGGAGCTCTTTGCATAACCAATTTTTTTATGTGATGTCGAAATCCTCAAAGCAACGCCTGTGTTTTTTGATGTATGATTCATCGACCCTAAAATTCCGCATCATAATAGCGATCAAACCGGATGACTCGCCGCCATATCAGCCCCGACTTTCCAACTTCTAAAATCGATGACCGTTCCTCTTATCGTGTCTTTCCGGGCCAAAGCCCCGAAATACAGGCGCCATTTCAATTTTCGCAATTCATTGGTACACCCTTCAAAACGATCTTTCTTAACGTACAACGATGACGTTGTTAACGTAAATATAAATCTTTTAGCCATGGGTGTCGACGCGCTGATGTCCATCCCGGGCGCCCTGAGCATTGTGGCGACTGTAAGACATCCAAAAACCTCTTGATAAAACAAAACCCCATTACAGCTGCTCAGTTTTGCCGAATTATTTTGCATCTGCTTTGTGTGGGCTGGTGGAAGCGTGGTTTTCTACATTTTTATTGATGTAAGAAGTGTTGATTTTTTAGATCAATCTTTTAGGGGTATGGATGGCACATTTTATTCGCTCCTCTGGTATTCTTGGTGTTCCTCTTCTCGGTGACGCTGCTTCTAACAATAGTGACGGGTCGTGAAATTATTAATCAATATGGTAAACAGGCGGTAAGTCAAGAGATTGAGTTATGCTAATTTTTAATGGAAAACTGCCATCCCCCAATAAGCATTTTGCACATGTTATCGTGATTCATAAGCTTTCTATGTATCTTTTCAATGCATAGATTCAGTTTTTTTATTAAGAACATAAAATAAATTTTAAACCTATAAATTAGGCTCTCATCTGCTATGGTGTCTGCATGTTTGCCCTAATAGTCGCCGGAGTCCTAATTTCGTGGTATGCCTCAAAAACGCACAAGGACCTTGGTGTCGGCCATATCTTGAGGCCACGCTATATTGCAGCAGCTGTAAGTCACCAACTGTTTTCTCAAAATGTTTCTTTTGATTTAGATCTTCAATTGGTTGAACTTTGTCGTCTACCTGGCCCTCTTCGTCCTAACCCTAATTTTCCAATAATTTAAAGAAGGAAGGAAGCTGAGACCTGCAAATTTTCGTCAATTTTATGCATTTTATTGCTATGTAAATATTCACACCTCTATATTGTCCAATTGCATACTAGAAGGCTCAATTGCGATTTATGCCAGCATAAAGGTATTGCTAATTTTAGTGGCTTATGCCTTGCGACTCACTTAAAATTCACTTTCAAAGGCTTTGCTGATCAATGGGTCACTTTGTGTTCGTGGTCAGTTGTAGTTCGTACAAACAAACATTGAGTAATTTGGGCTGTGGACGGGGTGTACCTTTTTGGATTGAGAGAAGGGAGGATGTGATTTGTGTCAAAAGAGTTATGAAATCGCATACCTGGGACCCGAATTGTTATAGATTGGATTTTTTTTGTTGACGACTGAAAGTCGCGGCTGGTTTTTGGTCATCGTCCTTTTTGTATTATGAAAATGGAACGGCTGATATGCATGTAAGAATATTTGATGTTGTAAAAATTCTCCCTTTGGGGAGTGCTGGAAAGCGGCCACATCGAAAATTGGGAAAATCATAGATCTAACAGTTAAATTTAGCTTTTGAAAATTTCTTAAAAATCTAATTTCAAAAACGTCGCCATCGTGTTCAGGAGCTCTTCAGGAGCTTGAATGTATATGGAAACCTCTTACCTCTAGAAATTAGCTGTCCGTCGGAACACTGCCCGAACCCCATACCCCATTCACATACACCATTTCATATTTGATCGAAAGGTGACCTCACCTCACCCCAATATTACCCTTTGTATAGGTTGGTGTTGGCCCTTTTACCTAGGTAGCCTCGGTATCGAGTGTCGAAGAGGATCGATGTGGAAGACGGTGGCGCTTGGGGGATGGCGGTGGCCGGGGCCTCTATGCCGTTGTGTTTGTTCTGGGCCCTGGCGATGCTCCCCTTCCCATAGTCCCTCGTGGGTTCATCGAAAGGCACATAGTGAACCTGTCCTCTTCCATCTATCTACCTCTTCGTCCAGCTGCCAATCCGTTGGGTCCTAATGCCTTGGCTTTTGCTGACCGTTGAGGTGGCGCAGTTGCTTTTGGGTTGAGGTGGTGGGGTATTGGGCTGACTGTAGGCCATATTTTTCATTAATGATAGAAGTATAGTCTAAGGTTATGGACGTATGCGTCTGGATTAGCGACGTCCTTATCCAACGGCTTTTCTGTAATAATGAATATAACTGCAATGAGGAAAGGTTAAAAACACGTCGTGCCGGACTTCCGGTGCTCCGGTATATTTTTATTCTTGCTGCAATCTTTCATGTCGTATTGGAATTTCGATACATTAGTTTCCATTGGTCTTCGATGCGGTTTCCCTAAAAAAATATTAAATTTTTTTTAATGCCGTAGTTATAAACGTTCTCAGGTTATTACTACAATGTATTCCTCTTAAAAGTTCAGAATTCCAGTTCGTCTAAAGAAAAAACAGGCATGCTAAACTTTCCTATGCCTGACGCGCTAGGCAAAAATACCTTGAAAAGTGTAGATTTAAAGGGCCGAGTGGACAAAATAATTCCATATTCTTGCTCTCAAAAAATACAACAAATTGCGCATAACCGGTCCAAAATCCCACCCCTGCCCCAACCTCCGGCATTTCCGCTTGGACACCATTTTCCGCGAGCCGCAAACAAATTGCGCCCCCCAAACACAGCAACGCGCCTTCACCCACCACTCCATCCGTCTTATCATACCCGAGAGACACGCCCTTGTATTAATAATTCCTCCAGCTTATATGTAGGTGTTGGGCGGAAATTTTTTACTGTCGATTGTTTGACTTACGGGTGATAAGCTGTTTCGAGTAGTAGTTAGTAAACTTGAAGTTAATCAAGTAGTGAGAAAAATTAGATTCCTTTATATAAATGTATTGTAGCTTATCATACCTAGCCTGTTCTTCTAGAATCGAATTTATATAATTCTCTCCTCTAAACCCGCACCGTCGCCCATGCCTACTAAAATGCTAATTTCAATTTTTGGATATTTATTTGCGGCTATATTTTGTTGTTTATATCCCTCAAAAGCTGCTAGAGATTCCCAGAAACATCAACCATTTTCAGTTTTTTATTGTTAAAAGGAAATCTGCTATCCTCCTGCCAAACACTTTACCGGCTCCTTTCTCCAATCCCCGGTCCCGACTCTGGCCCTTCGAGAGCCGTCAGAACTTCGTGCCACAGAGCCCCTTCCAAAGTCAATTTCTATTTATTTGTGACTCATTCTCGGGTTACCCCTACTGGAAATTCGGGCTATTTGACATTCGGAACATTATGGATTTTTATTGGGGGAAGTGGTTGGGGTGCTTGAAGGGGTCAACAAGCGGGGTTTGGGTTAGAATTTGATACCCCTAAAAAATCTTCAGCTGGTAATTAAGCTCTAAAAAACATCAAATTAATTTCTTTGCTTGTGGGCAGCTATGTTCATAGAAATTTCGCCGTTTCGGAACCGTATGGGTTTTTTATGGGGGCTTTTAGGGGTCAGCCCCGCGTTTGCAATAAAATTCGATACTATTTGAAAAGCCATAACCAGAAAACGTTATGCGCTGATACGCGAACTGTAAAACAGTAAAACACTACTGTTGCCGACCAGTTCCGGCACCAAAATTTTCGCTTTTCGCTGACTGACAGACTGACCAAATCGATTTCGACGTTCATAATGCCCGGGGTAGCCCCTCTATTCAGTAATCCAGTCACTGAGCGCCGTCGGTGACAAACCGCTACGATTTCCGGGAGATTTTTTTGTTGTATTCTGTACAATGTCATTATTATACCTCGAAGCCTCAATTTATTCATCATCAATTTAGATTACACTTTTTGACTGAACAGCTAACCTAAAATGGTGGATATTAATCGATTACTGACGCTGCCGGGTATTATAAATGTCGTCCAAGTAGTAGGTTTATTCAAAGAACAACATAATAGTAACTTAATTTTAGATAATAAAAACATATATTTTACTTGATTTTAGGCTTGTGGCTTTGCTGCACTGTTCGCTAGCTCATTCGTCTGGAACAACACGGATACCTATATTCAATTCATCTACAGGGTAGTACTGGCTAGAATCGTTTTTATATGTGTTTTAGGGGTTTGGATGGCAAACGCTGATTGTATTTATTCTATTGTTTACCTGGATCTTCGCCATCGCGATGCTTTTGAACAATCTTTTGGGGCGAGACGTGCAGGAAACGGTTGGAAAAAAGAGGGTAAGCCGGTTCATATTATAATTATAAAACGTTGAATCTTTATAAATAATGTAGAGGCATCCGATCGTGCCTAGTTTAGAATTATAATTAGATAACTGTTATGTAATATACGCTTTTGAAAAATTCAGATCGTTTCATAAAAACTTTTCCATAAAGAATAGCCAAAATTTTCTTCAAATTTAGATAATCCAGGGTACTTTTAAAAATAGTCATTGTGTTATCTATTTTTTAGTTACTGATTGTATACGTAATCTGCCTCTGCTTGCTGATAATTTCTGCGGCTTTGGAATCCTGGTACTGTGACAAATCTGCCGGGCATCCTGTATATCACGGAAGATTCATAGCAGTTACGGTAGGTTATCCAGTTTTTCACGATACAGGTGCAAAAGAAATAAATTAATCAGTTATGAATAATTTGTCGTTTTTCAGATCTTCAACTGGATTCTAGTGGCATCATACATTGTCCTCATCGGACTCACAATTTTCTTCACCTAAATGTACAAAGGTTCGAGACCGAGGGATGATCAACTCCGTCTCTTCTCCCATTTCCCATCTCACATTTGTGCGCATAATTCGAATACACCCAGATCTATTCCCCGCCCGGCCCATACTTCTCATACATTGACATTTATGTGTTTGTCATTTCTTGGTGCGCGATAAAGCTTCATGCGTTTGGAAATCAAACAGCCATATTTTATCAAAAATCAACCCCTGTTTTGCATAGCGTTAGGAAAACAACAATAAGTCTTCAATCTGTGGGGAGCAGCTGAAACTCGATTTTTTTGGGTGCAGCCTTCGCTCCAACAATTCAATGCCCCAATTCCCAAAAGGGGATCATGGTCTCTCTCTTTGCGTGTTTGGAAGGAATGGATGCCGGCGGGGTCGAGGGTCGGGAATAAGATATTTTTTCGATGCCTTTTTCAGAGGGCAGAGAAAGGGAATGCGAGAGAAAGAGTGAAAAAGAGATGCAGGGGCAGGGCCCCTAGTTAGTGGAGAAGCGGCCAGAAGGGAGGCCTCCAAACTCAGGCGACACACATTGACTGGGGGGCCCTCTAGGGGGCCCAGTTGACATTGAGCTGCATTTACTGCAATGGCCCACGATCTGAGGGGATTTGAATTTAAGAATTTAACGCGGAAGCAGTGTCCATTGACCTATGATGATCCTTATACATGGTGAGTTAAAAGCCGTTTAGCTGATTTCAAAAATGTAAAATTTTGCTACAGCCCCCCGCATTGTCAAAGTTAATTTTTGCTGCGGAAGTAATTGCTTTTCGACCCACTCAGCCCTAATTCTTCTTTTTAGGTCTCTAAATCTATTCGAAGGTCTACTAGCCATCACCGGTCTTACCCTTAACTGCCCATTAATTATTCTAACTCACACGATCTCCACAATTCCGCTGGGCCAAAAACGACTTCTGGTGGGTTCCATTTTCAGGATAACCAACATTTCTAGGCTTCTCAAGTTATAAATTTTGTGCTCCTCTGTGCATTCCAGCTTGCGAGAAATGTTTATTTGTTGATCGCCGTCTACAAGTGGGTTTTTAGACGTTAACGCTAACTTTTAATTACAGCCCATGTTTGAACATCATGAATACGATCAGCTGTAAATTGCAAGAATTTCCTTTGTTGTTTTGCTATATTCATGGAGCAATACTTTCGATGCTCATTGCGTTGCAGACGATACCAGAATATGTGTACGTTGCAAGGAAATTTATATATTAAAGAGGTTTCAAGATATAATTGTGCTATATCGAGTTGCGAATAAAATAGCTAAATTTTGTTCAATCTTATTGTGGCTTAATTTAATCGGCTTAATTAAGGCATTTAGATACAAATCCAAAAAGCACGGATTTCGGTCAACAACATGTTCCGTCTGGCAAGCTTGCATCGCGGTATTGGCTGCATCAATTGCCTTATTTTTCACGGCATTCGACGCGGATGTCAACCCCCGCGAGATGAATAGGGTGATTTACCCAAGCGGCCATTCCTTCAATTTATCCTCCTCCCATTTTCAGTGCTTCTTATTGTTGGCCGTGCGACAGACCGAATTTGCATTCATCCTGATTACTGGTCTAATTTTTATTTACACAGCAACAAGTGGGTTTTCATTTGAAACGTTACATTTTTACAGTCGTCACAATATGTATGCTATCAGTGAAAAGAATCGAGGATAAATCAAGGGCAACTTTTTTTGCTCAATTCGTTGAAGAATATTTTGGTGCCAGGTGGGTGTCTTATTCATACAATTAAAAACCTTAAAAATCTATATTTAAAAAAATTTTAGAAGGGGTAGGCTGGCATTTATGCTTCTTAATTTCCGGTGTCGTGATATTATATCGTTATTTGGCGTTGGAACCCTGTCTTCCAGTAAGTTTACGAATTACACATCACCTCGGACTTTAGTGTATCGACCGTATCCTCGAAGTGTCTTTCGTTGCCCTTCCACTTGCCCTTGCTGCCATCCATCCAATTCTTTTAGTTTGGTTAGCCATTTAATACTATCTGATTTTCTTTCTAGCAATCTACCGTCTTTCCGCGAAGCCATAAATGAAGCTTTTCCGGTTGTCGGGAATATGTTACCTGAGGTTCTTAAAAAATGCGATATATAACGCAAGTTTTAGTACATGCCCGTGCCAGAACTCCCAAGAAGTCAAAGCCATTTGCCTTGTGACCCAAAAGGCCTGATCAAGAAATCGGCGTTACGAAGGAGTGCCACCAACAACAACAATCCAACCGACAATAATAATGACCCTTCCGCGATTACTGTCGACAATTTGGAAGAATTTTAATATAATAAAGTGCTATTCCTCTCTGTTGTTCTGGTTTCCGACAGTCGTTAGTTTGGGGAAGGACTAATCAAAATTGGACAGTAATGGTGGCGGGGCGGAGGCGAATGTTATGTTATGTCTGTAGCGGAACCAAATTGTGGGAAGGGCTGGTTGCCTTTGGATTATTAGTATTCGAGTCGTGATGGTTGGTAACGGCTATCCTGCTGAAGATTCGAGCCTTATGAATCCTAAGGCTTATTTTTACAATCGGCCTAGCTTCCGTTGGGTTGGAGAAAATCTCTATAGGAGTATGCCGCAGGTAAATATAGCTGCAGCAAATTATTAATGGCCTCGCATTAATGAAATACATACTTTTTTGAGTCTTTTAAAGAAAATTCCAGATCCAAAACGACCCTCACAAAATCACACGTTACACTCTCATCTCGATTATCCTGAATTTCCCGATATGTATCGGACTAATCCTTTGCACGTAAGTTTCACTCTGATATACTATTTACAATTCATACAGCAAAAATACAAACGACCGTTGCCTGTACACCCTCGTATACTTATTGGCCAACATCGGAGACTTTTTCGCCTTCCATGGCGTGAAAACCGGAAACATCAAAAAGTTCTTTACGAGCTTCGGAATCATCGTAAGCATTGGAACTTTCTTCAAATTTAAGTATCGATTCTAGAGCTGCGTCCTCGGAATCAAAATCTTCATCGCGTTGATCCTGCTCTGCAACCATATCGTATCGTATTATTTCACGAACATTGGGATCCCAATTCTCGTGCTCGTTGTTGCCAATTTTGACCTTTACCGTCTATTCCTAATCCAACGTCATATTATTCACAAGTTCGAGGTGGCCACGTTTACTCAGAAGTTTGCTTCAATGCCTTGCGATGATTTGCCAATTGTGGTCGCGGTCCGGGATGAAGCGTCAAAATCTGGAATGTCCCCACCGCCATATGGTCTGTGAATCCGCATGTTTTCTAAATTTAATTCCATTCTAATTTTCTGGAATAACGCTGCTAATGTTGAAGTTCAAATAAAGTCTTTCATGACGCTTGATTTTTAATACCGGTTATAGACGGCAGGGCAGCAATGCAAAGAAGCACTAGCACAAATTACTCTTCCATTTTTGTGGGCAAAGCCGTTGATCCTTGTTTTTCGGATGGGGATAAGGTGGGGATCACATGGGGAGTCGGCTCTGTAAATACTCGCAGAATAATGAAGCCATTTGAATCGGCTGTTAGTGCAGATATTTACATTAATTTCCATCACCGAAGTAAAAATAAAAATTTTTGGAATTACCCACTGCTTGGTAGAATAATTAGGACACAAAAAGTAGCAAAATGCTTTTATTTGTTTTATTTGGAATTTTTTTGTGGAATCCATTCGTGTATATAGCTAACTTGGCTCTACCTTCGCATGCTCACTTTGTTGGGTGGGCCCTAGTGATAGTTAAATAGAAGTTTAATTTTAAATATAAATTTTCAAAATTAACCTGCTGCTGTGATTTCGAGTGTTCAACTATTTCAAAGGTATCAAAGAAGCGCTGGGTTGTGTGACAGATTGTCCAGCCCTCGTCTCACCAGGACTCCCGTGTTCGAGACTTTGCGTTGATAAGAAGGAAAGGAAGGAAGGCAGGTCTCGACTGATCTGCATAGTTCTCTTCTCTGCTCTTCTTCATTGCTAGAAGTACCGCGACGCGGCGCCCCGCCCCTTTCTTCCTCTCATCGGCCATCTTTCACCTTTTGCGGGGAGCCCTCCGGATACAATAAAACCTTATTACATCCGGGCTGTCTTGAGGGACAGATTGCCTTGGCAAGTAATATTGCGAAATGCTACTCCCTACAATCATCCCATTGGTGCATAAAGGGCGCTTTTAGCTCCTACAATGCTCTATAAAACTCTAACGGTGTTTTTAAACTTTAAATGCTCTTTCGCATATCAATTTTAATTTTTCTTTCTTGATATGAATAGTTTCCCGGAGGTGCTTCGAATTTTCCGGTGAAATATTTGGATTATACGAAAGAAATAGAGATTGCTTAAAATACCCAATTGCTTAAACTCAGTTTGTCACATTGCGGATTAGAAATCAAGAGAAACTCCCGAGAGGCAATTGTCTAAACCTTATTAAGTACGAATTAAATAGTAGAGTAATTTATGATTTATGTCTTACTATTCTAGTTAGTTGCTTTTTCAAGTTCGCTCATGGACGAAATAAATGATTTATATTGTTCCCTTTTATTAGATTGTCGGGCCAAAATTTCTATCCAATAAGTTGACAAATAACTATTAATGTGCTAGGTGAGCCATTCTGCATCTCAGAAAACATCTGCTTGACCAACCAGCCCTCCTATCTTGGGGCCCTATGCTATGAACTACGCAGGGATACGGGGCCATTATGCCTCGCATTCAAATTGTTTATTTCCCCTGGTGTCAGGATGCGGTTGTTGTCCACCATCAACCCCTCAAGGGCCCACCGACCCGTAAACAATGAAGCCAGTTTTGGCACTACGTAGTTCTCTCTTAGTTTTTTTATGTGGAACTTCCCTATTTGCACTCTCCATCTAGATCGATGCATTCCAGGGGCTGTAAACAACGAAGAGGCCATTTCCCCCCTCCTAGCTCTTAATACGATGTCGAATAAGCCGAAAATTGCCTTGATTTTTGGGGAATTTCTGGCTTTAGTTTGCCTTACTTTTGAAGCTTGTTATTTTTTCGAGTGGGAGAGTCGTTTCGAAATTCGGGGCGTCAGCTAATTAAAACAGGAGAGGGCCTTGTCCAGAAAGAGAAACAAACACTCCCGTTTCCACTTTTCGCTCTGGAATTTGTTAATGGAATTTCGAAATTAGGAAGTATATCGGTAATTTTAGATGCGAGATGATGCGGAATCAGCGCATCTCCGTGCTCGGGTAGATGATGATGAGGATGATGAAGTTTATCCAGCCTCTCCATGTAAACGGTGCGTCCTAATATTTATACATTTCCACCACACGTCCTTATTTTCCAAAAGACATTCAGTTATTCAGAACGCATTAACTGACCCATACCCATGCCCCCCAATCACATGCTCACCCTGGCCGTTATTTTCCGCCCGTCCACTCTTATCAATTTGCCATAAGCCTCAGCGCCGCCCGGGGGCACACATAATTGTTTGCATCACAGGTGCAAATTCGCAAAAAATCCTTGGCTGACCCCAACGTTGCCTCAAAATCGCACACAAAAACGCGAGTGGCGTGAAAATCCGAGATAATAAATTACCCTTGCATCATATGCTCGGAGAGGGGGCTTATCGCATTTGAGGGGAGGGGGCATGTAGTCCTCGTGTTTTTTCTGTTATCGGGTCAGACAGTAGGGGAAAGAGGATGGACGGATCGACAAAGGACCAATAAGAGGGAGACGAATTAGAAAATTTTTTTATTAGGTTGTTGGGAAATGAAAAGATGAGCCTGTAAATGTATTGCTAAAGTGCAGTGACGATCAGACAACAGGTAAAAATTCATTTTTAGAAATCCCAGCGACCCAGCCAGCCGCTACGACGAAGGAAAACCTCCTAAAAATATTACCCGCTACGCAGCCACCCTGAAAAATGTAGTCCCCGTGAGAACAGTGGAAAGGTCGCTTCAAAAAACTCTTAAAATCTTTCATAATTTCTCAGGTCTGCGACAGGATGCGCAAAAATCGACCAAGCCGGGCTGTTTTCTTTTGTCACCTACAGCTGGGTGTTTGAATATCTCCTTCAGGCATACAGAGGTATGAAAATTGCAAAACTGGTATAATGTCTGTAGGAAACCTCACGGAAACCTCATGGACCTGTTCAATTTTTGATGGAGCCAATACAAATCTCACTCGATTGGAGATGATGTGGGAGGAAGAGCTCAAAGCGCGTCCGGCCGAGCCTAAACTTTGGAAGGTTGGGAAAACCTAAAAAAAATATATGAAAATTAGGTGGTCTATGCTTTTATCGCAACGCGCCTATGGACGGCTTGTGCTGTATTTGCTTTTTGCTTGGTGTTCGGGTTTATTGGTATTTTTGAAAGTAATAAAAATCAATTTGTAATTAGGACCTACCTGTTTCATCCGTGGTTTAATTTCGTATGCTGAACAACCTTTGAAAGATGGCGAGGTTTCTTACGGGTAACTGTAAAATTACTATTTCCATAGAAAATTGATTTAGATATGGATTCGCGCTGGCTACAGCCGTGTTGCTTGTGGAATTCGCCCGGGTGCTGGCGTACGGTGCTACTTGGGCAATCTCTTACCGTACCGGAATTCGAGTCCGATCGGCTGTGCTGGGGCTGTTGTTCAAGAAGTTGATCAATTCGAAGACCCATCTAGGAGGAAAATCGGCCGAGGTATGCAAAACTTAGTTAAATATACCTTGGTAATTAGTACTTAATGGATCATTTACATTTCCAGATCATTAACATGTTTGCGAATGATGGACAACGTTTATTTGACGCCATTACTTTCTTGCCACTCGTTCTCATTGGTCCGTTCGTCCTTTTCGGAGGTGAGTAGCCAAAATTTTATCCATTTACTTGCCCCAATTTTAGGTTGCATCTATCTGTGTGTAGTGATCGGATGGTGGTCGTTGGTTGGCGTGCTTGTATTTGTAATTTTCGACGTTATCCAGGTATCCAGTTTCAATTATGAGCAAATACATGAAAATTATAGTATGGACTTGGAATGACTATGCTACGTTGCCGAGAACGAGCAATCAAGAAGACGGATAATCGGGTATGACTGTCAGGGGTTGCTAAGCTAATGTGACTGTTTAGGTAGCATTAATGGGTGAAATTGTGAAACATATCCGTCTAATCAAAATGAATGCCTGGGAGAAAAGTTTTATCGACAAGATTGGAAGTAAGAGAGAGGCTCATTAACCCAACTGTTTTTCGAAATGCGACATGAAGAGAAACTGGACTTGAGAACGGCAGGTTATGCACAATCTTTGGCTATTGCATGTGGACCAATTGTACCTGTCATCGCCGCGTTGCTGACGTTTTTGGGCATAATTCTATCTGGTAATCAAGAAATCGCAAAACCCATACTTTTATAGGAAACGATCTCTTGGCTAGTGATGCCTTCAGCGCCATGACCGTATTTTTCGTGATGATGTTTGGAATTAGGATGATTCCGTATGGTGGCAGGTAAGCACTCTCCCGGAGAAAAAAATCAAAGATGATTTTTAGATACATGGGTGAAGCTCTCGTAGCCCTGCGACGAATTTCGCAAGTTTTACAAGTTGAACACTGGGAAAAACCGATCCAAGCGACCAGCAACCCCGATGTCGCCGTCAGCTACCAGGTTCCGAATCCATAATTTAGTTATTATTTCCTAGAACGCTACGTTTAAATGGACAGAGGCGGTGAACACCACAGTCCCTCAAAGGAGACGACGAGGCAAAAAGCAAGAAGAAGCGGAACCGATCGTAGAAACCGTCAAGGAAACCGAAGTCTTCCACCTGCAAAACATCGATCTAAAAATCAAGAAGGTAAATGCTGGAACCCAATGACAAATATGCATATTTAGAGAGAATTGATCGGAATCTGCGGAGTTGTCGGAAGCGGAAAGTCTGCGCTATTGAACAGTATTTTGGGCCATGTGAGTGCGAAAACCCTCAAAAACTAAGTGCTTAGATGGAGCAAGAAACCGGAGAAGCACAAGTTGGTGGAGACATCGCGTATGTACCGCAGACTCCATGGATCCAGAATGCGACTTTCCAAGAAAACGTTTTCTTTGGCCTGGAGGAGAACAAGATACGCTATCACCGAGTGGTTGATGCTTGCCAGCTTAAACGAGACTTAGCGCAGATGCCAGAGAAGGAGAAAACAGAAGTGAATATTTATCTTAAAATGTTAATAACCGATAATTTAAGATCGGAGAACGAGGAGCTACGCTATCCGGTGGCCAAAAAGCTCGCATCTCATTGGCTAGGGCACTATACTCAAATCGAGATGTTTATCTTTTGGACGATGTTCTTGCCTCCGTCGATAGAAAGGTAACGTGTTATTAAGACATTATGTAAAATTGTCTAAATTTTAGGTTGCGGACAGAATCTTCAAAGACGCGATTTGTGACTATCTCAAATACAAAGGAAAAACCGTGCTGATGGTTACCTTTGATGTGAATCGGTTGAGTGAATGCGACCGGGTCATTTACATGGAAAATGGACGAATTGTCGGTGACGATCCACATCATATTCTGGTCAAGGCTTGCGATTCGTACAGAGGCTTTTGTGAAGCAGCTACTTTATATCGTAAGTATAATCACTGAATATGAATCTTTTGGGTCTAGCTCCTCGGCAATCCATCCAAGACGATTCGTTTGTTGAAGAAAAGAAGACGGCACGCTGGTTATCCATGAACAACCATCAAAAGCGCAGGTTGATTCGATCAAAAAGGAGCTTGAGAAAGGTGGTGTTAAAATACGGCGACCAAAATGAATTCTATTTCAGCAAAAGTTATCGAAGAGGAAGAGGACCTTGGACTTGCCAAGATGTCAATCGGATTATACAAGTCAACTAAACTTCTTCTAATTCGAATTGTGATTTTAGGAAGTATGCGGTCGCAGCGGGCTCGTGGTTTATATGGGCATTCCTTATGCTCATTTTCGTCGTCAATGTTTTCTCAACATTGTTCGCAACTTACTGGCTGAGTACCTGGCTAAAATCTGGACATGGTGAACAGGTAGCAAAAAGGAACATTTTTCACATTATTTTTTTTAGTTGGTTGACGTTAACGGAACTGAAGTGCTGCGTGGCCATCAATCAATGGCTGATTCCTCCGATACCCAATATTATTCCACCATCTACGCACTATCCCTTGTCGTGCTCTTCTTTTCCGGCCTCATCAAGGCTACGCTCTTTGTAAAGGTAAGCAAAACTCAGAATTCTGCTATTGTTATTATTTAGATCTCACTGAACGCTGCAACACAGCTGCACAACAATATGTTTAACTCGCTGATGCATGCTTGTACACAATTCTTTGATTCCAATCCGACCGGGAGGATTTTGAACCGATTCGCCAAGGATATGGATGAGAGTATGTGTCAAAAAACTAGATAAAACTCTTTTTTTATAGTTGATGTGAAGCTGCCTTTCACGATCGAGGTTTTTCTCCAAAATATGATTACCTGTATTGGCTATCTGCTGGTGATCGCCTGGGTTTTCCCTTATTTCCTGCTCGCCGCTGTTCCTCTTTTCGGCGTTTTCTTGATCTTTGTGCTGTGCTTTAAAGCTGGAATCCGAAGGTTTGAAAGCACCGTAGAACAAAAATTATTCATTTTTAGTTTGAAACGTTCGGAGAACATTTCCCGATCTCCTCTGTACGATCATATCTCGGCTTCTTTGGAGGGCATCCCGGTCATCCACAGTTACGGCCAAACAAATCGATTTATCGAAACTTTGAAGCAACGGCTAGATGCTAACAGGTATCGTTAATTTATATAGCGGACTGTTTTTGTTTTAGTGGCGCCATCTTTATGTTCCAAACGGCTATGCGATGGCTGGCTGTTTGGCTCGATCTGTTGGTCGTGGCCGTTACCTTTGCGGTTGCTGTTTGTATCGTGTTGCTCACCGGAAAAGTCTCGCCTGCCGATGCTGGAATGGCTATCGCATTTGCTATTCAGGTAAGGATCAAGGAATGTATAAATATATTCCCACAACTTTAGATGTCCGGCATCTTCCAATTTGCCATTCGCAATCAAACCGATATGGAAGCGAAGATGACTTCTGTGGAACGAGTGGTTCATTACGCAGATAACATCACTTCAGAAGGGCTATGGGATACTCCAAAGTAAGAGTATTAATTCCGACAACAAAAACGTACTGCAGAGGAGTTGACGTGCCCGGAGGCTGGCCCAGGAATGGTCAAATTGACTTTGCGGATGTGAAGTAGGTTAAAGGACCCTGATTCCATACACCTTGTAGGCTGAAATACCCCTCTAACACCGAAATGTCTCTGAATGGGCTTACATTTACCATCAAGCCCAAAGAAAAGATTGGTATCATTGGAAGAACGGGATCAGGTATGAAAGATAATGATTTAGTCTAAACCGAAACTTCAGGCAAATCTTCGATTGCCAACGTACTCTACCGTCTTTACAAAACAACCTGGGGAAAAATCTACATTGACGGTGTTGACATCGAAACAATCGGCTTGCATACGCTGAGGTTGGTGCGAAAAGGAATGAATCGTACCGCTTTTTATCAAGACAGTATTAGTATACACGTCGAGTTTTTAGACGTTCTATGGCAGTCATCCCGCAAGATCCAGTCCTTTTTGCCGGTTCCATCCGCTCCAACCTCGATAAATCCGGAGTATTCACCGATGATCAAATCTGGATTGCCCTGGAAAAGACTTATATGAAGGCTAAGATTCAGCGTCTGGAGAATGGGCTTGAAGCAAAGGTAAAAAGACAACACCACGCAAATACCCTCATTAACCTAGGTTGCGTCGGACGGAGAAAACTTTTCCGTTGGTGAACGACAACTTCTGTGCATGGCTCGAGCGCTGCTGATGCAATGCAGAATCGTGGTTTTGGATGAAGCCACGGCTTTCTTTAGATGCATCTTTGGATAAGCTGATCCATCAATGTCTATGGTTTGTATAGACATACTCGAGCTTTCATAAGATCTTCAGGGAATGCCTAGCTGATTGTACAGTCTTGCTTATCGCTCACAAGCTGGAGAACGTAGCTCGATGTGATCGTGTTTTACTGATGGATGGTGGAAGGGTAACTGATGAAAACTGAAAAATGACATTTTAATTTTGTAGTTGATTGCTTTTGATGAACCCTCCGTCCTGATCGAAAAAACCCCAGAGCTAAAGAAAGTCGTCGAAGAGGTATTGTAATACTGTTTTATTTCACGCAATTTTTCAAGGATGCCGCACTTCCCGAATCGGCTATTCGTCAAGCCTTGGATGCGTCGACTATCCTTGTGCTAGAAAATGATGGGTCAACTTCGCTAACTTCAGTAGATCCCAGTATCACTCCCAGATTGGGTAAAGGAAACAAGAGTGTCCCTGTAATGTTGATTCAGGAACACATCAAAACCATGGAGAACTAGAAGATGATTCAAACAAATCAGTAAAGTCCTTGGAAGTGGTGAAGACACCATCACGAGAGAGCCCCGTAATTATTGAAAAAGAAAATTCTTCCCAATCGGATCAGGATTTGGAAGTGTTAGAAGACGATGACGATAAGCGGGTGGGTATTTAAAAACCATCCAGCAATCTCAAAATAGGTCGTAGCTTTGGACGATGAAGGACGAAGCTCAACCAGTTCACCAAACGACCATGTCGTAGTCGAGCGTGGGGACGTTGAGCAGAAATAGATAAAAAATTGGCTTGTGTACATCTCCATCTGCTTTATATCACGTTGCTTTCATGATTTTCTTGGTTTTTCGTGCTGAGTGCAAGCCATGCCATGCGAACTTAAACTTAATCAACAGCTTTCATTCTGCTCTAACTTTAGGTCTCGCTAGCCGTTCGACGTTCCGTTAATCAGACCTGTGATAGCCAATATTGATGTTTGCGTGTCGAATTATTACGTGTGAATTATTTTTTGGGATAAACTGTCTGTTTTTGATCAAATTATACAGCTAATTAAAAATAATGCTAGTAACTGAATTAAAAAATTACATACATTTGAACAACGCATTTCCGGATAAAACATCCAATTTAAAAGTCAGCTGAACTTTTAGCTTTGGAAAATTCTTTCAGAACCCGTTGGTCATTTCGGGGTTTTCACCCACAGGCATTGTCGCGCGGTAAAATCGGGAAAACAGCTGAAGCTTTGCTGACTTCCACCGTCGGACCCAATGACGCTCACTTCCATCCGCCCTCCCCATGAACCACCTAAAATAGCCGTCTTTCCATTCATCAATTGTCTTATGTAACCCTTTTTCCGGGTTGTTTACTTGTTTTCCCCCAAAAACCCTGTTTTTCGGTTTACCTTCGGTGTGCCGGAATTTCGGGTATTTTGTGGAGATGATGTCGAGGTATTGTTTTGATCATGTACTGCGCGGGAAACCTTGGAAGACGTCTTCCAAAGACCTTGATTTTTGAAAATCATCACACGTTTTTAGGTGATAATGGAGTTTGTGCTATAAAATAGCTCATTCGATAGAGCTTGAAATGCCAGTTTTTGACGTCGAAAAAACATTCCTTCGCGTCCTAATTTTGTTAAGCAGAGCCAAAGTAGGCAAAAAAGACATCTTAGCGCCAAATTTCCCGAAGGTCGTGATCGTTCAGCAGTTTTTGAAAGATAATCCTTGCTCAGATTTTAAGCTCTATCGTATGCACTATATTGTATGCACTAAAAACAGAATTATCACGTAAAAACGTCTCCTTGTTACCTCTATTCACTTTTTGCACTGCGCTTCACCAAACTTTCCTGGGCCACCGGGTCCATATGGCGTGTCAGTCATAAATTTATCTAGTAGCCATGAATACAAGCAACCCATAGACGGCCAGATCCATAAACCCCCAAAAGGAGAGCCAGAGCCAGCTGCAGGGGTGGGGCTCCGCGCAGGTTTAGTGTCGTTATTTCCCGGTTTTACCGCTCCGTCCCACTAGCCTGCCAGCCTGCCAGCCACCGGCCACCAATAAAAATTGATTTCCGGGCTTTTCCGGGGGCGGCCACACAACGTCGACGTGTGGGCTGTTGGGAGGAGTTGCGCGGAAGTAGACAACGCACATTGTCATTTGTAAGCAAAGACGGGCGGACCGAGGGAGGCGGCTTAAACGACCGATTTCGTAGCCTTTTCGGGGTGTACGCCTAGATACGTCGTAGTTTTGCGGATTTAGTGCGGACTAAAGAAAGGTGTCATTACCCAGGATTTAGTTTGCGAAGCCTCAAGTTCAGTGTGTATTTCTGTTTTGTTTTGTCTGGGGGAATGGGTTGTGGGTGATGAGTGGGCGGGTTCCTTCATAGATACACAGCCTTCCTTGTCTTGGCGGCTTCATGGCATGCGGGTAAAGGGGCGGATAATTCATAATTCAACGGTAGAGGCGGGAGGGCTGACATAATAAAGGCGACACATTCTTCTCTCATTTCCATGCTCCATGGCTTTCTAATTGAAAGCAGCGAGTGTTGAGGGGGACGGAGGACGAACCTTGGATTACTGTAACCGCGTCAAAAATCAAAGTGTTGCTAGAAAAAGGTAATCAAAGATTTTGATTGCACATATCGCTTAGGCTCTTTGGGAAATAGTCTACAAGCGCAGCAGAACGAGAAATTTAACACGGTCGGATATTTACTGTTTAAAAAAAAAAAAAAAAAAAAAAAAAAAAGATGCATTTATTTTTGGTTTTTTATATAAATTTTTTTTTTTTTTTTTTTTTTTTTGGGGGGGAAAAAAAAAGTTTTTAAAAAAAATTTATTTTTTAAAATTTTTTAAATTTTAAAAAAAAGAACCGAAAAGGTACTTTTCATATTTTGTGGCATTCAAGTGGAATTTTACGAAGCGGTTACGGACATGGATCCGTGATATGACACGGGCCAACGGTTTTGTAACCGTCAAATATTTGTATTTTCCGATTCCGCCTGAAATTAGAATACAGTTCACTGCAACTACTGTGGCGTATACCCGTGTTTTTCTCAACACATCCCCCCAACCTCCGAAAAGAATACGGTACCCATTCTCAACCTCCCCCATTGCTTGATGGCCCGGAACCCAACAATTGGCACTCATCCGGTGTGAGCTACCCATACCATTGGCCCTTCCCCTTCCACCCTTCCATCCCAAAGTGAGGGGTCATTTGGGTGTCCGCTAATGCGTCATAATTTTTATACGATGCGGGGCTATTGCCCGCACTCAACCCTTCCCCCCAGCTAGCCATCTGACATCGGGAGGGCACGACCCCTGTGGCCCTCCCTGTGCATTACCTAATTGGGACCTCTAGAGGCAAGGGGTGGGGGCCCCGTATGGAATGGCCATAGGGCCCGAACAGCGCCAGCTGGCTGTGCGCCGCCAACTGATGGATGTCCTGATGGGCCATTCAGCAACAACTTGTTGCGCCACACGTCAAAATCCTTTTCGGGAGAGATGTCGTGGTTATTAGACCGGATGTCGTTGCGGGTTGACAAAGTTGTCCGACCTAGACAATCGCACAAACGCGTTTTGTGCTCAACATATTTAAAGCCAGACCAGCAAAATTTGTTACGATCGGAAGCCTTTGCTTTTAATGGTATCGATCGATTCCTGTAGAATATACTCAAAAACTTTTGTGTACTTGTGCTATGAACAGAAGGTTTGACAAACCTGCCGGATCTAGAAAAAGTTGCATTACGAAATCTTTCACAAAAATATTGAAAATCCCCGCTAACAAAAATTCCAAAACCCCAAACCAATCACAAATCCGTGCCCTTTACTTGTTTCATAAAGTCCAATGAATTTAAAAACGACTCGCCATCATCAAAAACTCTCATATCCTAATTTCGCAACGATAGTCATACCAGATCACAGTTCCTTAGATGACAACTTGACAATTCTGAATTGCGAAACTTTGATCCACAATCTCACAATCGGCCCCGAAATCGGCATGACGCCCTAAACCATTCATTTTGGCTTCTTAATTCCGCTAAGCTTTTTGTAGTTCTTTGCCACACTCAGTAAGAAACTTTGAACAAATATCTCAGCTCTATTCATCAAAACAGAACAATAGTTTGTGGGGGGTACTGTACTTGCCTTTAGAAAAAGAATGAGTCTGGTCAGGGAGTGCAACAAACAAATTGTTTACAGGTTGCGAAAGGGAGGCGTGAGAGGTGGGGCAGCGGGAGAGAGGGGATGTGAATTGTCATTTTGGGGATTTCGTTAGGCCTGTTGTGTTGGGAATATAAGCGAAGGATTATGTGCGACGTCTTTCACCCACCCGCGCAGCCGTCGTGCCCGAAAATGGTCGGGCTGACAATACGAGAGGCAGAAATGGCCGTTCAGCGCTGGCTTCTGGGTGCGCTCAATCACTGAAGCTTCTAGAATTTTCCCGGAATTGTTTTTATAAAATAAAATGCTAGTTTTTGTTCTGATTGTTCTCGATTTTTCGCAAGCTTGTTGAATTTGTATATTTCTAAATTAAAAATGGTTGGGCATGGTCGTTATTTCGCCCATTTTGGCATTTCATGAGAACTCGAAATTTGTACAATAAGGCTTTATAAATTTCAAGCCTAAAAATATATTGTTCTACGGCTTTTACCAGGTTTTTTGCAAATTTTTCTCGAATAGCCAACTCGAAGTTTAACATGTATTCAAAAATCCTCTTGATTTTTACCATGCTCTGGACAAAATCTTAAATTTGCCAGACTATTTTCCTCGTACAAAACAACCAATGTTGCTTGGATCATCTTTTCTTTTTTTACTTCTGTCATACCCGACCTCTCCCACACCCACCCTCGTAGCGCAATGCCCGTCATCGTATTTTGCATCTAGCCCATCATCATTTTGCCCAATTCCTTTTTTTGGGCCCGGAATGTCCTTCGGGTAAGGTGCTGCCCACCCTCGACGTGATAGTATGACTAAAATACCTTTTTCCAGGCAGGTTGATCAGCCAAATTCTCTTGCCCTCATTATTTTTCACCTGGTCGCTGGGCGCGGCGCCATTTCAACCTTTTACGGGCCCCGCGTGCTCGGGAAAAGCGTAATTTCCACCTGTTGCTAATTTCCAGTCCGTATCGTTGGGTTCAGATTTTTGAGGCAGTGTGGTTAGGAGCTCTCCTTGGTTGTTTGTTAGGAAAATAGGTAATCCAGGGATGGTTGTTGGTTGCGTGTCAAACATCAACCGTTTTTGGTGGGTTAGGCCATGCGGTAAAAGCAATAAGCCGTGGTGACTAAGTACCAGGGAGGTCGTCTCTTTTTTAATTAGAAACGGGTACTGGGTTGGTACACGGAAGATAGGGAAGATGGTGAGAGGGGTACGGTAGAGGCACTTGGGGGTATCCTTGCTTCTTCCTTAGGTCTTGGGATTGGCCCTAGGGCTGCGACCCCGCCCACCCAAAACAGAGCCAAGGGGCTTAGGGGAGAGGGCCCTTTTTATATGGACGTACCACTACTTGAACCTTACGTTCATTTTAGTTGTGTATCAACTGTTTACTAACATTTTAAGATAAATTCGAAGGGGGGAAGCCGTAGTATTTTGGGGGTGAAGGGTATGTCCGGTTGGTGGAGTAGCAGGGATTCCTTGGTGAAATCCTGCCTTGCGGGAGATGTTAATGTATATTGACTCATGGCCTATTCGAATCTAAATTTTAAAGGTTCTAGTGAGACAGGAATTATCATATTTTGTAAGATAGAATTTTGGCTGCCGATTGAAGATGCGCTTCATTTCGTTAATAATTGTCAAGACTCAAGTTTTTGATACTGCTGTATTACCCTTTTGGGAGCGATGGTTACAAATTTTAGAACAACACTTGTTTCCTAGCCATTAAACGTTTGGTTCTTCTACTCTGCATCCATTCTAGAAACTAGTGCTTTCATTTTTAATTATGTTTTTATAAATAATAATCGCTGGATGTCAATTTTTTTCACCGTATTGATACGTCTTGGAGCATAGGTAGCGGTTTTTGGTATTCTTGCCTTTCCTACCTTTTAGCGAGAATTCCTGCAGTCCGCCTTATTATTTCTGCAAAACACTAATTCTTAATTTTGTTTACTTGCTTGCAATCGTAGCTTAATTCTGCATTCCTAGCATGATTGGTGAACCTGTCGACGGTTTGGAAGCCGGCTGTTCGTCGAGACATCCATTGGAGGAACGATCTCCGAACGGACACCTCCCATTAACAGGTAAGCCGTATAATGCCCGACACCCTTCTTGCCCCCCACGCCCCTCCCCTACCAATAACAACCCCCCCCTCTTCTAGCACCATAATATACCCAGCGCCTACCCCTAGCTAGAATCCAGTCTGATATTCCTTTTTTATTCGAGCTACCACTAAAACACCATAAAACAATTCTGGCTTCCGATTCATGGCTTTTCTTAGGCCGCAACCCCCGCCAGCTTTCAAATAACTTCGACCAGATTTTACACAATGCCAGAATCAATTACCTACTCTTTGCGCCCAAGACCATCTAGGAAAGACCCTTACTTATCTATTCCGGGAGGAAGGAGCTGTTATACAAGAACCATCGATTCATCCCCGCATTCACTAAGTAAGTCGGCTGGGTTTTAATTTCTGGTTTGTTTGTTTCTAAATGCTTTGCAGTGTTTTTAAAACAAAGTGGTTTTACATTGGGGCGGAATGGGTAGGAGAGAGAGAGTAGGTTACTCACATATTCACGAATATTCACTCGCTCCATCACGGCGCTTTGTCGGCCGGGTGGCAGGCCGACGACAGGGGGAGGGAGTAGTAGGGTCGTGTCTGGTGGAAGATGGAGAGGGGTGTATTAAGAATTTCTGAAATTTTGTTTTATCATAGGCGTTTTACTTGCGTTGCAAGAAATGGAATGCCGCTTTTTTGGAAGCTGGCATTCAAAATGAACAAAGGCTGTACTTACTTGAAATCCGTCTCTGCTTAATTTTTATAAATTGCATCTGTCACAGAAAGTACACTACCAGCTGTCCTGAGCATTAGCAAATTTCCAAAGATGAGTTTTTAGCAGACTATAACATGCAAGAAACGCTAAATAGATTTAAAAATACGTTCAAGTTTTTCTCGCTTTTTGAAAAGCTTTCTAATGCGGTAAAAACGCATCCAAAACCTAACTTTTTGGTTTAACGTCCTTGGGAGACGCTGTAAATGTTATGTACAGTTAGTTTCCCGAATTCAAAGCTCCAATAACCTTAACATCTGTGAATTACTCATCTGAATCACATGCGGTGATTTCAACACCCAGTTCCCACTACCTCTTCCAAGCAAACCGAAGCCCCACCGATCTTGTGATTCGAAAATTCGCAGGTGGAGGGGGATCCCCCAAGAAGCCTGACAATCGGATTTGGGCGAAATCCTGACACGCGGAAGTGTGGGTGTGTTGCTCAGCGCTTCCATCATGGGCTGACCCCCAAAAAATGTTTGATTTGGGGCGGGGTGAATCTCGAACTTGCGCACATCAGTGGTGTATCACCGGCTAACTATTGTGTTTCTTGGAATTTGCCCCGCTAGGCCGTATTTGTCGGCTTGTGAGCGCGTGGATATTTGTGTGCGCATCTTGGATTACCTAAATAACGTTAGGTAAACAGCCGGGAGGATGGCGTCGATGCTGACTTTTATGGGCGCGCAAACCGCCCGACGACCACCGTTCTATAACGGGAAGTTTCCAGAAATTCCATAAATATCGTGTGTTGTGTAGAATTTTCTGGAGGTTTTTGGAGTTGTGACTCTTTCGATCGGGTACTGTATTTTACAATACAAAAACAAGGCTGTTATTTTTTTCGGTCTATTTAGCGGTATTATAATAAAAGCCGGTCTTCTAGCTTATCCATCAAACTAAATTTGGAATTCGCGGGTATATTTTGCTGGTTTTGAAAGGTTCCATAAGTTTCCGACATTTTAAATTGTCTAAACTTTGCATAAAGTCAGCAAATGCATAAATAAAACTATTATGCAAATTTTTAACACCTAAATTTTACCATTCACAATTTTTACGGCTTTTAAGGGTTTTCAACGGACCCCTAAATATTATAGGCGCATAGATTAGAGGAAATACGGTATATGAATCATAAATTCCTACACTTGAGGTTTATGTAGATTGACGTTTTTCAAAATGCGACTTCGCGACTAATCGTGGGATCAGCGGAATTACTTGACCCCCAAATCCTACAGATTGTCTCGAATTTTGGGCCCGCATTGGCGGGGGCGTTCTGCGTGGCAAGCCTAGAGCTCCGTCAAAGGGCCATACCGGAAAAGGCGTAACACCGATGACAAAATCGGGAGGGGGTATTCCGAGAGGAAAGTGATGTCACTTAATTACAAAAACAAAACTGAGAAGCGGCAAGTGTGACTATGTAGGGCGGGTTGTCTGTCTACATTTTTGGGCTAGTTTTTACTCGGTAGCCGGCAATGATCGAGCGAAGATTTGTACACTTCAAAGGCTGGGGTAAGTCTCTAGTTGTGTAATCCAACTGGGATTCTGGATTAGCTGAGGGTGGCGGGTATAATCTGGCCTTTTTGGTTTATTGTGTTTTTGCTCGGGTTTTTAGAGATATTTCGGTTCTTATTCGTCGTTTGACCTTTGTCATTTTTCCTGTTTCTTAACGGGTTTTTTTCAACTCTATGCGTTCTTTAAATTAATTAGCATCCTCTCGAATTCTGTTTTTATGCTTAGAAGTAAAATATCTAGGAGAGTTAAGGGTTCATTACAGCGCGTTTTTCGATAATATGAAAGTTACGTTTCATGCGTTATTTTACCGTTTTCAGACAGATAGAAATTGTCTCATTTGCATATAAAGCTTTTGGCCGATTATTTAGGACATTTTGGAGTCGGGTTCCTTTTATTCTCTATCGTAGATGGATTTAATGAGGAAAATTAAAATAACTATTAAAAATTGCCCGGCTATCCAAGGTTCTCGAAGAGGGCTTTTCAACTCTAGCGCTGTTTGAATTTTTTCCTCAAACCCAACCCCAAGCCTTAGCATGTCAGGGGTCCCCAAGGGATGAGCTAAATATTTACCTACATCTACGCATGACCGGGTGCTAATGGCCCAACCAAACCCAACACTCTCCCCCACACCTGTGACAGCCGGTTGCCGGCTTTGATCCCAACCATTCGAAGGGCCCTGGGGCATACCAAATACAGAAGTGCCAACCCAACAAATGTTTGTCTTTAGGTGCCGAGGGTCGCCCCGAATGCATTTGCGCTCGATGCGACCAACCAATCAGGGAGCAATTCCTCAATAAAGTACTCGACAGGTGGGAGATGGCGTGGGTTTTGATGAAATCTTTTTTTTATGGGCCATCACAATGGCCGTTTTCTTGGGTTTGTGATGCTATTTGAAAGGTTGGCGTGGGAATGGCTTGTTATAATGGCCAAACTACGAAATGCCATTTTTTTCAGTTCCTTCCACAGCGACTGTTTAAAATGTTCGTGCTGTGAAGAGAAGCTCGTGACAAAATGCTATATGAAAAACAATTCACTGTTTTGTCGAAATCACTTTTTTAAGTAAGTGCTTGACGTTCGAAGTTAACGTTTTCTTAGAAAATTCGGGACCAAATGCGGTATGTGCAAAGAAGGGATATCCCCCGATTGCATCGTCCGAAAAGCAAACGAACATGTATATCATATGGAGTGTTTTCAGTAAGTTACTGATTTATTTTGGCATGCTATTTTGCATATAGATGTACGATATGCAAGCGTGATATGGAGACCGGCGATGAATTCTACCTGATCCCAATCGAAGGGAAAATTGTTTGCAAAGCCGACTATGAAGTGGCAAAGAATAAAAGTGGGTTTAATTTTTAAACTAGAGCTTGTATTCTTGGCATGAACTCAATTCACAAACGCGAATATTTTATTCACTTAGGGTTTTTATTCAAATCTGAAAATTTTGCATAAAAAAATATAACAATGTAGGTTTTACTTTCTGCGGCCTCTGCGCTGAAAAAAATGCTTTTCGGCCGGAAGTATATGAAAAACTCTGGATTTGAATAACCGATAATAACCAAAACCTTCTTAAAATTGATTGGATTTACATGAGACCAGCTCTAACATTCCCTCTGACCTGTAATTATCGCCATATCCACAGCCACCACCTGCCTTTCCGACCCCAAACCTCTACTACCAATTTGCATAAATTATGATCAATACCCGCGTTACGATCCCCGGATATGTGTTCCCTCCATCCATCGGGGGCACCACGCATTTCTCCACACCATCCTTGTTTTTCGTGCGTTCCCAGGGGCCCAAGTACAATTTGGGGCGGCCGGTGCAGTCGGCGAAAATTTTTTTATTTCCCCCGATAAACCGCCATCCCTCCTGGGGGTTTGTATGTCTATCCGGGATCGTGTGGGCAAATTTGGGTTCTAACGCGATATCGTTAACTTTGTAGTCTAAAAAACGGTGTTTAGCCCCGGATTTGGAGATGGAGAATACGAATAAAAGGCCGAGGACGACGATATCGGCAAAGAGCTTGGAGACGTTGAAGCAGGCATATCATGTAAGATTTTTTGTTTTTCTTAAATCTGAAAACGGTTTACAGACCAGTTCGAAACCTGCACGTCATGTTCGAGAACAACTTGCGGCTGAAACTGGGTTGGACATGAGGGTTGTTCAGGTGGGATTTTTAAGCCATAAAACGGTTTATGCCTCTTTGTAGGTTTGGTTCCAAAATCGACGTGCTAAAGAAAAACGCCTGAAAAAAGATGCTGGAAGGTCTTGGACAGGAGGTTCGGCCAAAACTTAACATATATTTCCGAAAATTTAGGAAACCAAAAAACTGACTCCGATAGTAACTCACCGACAGAAAGTATCAATGGACAAAGCCCTGGATACGGTAATTCGATCCAGAAACTGCACAGTTTTTTTCAGAGAGACCTAAGAAATTCTAGAAAACAATTATCGTCTTGTTCAGGCTACATCGAAACGCCCAACGACCACGATAACCGAGTAGATAGTGTCTACGCGGATTATCAGCTGCTGAGCCAAGGCCCACCTGGCAGTACAATTCAAGCCACTTCCCCCATGTGTAAGTCTAAATTCAAAAATGTTTTTTTTTGTTTGTGAAGGGTCAAAAACCTCCGCTATAGCTTCAGATATGGAAAATTTCCATCCGATTCGAAGCCTCAACGTCGCAGATCTAGGATTGCCGCCATCCGGAGCATTGCTTGGGTTAGATCAGGTGAGCCTTAAAAAAAAGAGTTGCAGGTATGGAAATCATGGAATCAAGCATCATGGAAATTCAATATATTATTGTGAAAGAATTTGCGAATATTATAATTTTCAGATTCAAGCAGGCCCAACCCCTCTTTCTGCTGAGCACCTCCTGTTTCCAATGACATCATCATTGGACCCGGGCGCTATGGCTGGACTGGCACATCATTTTATGCAGTAAAATCACATCTGATAATGATATATCACCATTATGATCTCGTTTTCTTCCTTGATCTCTCAAACACCGATCTCATCAAGCATCTAGTCCAAATGAGCGATTTCTGGTCAAAAAAATTCCCCCACACCCTTTTGTATTGCTCTTCGATCTCGTTTTCCTCAATTTGAATGCCAAATATAATTACCTGGTTGGATATTTTGATAATAAAGCTATAGTGCTGGTTGGAATGCAACAAAACTTTGTGTTGCCGAAATTACACGCAAAAACATGCTAATAAACGATCCGCCATTTTATACTTATCGGGATGTTTCTCAAATTGATTCTGTTCTCTCTTTGAGATTCCTTGAATTCGACTTTGGCTTTTTATGATCGTTTCAAATTGGCGCTAATGCTAAAATTTTGCTTACGCGACCAAAACGATGTATCGACAAGACGTGAACCGAGTGAGAGTAGCCCTGGATTGTGAGAGAGCAGACGCTCGAAAAAGGCCTGGACAGCTGTGGTGGGCTCCCATGTTGCATCCGAACTTTCTTCAACGCACTCACGCGCCATTTCCACTCTTATTTATTTTGAAATGCCTAAGGTATACATATTATTTATATAATCACGATAAAGCCCGAAAAATTTTTGTTAGGGGCTAACTAGGAAGGCTAAACTCCCGTTCCATTAAAACTAAACTAGTCGAACACGAAACGCTCCTAGCAGAAAACCTTTATGACATGATTTTTTACCAAGAAACCTGGCTTTCCGAGATTGTGCCCGATAATCTACTTACTGGACCCGTAGGAGCATATAAGGTTTTTTCGCGCCGATAGGCAAGATAGAACAGGAGGTGGCGTTTGCATTTTAGTTAGATCCCACATTCCTACAAAATAATTCTTTCCACTTCTTCTTACGGAAGCGAAATCTTAATTCTCGATATATTTCTAAATTTTCAACAACTCCGCTTTATCAACCTTTATAGGCCGCCGCAAGTTACGTTTGAGGACACTAAGTTGTTGCTGTCAAGTCTAGATGGTCATGTTGCCGCTGCCGAACATGTCTTATTGGTCGGCGATTTAAACTTTTCAATCTTTCCAGGCATCGTCCCGGCGTTCGGCGACAAAAGGGCTCTCCTTTTGCACGAGTTTACCGTAGAATTAGGCTTAACGTTAGTCTCAAATTTTTGCCACATACCCACAAACCGGAAAAATGCCAGACGTGGCTATTTCGTCGCCCGGCCTTGTCACATCTTGTTCTCCCCACGCGCCTTTCGCCAAATGCGATCATCTAAGCATGGTCATTAAAGTAGATTGCGTAGTGTCAAAAAGTAACTTTCAACCGTCCGGCCTAGACTTTACGAAAGCCGATTTTGAAAACATAAATTGCGAAATCTACCACGCTGACTGGTCATTTTTGTCAAACCAGGCGCTAGGCCTGCAATCAAAGTACGACCAAATCATCCATAAACTAGGACAGATCTGTTCCAATTTTGTGCCCAAAAAAGGTTTAGAGCTCCCTCTAGGATACCCGAACACATATCCCGCTCGGCAAACCGGAAAGAAACCTTTTGGAAACGCTTTACAAGAGGCGATTTCCTATCTTAACTCCAGGCCCAAAAACCTCCCGCCTCGGCTCTTGTAAACCCTACAGGCATGTTAGTAACCTCTGCCGAGACAAATTCCTGAAATTTTAGCGCTAAATTTCTCAAAGGTCTACCCAAACGCGAGGTGTAGACCACTCCCTCTGACTTAGATCCCTCTCTTTAGTTGCACAAATTCTACTTTTCCAGCCTTTCTGTTAACCCCGATCGATGTAGAAAATGCTTTCAAATTATTGGAGCCAAAGCTGCACTGGACGCCTGAGAACCTGCCAGCTTTTCCTAAAAAACTGCTCTCAGACACTTTCCAAAATTCTATGCCACTTTTCCAACCTTTCGCTTCTTTCGGGACAGATCCCCGACCAATGGAAAGTATCGCAAATCTTCCCATTGTTTAAATCAGGGGACGAAACCTCGCCCGGAAACTACCGCCCGTTGCCCTGACCTCCTCCATTTGCAAACCTAATGGGAAGTAGCTTTAAAAACGAAAATCGTGGCGCGTCTTGAGCTAAATAATTTCTTTTCCGCCAGCCCAATTCGGCTTTAGAAAGTTTCATTCCACGACCACGCAGCTTTTGCAAATGTTTCACAAAATCTCTGGGAAAATCGACGCCGACGAGGACCCTACCACGATTTATTTTGATCTAGCCAAAGCTTTTGACAAAGTTTCCCACGCACTTTTAATCTACTAAGCTTTCTCATATAGGTTTTCCGCAGATATTGGTTACTTGGATTGGAAGCCTATTTGACAAATCGATCTTTCTATGTGAAAATAGGTGATCAAAAGTCGAACGCCCCACCACAGCCCTCAGGAGTCCCTCAAGGTAGCGTATTAGGCCACTCTTTTCTCATCTATATAAACGATCTTCCTTCCCTTCTAACGAACAGTAGCCTAATTTTTTGCTGATGACTTAAAAGAATTTACGCCGGCGTGCCACCAACCCCACCCTGGCTGATCCCGGCTTTTAGAGCCCTCCAGGCAGATATAAATCCGTTAAAAGCTGGTGTTTTGAAAATGAAATCTCGCTTTCAACCTCCAAAACTTATCTAACGAACATTCCCCCAGCCCGTTTCCAAGATCTCTACGTAGACAATACCCCGGATACCAAGGACAAATGTGATTAAGGACCTGAGGATCACTTACAATCAGAAATTTAACTTTGAATCGCATATCGCCGCTATCCGATTAAAAGCCGCTCGTATATCCTTCCTTCTTATCAAAGAATTCAAATTCCAAATGCGATCACGTACCAAGCGTGCTTTCAGTACTTTAGTTAGGCCGATTTTGGAGTTACGCTTCCGAGGATTGGAACCCAACCAAAAGCGAAACATCAATGAACTTGAAGTGTCCAACGTAAATTTACTTTCTTTGCCTATAAGAATTGTTCCCAAAATGAGCCTATGCCCTGTTACCCAGATCGACTAAAATTCTTTTCCCTTCCCACTCTAGCGCACCGTAGAACAGAAGCGGATTGGTAGTTACATTTTATAGAGTCTTTTTTGTAGAAACTTTTCCCTTCAAATTTTTTGGAATGCACAAATCGTCCGATAAGGAATTCCCATGCTTTTCAGAGTGAAGAGAATCCATAGTAAGCAAGGTTTCCCCCGTTCTTTCCTTCTCGCGTAGAGTTGCGAAAACCTGGAGATCAGCTCCCGCCTAGAGTCTTAAAGAAGGTCAATTGGGAAATGCAAGAGCTTTCGTGTAACTTTAGAAAAAATGGACCTGTCCCAATTTCTGTGATCTTTTCTTCCCTCCCCCGTTTGTTTCCGCATTTTATACAACCTCTGAACCGAGTGGCACCACACATTGCCTACTCCCCACTCTTATTCAACTACTGAATAAAGTATTATATATATATATATATATATATATATATATATATATATATATATATATATTCTATCTGAGACTCGGCATGGAACTGGAGAAGTCAGACCCACCATTCGACCGCGCCAAACCAGAGCGTATAACGTAAAAAGCTATGAGGATTTTAAATCGACAAAATGGTGAAAAACAGTATCTTTGAGACCCTGTATCATCCCGCGGAATGGAATTTAGCCTAAACTGATTAATTAGCTCCTTGTTCAACAAAGAAAGCTCTTTAAAATGAGCTATGTTACCTACGGCTGCCAAAAATTTCCGTAAAAAAATATTTTTGGAATCGCGGCATAAGGAGTAGAGGTATGGCCAGCTTGCCGAAGACGTTTCGAGAATTTCACGTAGAGCCTATGTAAGATGGCCCATTCGAAAGAGAATTTTCTGCCGATCAAGATGTCTACGGTGTTCTATTTTTGGCAAATTACATTCTTCGAATTCATACAGAGTCTTAAAGGGCGGTTTTTGACGATTTTATAACTTTATTATAGAGAGCGTCCAATCCTGGTTTTGTTGCGCGAGGTTGTTTTATCATCGCTCGTGCTTTAGGGAGTCACACAGTCAAGAAAAACTTATTCCTGAATTTGGAAATGCAAAGGAAGTAGGAACTGGTCAAAAAGCAAAAAAGGCGCGCCGCGATCGTCGAATAGTGTATCTGACTTCTCAAAGTTCGATGCCGAGGTTCAGATACCTCCCTATTAAGATATTTCTTTGGAAAACTAACGAGGTCTAGGCGCAAATCTTGGGATAAATCCAAGAGGTCCGGGGAGATTTAATTTTAATTACCGCAGCTATCCATGGTATTGGCAAGATATGGATTTCACGCGTTGCATCCCTCGTAACCAGTCGATACATCTACCGGAAGCGCTTATTGCCGAATGCAGTATATAGTTTGCCCTGGCACGCTCCGGGTCTATCACTAATAGTGCTTTTGAATGATAACGTTGGGGATCGATCCACATCTGCGCAAGTCGTTACCAACATCCGGCACAGAATAGTTTATTTTTATTTTTTTTCAACTGCCTGCCGCATCGTATAAACCGGGTTTAGTAATCTTTTGCTTTTTCCCCACGGAGCAAATTTATTTTGTTCCTCTTGTTTAAATGAATGACCGTGTTCTAGAAAACCTTATTTAGAAGCGAAAACATTTGAAATCAACCCGTTTCCTTCCCACGACATCGTTGCAGAAGATGTCTAATGGGCCTTCGTCCTCAGGATCCAGTAGGCCCCGTAAGTCTCGCGTCTCATCAGTTAAATATCTTTCTAAACTCTAAATCCCACTATTTTTTATTCAGCTCCTCGTGGAATACTAAAACGAAATTACCCGGGCAGCCCAGCAGGCGGAGCAACCCCAAAACCTGATCGCAGTCTTGCGACCGATAGATGCCAGGTAAATACGGCCCCAGAGCCTCAACCATTTCACCATTGTTTAGCTCTGTCCAAGACCATTCTTTCCGCATATTGAATTACGACGCCGAGTGATACATCATCCATTAACCCATCACTTTTGTGAGCTGCCAGTCCGTTGCTCGGGTCAGTTTTTGCAATCGCATAGGATTCAGCAATCACTGCGAACGTTCAGTTTGAAATTTTTACCTTTCAGCCTGCAATGAACGTGGAGCAGGGGGTGGACCTATTCGAGACCATATTCAACGGGCGCATCAGGGCAGAGCGAAGGTGATTGACGCGAGGTAAACATTGCTCGTGCCCATAATACCCTACAGGGATCGTGCGTATTGGATGCGACTTCGTACTTGTGCCGTTGAATGCTTTCCCGAACACGAGAGAAGAATCAATGACGAGATTTACCGATTTTTGTCGAGCAAAGCGCTGTTGCTGTATGAGGATACGTGGTTGAAGATTCAACCAGGAAACGGGCGGATTGATTCGCCAGCCAGGACCCCAGGATATGATAGTTCCGGAAATTCTCCCTTTTCGGTACCTTTATAGAGATTTTCAATTATTTTTAGCCAATCATCGGTTCTCCGGCCGTCCGGGATGAGCCAGTTCCGGTCGTTCAAAAAGGTGAGCCAACAAATGTTAATAAGATAATTGGCTCTTTAGCTACCGCAGACGCTCAGACGGAAATGTCTTGGGAAGACATAGCGCAACTAGAAAAAGGTGATAACATTTGCTTAAAACTGTCAACCTATTAGAGTAACGGGGGTGAGAAAAATTTCATAAAAAAAGAAAAAATTTTGAAGAAATTAAAACTTTCAATGTTTTGAAAGATGGTACATTTTATGGGGATTTTTTTGAAGTATTATCTGGTTTTGTCTAAAACCTATTTTAAAAAAGTCCCTTTAGAAGGCAAACCTCACTGAAGTTGCGATTGGATGACTCTGAAACAAAAGGAAAAAATATCAAGCTAGACTTGTAAGTGAATGCAGGAAAATTTGTGAGACTAGCGCTTAGACGGAAGCTGTGAAGGACAGGAATGAAGCAAAAGAGCAGCTCACAAAAGCTACAAAGGAGAATGCCAGGCTGAAGGCAAAAACGGTATGGATGGAAAGATTAAAAAAAATAACCACGATACGATATTCAGGAGGAACAAGAGAAATACATTGACGAACAAGCTGAAAAACTACGCCAAGCGAAAGGAGCGGTACCTAAACATCAAATAGAATTAATCGGGTTTGCAGGGTATCGTGAAGGAAGAACCTGGAATAGTCGCGGTCCGGCCGGTTATTATTAAAGAAGAGCCGGTTGAAGACCCCAGGATAGCGAAATATCAAGCTGAGATTGCTACACTAAAGCAGGATCGATCCCACGTAAGATTTAACCGTTCTGTAAGAAATAACTAAATAAATTGCAGCTAAATAAAATCGTCTCCGACCAAGCGATACAAATCCATAAATTGGAAAAACTGGTGCCCGTCATCCAAATTGATGATTGATTTATTTCACAGAAGTTAGGATTGCATTTTACACCGATCTTTGTAAATAATTCTTGCCATCATGTATGCACTGAAATCGAGTTCAATTTTTTCTATATGGCTTCAGATCTCCGTGATGTGCAACCTTTCTGCATAAATCAGTATTAAAAACCAATTTTGCTTTAAAGATTCCATGTTCCTACCTCTTTTTCTATCAACAACATTACATTGACCTCATCCCAGTTTACTTTTTTGCTGAATAAAAATTTGTCCGTTGCGCATAGTTTTTGCTAAAAATACACGCACATTTGTAAAAAACAGGAGGAATATAAGCTGAAGACAATGTCGGGGCTCTAATGTATGCAGACAAAAACAATATCGTGGAAACGGGCGACGTGACCCGCCCGCACGGGGTGACGGTTACAAAGCCATTAGTCGCAGCTTCCACGTTTTTCTTCACATTGATCAGAAAATTTCTCCATATGGACAGAGCTATTCTCTCTATTAGCCAAGCTTCAACGTCTAATGTAGTCTTAATGTCTACTCATGAGGAAAACGAACCTTCGACCTTAGTTTTAGACCCTACGTTGCATTTTTTTGATACCAGGCAAAAGCTGACCGTTGTCACCGTCTGCCCCTTCGAAAAACATTCCTGTTGACGAAGAACGGCTTTTGGTTGGGTTTTCCTAGATGTAGCAAGATCGAAGCGAAGATAGGGCGGATTGGGGACCTCCGCTTCATTCAACCGTCTGCATACTGGTTGGCAGAAACGCCTCCAATTTCTCATTTTTTTCAAATATTTTTTACTAAAAACGAAGCTTTCTTCATTACCTAGGCTTCTAATACTTCATACCGACTTTTAAGTTACTTTTTCGGTGGTGACTTGTCCTATTTTTATGGTTTGGTTTCTACTTCTGCATTTTTTGGCTAGCCTCTATCGGTTGGGGAAAGCATGCATGATGGCGTGGATCATTAAGGATTCAGCGACACCGGTAGCGCCATACCAGTCGGATCGTAATTTTCTTGCCCGATCGTAATCGATCGATTTTCAGGTCCCTTTCCTTTCGAACCCTAACAGGGCTTCGAAAGTTCGAACCCTAAGGCGGCTTGTTTTTGGGTGAATTTCTTGGCGGAACGTATTAACTTACGACTAAACGATGAGATCCTTCTGGCATTGTTGCTAGAAATCATGACTTTTTTGCTGAGGCTGATACTTTGTCTGCGCACCCATTCATCCGCTGTTTAGAATTTAAGCTAAGCATAGGCAGTGTGGCCTTGACCGCTGAGTTAAAAGAAAACTGTGTGTTATTTAAATCATTTAATAAAATAATTTATAATTAGGTTATAATCTCTAATTTATTGCATTTTTCCAATCCCAAATACTACATACGTTATGCTCTTTCTACAAGCACTTTTCTAAAATCTACCCCGTTTTGTGGCTGCACCTGAACTAAATTTCCTCTAATTTTGAGGCAAAATGGCCGGAATTCTATATATTGCCCGCTACAAGCGGCGATCAAAAATTGCTAAATCCAAACAAAATATTTCAAAATTCAAACTACTTAATCAGTCAGTAAATTTCTGAGCCTTTAAAAGGAATGTATGCGACAGCACAATCGAAAAAGCAACTTTTTTTTACTCGACAGCATATCCTAATAATTAGCAGCACAATCTTTGTTTTTCTCGAATTTTTGCGGGGGCGAAAGCAGGCTATCTTAGGTTTTTGCGTTTTAAGTGCACATTAACAGCATGTCAAAATCTAACGCAAACGCGAAATCTGCCTAAAATTCTGCACAAGATAGGTTATTCCCATCCCGCAACTCAATTATGACCAAAACCCCCCTTTTAAATTAATCTCGGTTACATTGGCGAGCCGGATTTCGTCAAATGTTTTTACTTGTTTCCGACCTCATCCGCCACACCCAGGGCCTAGCGACCCCCCGGATTTGGGGGCAACTCCAAAAAAATTTCTGCAACGATCAAAACTACCAAAAACAGCGCCGCAGGCGAAAATTTTTAAAACAAAGGCGACAGCAAAACAGTCAAAAACAACTGAGGCTAGCGCCGCAGGCAAAAATAATTTCACGAAAAATAGGGTCCCCTTATGAATTTTCCGCCTTCGGCCGAGGAACTCCCCCCCCCCCTCCCTGGCCTGGCCACACCCCACCCCCCACAGTTTTTTTGGGCTAGGCTTCATTGGCAGCGGAAACTTGAGGATCAGGGCAAGGATCATTAAAAATTCAGCGACGCCGGTAACAGCAATGTGAGACGGCCGGAAATCTTTGGCTAGGGCCCACACATCGATCGCATTCCGGGTCACTTTGCCTCGATTCCTAAGAATCCTCGTCTTTTACTAAACTACTTTATTAAAATTAAGAATTTAAAACTGAACGTGGAACTTTTTGCAGTTTCCCTTGAGCTTTAATTTTTTTTTTCTGCCTTTGCATTGACGGATTTGAATGGCATCTTAGACGAAAAACGTTTCCTACATCGACATAGTTAGTGGCTTCTCGGACATCCATGTATTTGCGCCTCTACGGAAAGGAACGCTGTTCGGCTCACGCGAGAACGCAACATGTGGGCTGCAAAAAAGCGAGGGCGGCTGCCCAGGCCATCCGTCTCTCGCTCTCGGCAAACGGACGGCGCTGCCAAAATCCAGGAAAAAACGCCAGAGAGTACTCAATTCTTCAACGCCCGATAAGATCCAAAATTATTGAATGCTGGCGACGAATTCACAGTCTAAAAGCTGTGCACGGTTCTGGATACTATTTATTCCGTGATTTCCTACAGGTTTATTTTTCTATAACGCTTTAATTCAACGGAAAATAGTAAAGAAAATGATAATAAAAATATTGGATCGATAAAAATGGGGACTTTGATAGAATAAGCAAATTCGACAAACCCGAAGACATGCTTCCCCAGGAATCTGAAATGTAATCTGTTATTTTTGCCTCACCGCAACGATTTTTTGCATTTTCCGCGTCTTTCCGAAACACATTTGCGATTTACAATTACTCATTTACCCTTTTTGCTCCATTCCATCTTGCTCACAGATCGATTGACGTGGTCTGACGCAGACTAAGCATTCCTCAAAGGGGGGCCACGGCTGGAGGGAAAATGCTTTCGCTTCCTATTCTGTCTGGTAAGTTGTATTGGAAGAGTCATTGGACGATGGTTTAAAACTGGAGATAAGCACAAATTCGGCCCCTACATCTCCATATTTTCAGAAGATTTTTCCTACGGAACCCTTTGCTACGATGAGGCACAACAACATTTGCAATTTGTACAAGCTGATACCATGAACAAAACGGTGTTTGGGACCAAGGAGGACTGTCGAATCAACCACATCATACCGTTGCACTTGGAAATTAAGGTCGGAGACAACCTGTTCAGGGTATGTTTCCATACCAAGGGCTTTAGCAGCTGGGTTTACAGTTCCAGTTTACGTGTGAACCTAAGGAGATTGAGCTGAAGATGAAAAAACTTGCGGCGGAGAAGAATTTCCAAATTACACCAACTACCGATTGGAGCACAAGAGCAGCTACACCAGGTAAAGTGGAGAATTTATCAGGCCCCATTAACGATTATTGTAGGCTCGACCTGCAACCCATGGGACATTGATGAGCAGGACTTGGTACCGCTTCAGGCCTACGTAGAAGCAATTATTCCACCAACTCAAGAAAAAACAGGTCTGCATGGCAAAATGTTGTGCGAGAATTCACGTTGTTTTTCGAACATCCCAATATATGGACTTTTTAGCAACGACCGAAGTCACGACCCCTATTCAAGTCGAGTCACCTACAAAAAACCGTGACGCTGCGGAAGAACTAAAATGCATTGTAGGCCTTCCCTGGCTTATTTTCGAAATTCATTTAGACGTGTAAAATGGGCGGCTCCAAATGGATGACCTACTTGGCTACGCCCCTAGTGAAGCATTGCATGCAACATTCAACTTGGAAGACCTTTCGATGTTCTAGTAAGTATTCATATCAATTTTGCTTTACTGCTCGTTTGTTTTTCTTTCCATTTATCGTATTTCTTCCATAATAAGGTTTTTTCTCTTCCCTAGTTTTTCAACGAAAATATTAAATTTTATTAAAGCTTGCTTTATATTTTTTGATGACCGAAAGTTAAAAAGTTTTGGTAAAACCGAACGCGTTTTGCTTATCCACATCGCTCCTTGCGAGCTGAATTCCTTAAATTCTTCATAATGTTGGCAAAAACAGAAAAGAACAAGCTAGTGTATTTTAAAAACCTTAAAAGCGCATTTGGTTTGGTTTGTAGCCATGTTGAGAGGTACCGTTCCCACCTGAATCGCCATCTGAAATCCGGAACATGCGGGCCGAGCCCACCTGATCGACGATAGGTCAGTACGATTTTGCGGTTTTGAGGGGTCTAGCTATGCAAATCGCCGTTTTTTTAGCTGCCGCCAGTCCTACCAGGCTCTCCGGGACGCATCAGTTTACAACTTCCCAACACACCGTAGCCTGATTGAGCGCGTTATTCGGAAGAAAATTATGCGCCTCGAGCACGGAAAAGCCAATTCCGTGACGGTTGATGGGCAGGACGACAATCGGGGAAGATCCGTCTAAAACGCCGCCACTTCACCCCAGAAGCCCTGACGAGCATGGCAACAATAAGCGCAAGAAGCTTCAACCACCCATTGAAAACCTTGTGCCGGATGAAACGGTATCCTCTTTAGTTTTTGACTAATTGTTGCATAGGTTTCATCAACGGCTGATGAGATCAGCAGCAACTCTGATCGTCAGAAGATCATCGAACCTCGAAAATGTGATCCAAAGCCTCAACTTAGAAGTGGTATTACTGCCTTTTTTACCTACCCAAACCTTCAGATCCAACTCGAAGCTGAACGCGCTGCTCGCCAACCACAAGAGGGGGTAAGTTTTACTGGATGCTGGTTGAAATTCTTTTAGCCAATTGTTAAAGACGAACCCGAAGATAACCCGAACGCGATCCTGAAACGCGAAATTCAGGAATTGAAGCAGGAAGGACAAGGAGGTAATTTGCTCTTAGAGATGCTAATCGATTTCTTCAGCAAAGTGCTTTAATCGCCGATCTCTGATAAAGTTGAACGTTACAAAAAGCTTTTCCCCTGCTACACTATTGACTAATTCACCTTATCTACGGCAACATTTCCAAGCGGTCTCTGCAAAACGTATTAAAAGTTGTGATTATGGTTGTGTAGTTTCTTAGAGAAACGAGTAGCTATTGATATATTATTGTCTAAAAGACTTGGTATATTTGGGGTGCCTTAAAAATGGCATTTCACTGTTTGTGGCTTCGAGCCGTTTAACTACCACCTTAGTGCATGGTTTTGAGAAAATTGAATGTTATAGCGCGAATTGTCGGTATAAGCTTTTCCAGTAGATTTTCAGCCAATTTTACTATGGCTAATATGAGCTTCTAATCAGCTTTATAGGCTTCATAAATGGCGTATAACGTTTTTAATAGCTTGCAAACATTGTCTTCAAACTCTGATGTGCAATGTGGGTTTATTTCTTCTCACGCTAATCTCCCGGTAATTATCAATATCGTGTCTTATTTCCAGTGCCTCGCAATTATTTATCAATTGTTTAATAAATTTACTAAGATATCGAAATCTTTCTGTGTGCCTTAAAATTACTTTCTAAATGTCTTAGCACCTCTTGAGTCAGCGCTAAACACAGTCTTATGCGTTACGAATGGCTCTTTCAAACCTAGGTACCGAATATTTTGTCTTCGCCGCGGTGGCGCCTGGAGTGTTCCCGCAGCAACAACTAAAAACATTGCAAAGGTGCTTCAGCTTCGTCAGCGCCAGTCAGTCCCACTCCTCGTCTCAAATATGTTAATATTTCGCTTAGTTCCCCTAGCTCAATTCTTGGGTTTTATTTCGTGTCTGCAGGTAGGTTTGATGTGCTTCCGGTCGATGCGATTGTTTTTAGTTAGATTTACTGCAAGCCCGCGGGGATTTCCTGGTAGGAATATTGGCGTGATCCGGCTGACGGATGTGGCAGGGAATAAGATACCGATTTTAGCCGGAGATCGTAACTTGCTAGCATCGTAATATGTTATTATAACTCTCACCCCGCTGTCTAGCCACTTCCAGGGCAGACGCAAGCGATTACCTATTTGGCTCGAAATTCTTGGGAAATCTTGGTCCAGCGTCATTTTGCATCCGGTGACCATCAAGTCCATCGACTGAATATAGCCAGCTGTTCCATCTGGCAAAACAGGCTAACCCTCGGTAATTCAGGCTTTTTAAACTTGACGTCAGGAAAGTTAGCTTTATCCCTCTTCCGCTCGGACACCAATGCCAGGGTGAATGGTTGCAGTACGGTAGCGTACAGGCTAGCTTCACCTATTACAATGGCCAGTTCAGGTAACTCTCCAAGCAATTCCATGAACAAAATCTTAGATTTACCCGGGTCCTACTGCCTCGATACCGGGAGCCGTGACGTTCTTGGAGAACGGTGGGGCAACCACAATCGGCTCGATCTCCACGCCAATCCGGCCCCAAACGGTTTCTGGCCGTTTTATCAAATTTAGTGTTGCGCGTGGGGTAGGTGGTCAATGCTAATGTATACAAAAAAGATATTCTGAGGTTCGGCCCCAATGCCGGGACAATTTTCGACTGGCCAAATGCGAATAGCGCGAAATTATGCTCCCTACAACAAGGAAAACCACCACACCAGCAGGCCCCACCAGAACCCGTTTATCCACTGGGAACTGGCTCAAAGGTACTTTATTAAAGTATGCAATACGGCTTGTGACGAATTTAGCAACAAGCTCCGGGCAGCGTTTATAATTTCGGATGCGGGGGAGAATTTTTCACAGCTGTCGATTGTATCATGAACAATAGTAAGGGAATAAAGGAAAACCAGAATACCAGCCAGTAGATAATGGATGGGAACGGTAGGTTAATTATTTGGCGTGTGTTGTTGTTGTTGTTGAGTTAGTGTTGTTGTTTGTGCATTACTATTGTATTATTCTTTACAGAACTTGGTTTTGCCAGGTTGCGTCTGAATATGTGACCCCCCCAATCCCTACTCCCGGATTTCCGACCCTAATTCCAACCACTAACCGGGTATTCGCGTCTGTAGTATCTCTATATTATTCCCTTTTTCAGCCTGAATACACCGCCAGTTCCAGGGACCGACTTCCCTATTACAATACCTATCGTAGGCAAAAATGTGATTAAAAATGTTTGTATTTTAGCCGAGAGCAACTCGGAGGCCGAATTATGCTGTTATTCCACCGAAGTAGGCAAAACTTGTGCAACATTCTAAAGCAGTTTTAGTTGCAGCACAACTGTTACCTCATCAACAACTGAGTCAGCGAAAATACGAATTATATTCCTATTCGCAGCCATGCTTTTCGTGTTTTAATACCTTCTCTCATTGCTGTCCCTACCACTCCGTCGTCCCCTCCTGCCCCCTTTCATTTGACTTATCTCGCCTCTGTTTGTTTAATGAATTTTACTTATTGATCAACATTCCCTTATCTATTACTTAGATTTACCGTTTGGCCTTCATTTTGGAATAAATACAAACGCTCGATCTGTTTTCCGTGAGTTACAAGCTAATCGGATAATAACGACATTGTAGGGAATTGCAGAAAGAGGCTTCGTCATGGTTCCAAATGACCTCTTCTGCCTTTATCTTCAAAGAGCTGGTTCTCTCTCTCTCCGTCTCTCGCTCTCGCTATCTCTCTCTCTCCTCCCTTTCTGCCCCACCGCCAGAAGATCCAAAATTCGTTTCCCCATGGAGCCATTGAGGAGCAGGAGGAGGGAGCTGGATAGACAGACCAGCAGAGACCCCCAGGAATAGATTTACGTTATTTAGGGGATGCGGGCGATTCCATTGAATGTCTATCCCTGTTTGTCGATTTATTTTTGGCTTTTTGTTTTGCTGGTATATTAACTTTCGGTAAAAATTTAAAGAATCTTTGCAAAACCTTTATTTCGATACTCTTCTAAAGATCTGAACTTACTTGTGCCGTTTACATTTGTCGTTGTTTTTCGTTTCTTGTTTTGCGACGTTATTGAAAGTCGGTACGCTTCACAAAACCCTCCGCTCCGGCCCTCAAAATAAACCTAATAAGGCAGTTCTTTAGAAATTGCAACAATTCGGATCTTTGCACACCCTGACACGCAAGTACAAACTTTATTAAACTATCCTTAGTAACCACCCTATTTACTCCCATTTTACGATTCTCATTTTGGTGTTTTATGATCCGTCTACGATGCCCACTCCATCCGAAATGGTGTGTTGGCTAGGGTCGGCCCGTGTTAGCAGCCCCTCCCTTTGATCCTTCCTCTCCCTTTCTATCTCTTTCTTTCAGTCGCCTTTCCGTTTCTTTCCTCTTTCCATACTACCCCTCCCCGCCCGCTACTCTTTACGGTCCAGACAATGTTTTGGGAGGAGTGGGGGAGAGAGGAATCGAGCCGTGATGTCCATTCATCCCGTGGCCACTCAGTGACTCAAGCGGTCAGTCTTCCCCGGGGTGTCCGGGGTGTTCTTTAGTGGTTTGCGTTGTGTCAAAGTAATGTATTTTGGGGTTTTACGATTTTATACACTGGTTAGAAAGGTTCCGGGGGAGAGATTGCTTGGACTATGTGGAAAAGGAAAATTCAGGCCTAGCACTTCGAAGCTGTTAGGTTTATTTAAGCTCAAGTTTTCCAAGATCTTTATTACCCCCTAATACATCCAGCAAAAATCTAAAATTCTTTAATTTTTATGAATTGTATAAATCGATATTTGTATATTTTTTTTTTTTTTTTTCCAGACCTTCAAAATCGGTAAAACTGGCTAACTTTAGAATAATCCCCGAAAAATTATAGCGCGCCAAACTTTTTAGCAAGAACATGTATTGTTTTTAGCAATTCCATTTAATAAACAAAATTAGCTTCTTACCATGTTAAAAAAAGTTATAACCACTGTTTTGCCTGACCCAAAATTTTAAAATGCCGATCTCTTCCGATTGCCTCCACCCCAAAAATGTGGCGCTCCAAAACTTTTTTAGCAACCTTGGCGGGTGAAAAATGGCTCCCCATTTTCCGCCCGCCACCAGCGTGTTCCACAAGCCGCTCCCTCACTTTTGAACAGCAGCACCATTCGCAAAACGCCCAAATGCGGCCCTCAATTAAATCGACCTAAAAGGCGATTTATTTTGCATTGCCGATCGTCTTCCAGGCGATCCCCTGGCCGGCCATATGCGAATGTTTTATTCTCGGCGCAGGCCATCCATGCGGAGATCCCCGCCGACCCATTCAAATACGCATTTTCGCCCGGCGTACTATACGCTTTTTGGGATGTTGTTGTTTTTCTTCGTGGTTTTAGCGTGCGTTTCCATGTTTTCTAAAGAAAGTCATCCACTATAAACGAAAAACCTGCCGTTTTCAGATGTGAGGATGTTTTTACGTCGACAAAACCTTCTTCTATGCACGGTGTTATTTACTACGATTAGATGCTGTCAATATTTCCTATTTGGCTCGAGAGCTTACATCGATCGTCATTGATAACCGCTGATCTCAGCCCAGCGAGCGGGTCCATTCGCAAAAGAGAAACTTTTTGCTTGCTAGCAGGTTCACGGGAAAGTGACGAGTACCCAGTTAGCTGTTAATGACAATACGGTAATTAAAATATGCTTTTTTTATGAATAAATTTTAGGGAACCGTTTACTATTCACAACTTGATGGGAAAATTAATTGGCATGCCTTTCCGATACGAAGAAACCACAAGTATTCTGGAAATTTTTCACATATTTGTGGATTGAGAAATATCTTCTTTGGCTGTAGATATTACTAATGAATTGGTAAAAAAGTCAGGATTTTGATGTTTTATTGTCTTTAGTTGTACGTTGGAATAGCCATATGAGGTTGTTGATACACCGTCAGGATCAAAGTGTACCCTTCGTTGGCCCGGGGAAAATCTCGAAGGAATGCCCATTTGCTCCAACGAAATCTACGAGGAAACCATTATATGGTGCTCGATACGGCAAATGGGTTGGTCATTTAATATAAGAGAATCCCAAAATTTAGATATATGTATTGGATCCAGCATTGAAATGAATCGAATCAGACTGACATTGTTGAATGGCAAAAATTACGAGCAAGGCTCTTTCAGGTTTGACTCTGAGCCTATTATATTTAAAAAGATTTTAGGGTCCAAATGCTATTCAATAAAGTGCAGCGAACCATGACCTGTTTAACTTTGCATAAGCAATCTGATGCGCTTTTTGTAGTGCGAGCTGTCGAGGACCAATCTGAGAGTAATTACATTCTTAGTTATGAAAAAATTATGCAATTCAGATATGGAAATGTGAATTAAATGGCCTATATGATTGCAAACCAATCGCTTTAAAGAACCGATCCTGCTTTTGTGGTTCTAAATGTAAGTGGGTCATGGATACCTGCGTGAGTTTTATGTTTTTCAGAAAGTTTGCTTCTTTGGTCATCACTAAATAGCGACCTGAGATATTGTCAAATCAACGATTGCCTCTCGAATCCCGTATTCTAAAATCTACTTCTCCAGAAACGGAGTCCATTGGAGTTATTTCTACCATATTTACCGGCCGCCATACGAGTAATTTTTTATTGTTATTTGTCTATCAAAAAATCATTTTCAAGACGATCTCCTAAATGTCAACAAAATAATGGCGGATGCTCCCATTGTGCTTTCCACTAAACAAACCATAGTTGCGCTTGCAGGAAAATGTGTAAAACTCTTGCTCGATCAAAAAAGTTCCGACCCGCGTGGCCCAGATAAGGCAACAACTCTGATTCCCAATACTATTATATTGTTGATTCTAGGTCTTGTTAATTGCTGCCGTCGGCGGTTTATTTATGCTGCCCACAGATACCAATTTCACGGTGCCGAATTTTGTTGCAACCGGTAATTAATGGGATTAGCCATATCCTTTTATTTCCAGAGTAACGATACAACAATTGCCAGGGATCTTGACTGGAATCCACGAACTCGACAGGTGAGCAAAATCAGGGTATTTGCATTGGATCAAAGAACTACCGAACTATGTCTCAGCTGCACCTTACCAGGTGTAATCGAATTTTCGCCAACTCGGTTTTTAGGAAATTTCACAGTAAAATCGGCGTATCAGTCTGGATGCAAAAATTAAAGTAATCAGATGGATGCTAATTACTAAATCATTCGTCAAAAAATATTGATCTCGAATCCAGATTACTGTTGGTATATCCCCCACATACGTAGCATAGCGCGGCTTCCCTTAAAGATGATTTTTCTGTTAGTGAAATTCTGCTTAATACCTGCTGCATAGTCATCAGGAGAATGCTAACATAAAAGCTGGCAATTGTCTGTAGAGTCAAATTCTTCTCGGCTGCTTTTATGGAAGGATGCTTGAGCAATTTGCTGATAGTAATTAGACTCATAGCGCTATGCAATTAATGGATAAGCTTTTACGATGCACGAGACGAAATGGGCAATCCTAAAACAGGAATTTAAAAAAACCCGATAGATTGTGCAAGCGGAATATGGGGCCGGATGGCCCATTGCTGCATAATTTCCATTTCCGATTTCTCACCCAAATGGGGCTGGAATGCGGTAGGAAACACAGATAAACCCTGCGATCCAAGCTATCAATATGACCCCCGGCCAAACTTTGTCCCTTAACTAAAACAATTAAATTCATTTGGTAATTATTACCCTTTCATGAAACTTTTCGCTCGTGCACATCGTGGTAAATCTATTCAGTGACGAGAGCAAGAGCGTAAAATAATATACATAAAAAGTCCAGCCGGAACTGAGATAGGCCCACCCTGTAGTATCACTTCAGTATACCTAAGCCAGTAAACTGCTAGTTTTTTGTTGTATATACCCCTTGTGGCCCAGGTTGCGTCAATGTTAAATGTCGCAGCGCCGTATTTGCATAAACTGAAGCCCATCCGCGACCTACCTATTTTCATTTTCTTAAACTGAAACTTCTTTTCACTCACCACCCGCAATGAATATCTTAAAAAAAGCGCTGGAAAATGTGCGATGTTTGCTTTTCCAGATGCATGATAATATAAGTTGATAGTAGCGAAACAATATTTCGACGACCAATAATAAACAATTGAATGCATCGTACATGACTGTTTTCTAAAATCGCTCGATAATTTTATGGTAAGACAAAGCCCCGAGGACAATTTTCGACGATAAAATACCCATGATCCACGATGGTGCTTATTTTCACATCAAAAATATAATTTTGCCTTTTTTACATTTCAGACTTATGGAAAGGTTGTTAATTGTACATAGAAGAGCGGAAAACTCGAAAAAGCAATTGAAAACCATCTATGAACTTTGGAATGTTAGGTCTTAAGGAGGAATATGGTAAAACTAGATGCGCTTGACAATAAGTTTAGTTATACTGGATCGATGCAAGCGAGGATGGTGGTACGAAGTGCTTATTTAAACTATACAAACGTCAAGGTATGTAGATATATTGACTAACCGAAGACAACTACCTAGAATCGGTCGTCTTCATCATTCGGACCGGCTAAATCGCTACGGGTTGATGCTATCACCGGGAATATCTATCTTTTAGACGTTTCAAAACGTTCTCTAGCGGTGAGCGATAGTTTTTGGCTTTAGAATAGTTTAGGTATATGATGAAAAGGGCGTTCAAAAACCTGGCAAGGAATTTGGATTCGCCAGCCGGTCTTGCGTTGGACACAGAAGAATGGGGATGCCTTTTTCACGGCCATTTATAATGGCTCGCGGCGCATTTTCAAGGCAAACCCGTTGCGTGTTAGTTGGAAATTTTGGTTTATACCTTATTGCTCTTGGAATAGCTCCTTTTTTCACGAAATATTGTCTCCCGTTTCAGAGCCAATGTTCCTATGCCGTTACACTACGTTGGAGATACGAAAAAAATCCCCCGAAACTCTTTTGGGCTGACGACAATGGGATCAAAGTGGTGTTGAAATGTTATAATATTGGTTTTATTTAGAGCATAAATGCCCAAGGAAAAATTAGGGACGAAGCCGCTTATTCGGGACACGGCACCATCAATTACATCGTCAAATTAAACGATCGGTTTTACTTTGGAGAAGCTTTAAATAGATACATATACAATACTAAACCTGGAAAAAATGGTAATAATTAAGTATTAATATTTGAGTTTTTTTAGAAGCTGAGGTCAAATTGATCATCCACGGAATTTTCGGGCATTCCGGAATGAGAGCCGTTTCCTTGCATCGAACATTTACAACATCGTCTCGTTGTTCAAATGAAAATGGTGGCTGTGACCATTTTTGCGTATCCAGGTATTTGCGTATCTAGCTATTGACCCTTTCTGACCAATTTAGGCCACAAAATAAATTTGAATGTAGCATGAACTTTCCCGAGCTTCAGACCGATGGGAAAAGTTGCAAGCCAGCAAATTCAAGCTTATTGATAGGTCAATCAGGTAATCTTGACAATTTATTGATTCCACCACTGCATTCGAGTGTTTGATCTTCGTAATCGAGGCTCCGGAAAATTACGAGAACTGTCCACGCCGCCCTGCTCTTCCAAGCTGATGGCATTTACCGTAAATCAGGTGAAAATCAACCTATTTGTTAGGAAAATTTTTAGTCGAACAAGTATCTAATACTCGCACACAGCGATGGCAAAATTACCGAAATCTGGGGTATATTTTTAAATGGGACTGATCCACGGCAGATCTCACGCACGAATCATTAGCGGATGTGAATTCGATTGCAGTTGATGAAAGGACAAAGATATTTATTGGTATTTGGTTATATATTAACAACCTTTTTTAGGTCTACTCCCTCTGGCATTGTGATGATTGATTTGAACGGCCGTCACCAGAAATGGCTATTTTGGAAGAAGCAATCTGTCATTAAGATTGAAATTGATTCGTTGACCTCGGCTTTATTCACCCTTGGCCCAACCAAATGCCATATTTGTGGGTTTCTTGTGTGCGGAAGGCAAAACTTTAGAAAATGAACATGGATGGCTCTAATTCATAAATTATAAAACGTTTCACGAATCCGGTTTTCGAATGACGATCTCTAGCAGTGAAGAATTTTCTGGATAGACAGAGGCTGCAAATGATACGAAAGTAATGGTTATGCAAATGGATAGTAAGCGCTCCTTGCAATTAAAAAAATTTTAGGAAAAATGAGAAAAAAGTGATGGAGCGCGCACGAAATCGTATCTCTCAACTTGTGGTTCTGAATCCAAAGTTAATTGGGTTGATGAAAAAGGTAAGCGCTATAGGTCGTTTTGAAATTTCTTTAGGTGCCCTGCTGAGGAAGCCGTACTCAAACAAAATTGTTAAACTCGAAATTGACGTCAAGAAAGTTGTTGGCTTAGGACAGATTGAACGCACGGGTCTGGTTTAAGATTCCAACGCTGATCCCCTACATTTGGCTGAAATCTTTGAGAGCAAAGTCTGTGACTCAACTTTGTACCCAGAGCTGTGCGTACCAAAACCAGGGTGAATCGATTTGCATGTGCTCGGATCACCATTACATGATTGAAATGAATGCAAGGTAAATCAGGGTATCGCAGTTTTATCGTTTTTAGCACTCGATTCCTTCATCTACATATTAACAAAAATTGGAATTACAGAAAGCTGCCGGAAGGAGACAAGGTAACTTTAAAAAAGTGTAAAGGCAAGCACTAGGATCCTCTTCACAAAAACAACCATCTTCACGCATGTCCCATCCGAATTAAATCTATGCACAGCTGGGCTCAAAGCTGTATTTCTTTGGACCAGGCCCTACTGCAAATTTGTTATATTTTGGAACCGATTTTAGTCAACTATCGGTATTGGTTTCTTAGTAAATTTTTGTACGTGATTTTTAGGAAGTTACCGTAGCCCTGCCAAACCTGGTTCACTAAATCAGCTCACTGGCCTTCGATGACGTTGGGAGTCAGTTATTTATCGCATGCAGTGATGTTAAAGACTATAATTTATGTTCACGTATATAAAGTTGAGGTCAGGTTCTTTTTCCTAATTTTTACTATGACTTTTAGGTCCATGACAGTAATGTAGAGCTTTCTTTTTATTGGTACAGTGCTGTCATCAGCGGAAGCTTGTAGGCAACGACAACTGAATTTTATCTCGAGTATGGCCTTATTTCCGCCGAACTCGTAGGGTTTTATGCAAAATGTAAAAATACAATTTAGAGTATCTCTACGTGGTCAGCATCGGCACGTATCAAAAACCAGCCATTTATCAATGTGGTTTTGATGGAAAAGAACTGTGGAGTCTGGCTAAAAGACCGACTCTCCCCAGCTGCAAAAATCTTCATAAACCCTAGTAATTTAAGACTTTCTACACAGCACCATCTGGTGTTGAGGTCAAAGTAATAGTCAAAAAAATTCAAATATTGTTTTACAGAGACTTTATTGTTCCTGACATTGGAGTGAAACACCATTACATCAGACAGCCCGCCGATTCGGTTCTAAATGTCGCTCCGATATCCTGCGGATACTGTGTTGGTATCCGGAAGACGGGTTATTAGTGTAGCAATAAGGATAACTTACAAGAACTGAGCACAATGGAAAATATCAATGGATTACTGGTTTGTAGAAAGATACTAGAAATATTTTTCTAGTATTTACCCCCGCTAACAAAACGGGAGAACAGGAAGACGTGCGCTAAATCCAGTGTCATTTCATTTGTGCAATGGATCGAAATTAAAAGGGTTTCGCTGTTTGTGTCCATTGATTTTATTCTGATCCACGACACTTAGGTAATTTTTAGCCAAACCCATTGACAGCTTTAAATCCAGGCCAAATAGCTGTGTCCCCGTTACGAGATGCCTTCCCTGGCAATTTCTTGCGATGATGGGAGGAATTGCGTTCATAAGGCTCTTGTCTTGATCTATAGCCGGGATTGCCAGTACGTTTTCCAAACTATGACATCTTTCGTTGTGCTTATTAACAACAGCGACGAAGAATCGGCTATTTGCGAGTTGGTAGGTGTGGATCGATGGCCATGTGATGATGGACGAGGCAATATTATAAGAACTGCAGTAAGTAAGACAGATTTTGCGCATAGTGTTTAGTATTGCGACGGAAGAGAGGATTGTGCAGATGAATCTGATGAACGGTATTTTAATAGATGTTTTATTATAATAATTTCAGCTTCTGCCGGTGCGCTGAAGACGAAATGGATTGTCTTGCTTGGCCAAAGTCAAAAGATATGCAATGCATTCATAATAGCCGGGTCTGCGATGGGTATTCTGATTGCGAAAATGGACTCGATGAGAATCCGATGGTAATGAAAACTAATCATAGTAAAATTTAATTCAGTTATGCTCAAAAGAAGGCCATAAGCCAAAAACCAGCGGGCCAGAATTCATGTATCTTGCTCTGCTTTTGTTCATTTGCATTCCGATTTTTGGAATATTATGTTGGTGTTGTATGCGACAAAAAGCACCAATAATGTCGAGGTTTGAGGAATCACCGTGGGGATTAACTTTTTCATACTATTTGTGCTTCAGATATGCAAATCCAGGGGCCCAGACGATATTCCTCAGCCAATCAGAACGAACACCAAGAAATGTGGATATATCGTTGGTACTTATAGTATCGCTGATATTGGATCGACCTATGCTCCACTTCCACCGCCCGATCCAAATCCACACGCATCTTTTATGTAAGTTTACAAAATACTAGCTTTTTGGCACCCAAAAATATATCGAAACCAAAAACAAAAACTCCATAGGCCGATACACTCCCTTTAAGTATTGGAACTTTATTTACCTCCGCTTTCAGCACTTTAATAATTTCTTAGGACTGTCTGCCGCCCACCATCGCATCATGGTCAATATATTTCTTTCTATGCGCCCCCGCCAAGTGCGGCTAGGTATTTTTAGAACGAACGGTCTGTGATTCTTTAGCTTCTCGACCTATGGTGTTGTCAAGCCGGTCGTTTTCCGGTCTTCTTCTAGATCGAATAAGTTGAAGCACGGGAATCATAGCCGCGATTGTGACTCCTTTGAGGTAGAGATTTATTTGTATAAGGCACACGTTTTAGGAATGTTATTTTCCCAATAGTGAGCCGATAGTAGTGGATTATCCAACCGAAATTCCTATTGATGCTGAAAGTTCTAGCGATAGTCAACGGGTATCAATTTTTAGGTATGTTTTATCTAAACATTAAAAATTCTCGTATTTAGTCGAATGGAAAACCGTACCAAAAGCCGAACTAAACACCGAAAAGACCGACCATTACTTGCACCTTCAAATAGCCTCTTTGAACCTGCCGAAGACGCCGGCGAAACTAGTCAGGACTCAGATCATTAATTTAATGCGGTATGATTCATATACGGGTATTACTTGATAAATCGCAATTTTTCACCCTGGTCCATATCATCAAACATTTTATTATGGCTTGCAAAAACATCGAAAACAATTTTTTAAATAAGACACCAACGTGCAAAGTATAATGAGGAAATGATTGTAGCAAATGGGAAAAATGTAATAATTTGACTAATATATGGCATAGAAGAAGGTGATGACTGCTGGCGGGTTGAAGGACGTGTGAGCAGTGAGTGGTACTGTATTTTCAGTGTTTTTTTTGTTAAACTTTCTCTTTTTGGCACGGGTACAATTTGTAATTCGACTAAAAAGTTGGCAGTTTTGCTTGGAAGGGTAAAAAGAGTGATTGGGCGGAGTGATGAGGGCACATCGCTGAGGAACGGTAAGTAGAAAGAATGTGTTGGCAAATAGTCAAAAACACAAAAAAAAATGCAATGTAAAATCGGCTGCACAGATAAATCAGCACAACCCAGAACTGGATTCAATATCAAAAATCTGAAATGTGGAGGCAAGAGACGCGAAGTTTTCGGGGAATCAAAAATTCAAAACCCGAAAACCCGACCATGGTTATGGCAATTTCGAGAGATTAGGATTTTGATGTGACAAGCATTGGCTAGATGGATAAGCTCATGAGATTCATTTTTTGATTTGGATGACTAGAAAGGTGAATAAATTGAAAATTGAAAACATAGAGAATGTTTAATCACCGGAGACACGCTTGAGGAGCACTCGATTCATTAGGGAAGATCACCTGGCGAGAGGGAGGATGGGGATGGCGATTTTTCAGTAATCTGGGAAGGTATGATAAGGTATATTTTAGGTGATACCTAGTCAATAGCCGATTGTGCATGTTCGGCGTCCCAGAATTGCTGTGGGGAACGGTCGACATTGTTGAAATCTTGCCATAAAGCGAGGATTAGCTCGCTGCTCATCAATTCGCCGGCATGTGTACTAAATTAGAAGTTCAAAGGATTTTTTGGCACTAAAAATATTTCCCATGGACAAAAACGTCGCAAAAAATGGCTTAGTTTTAATCGAGTATTGTCTTGAGACGTAAATATAGCAACGTGTTTTACAATTTTTCTTATATCGTGACTAAGATTTTCCATGAAAGTTACAATATACATTGCAAGCAGATAATTGACATACCTAATCATACGCAGCATAAACACTCCATCCTTCCTCAAGAAGTTGTTCGTAAACTTCCTCAGCGTTACGTCATCAGCTACTTAAGAGGTGTGTTAGACTTTACGCAATCCCATTCATAACGCCACTCATTCCCTCCTCAAACCGGTCCTCTCCAAAAAAAGCCGAGTGACAACAGAAATCTATATTAATTCGTAAAAAAACGACCAGCAAGCACCGTGGCGGCGGCCAGCCGGGTCAGAAAATAATGCTCTGCTCGTGCAATTATTCAAGAAAATGATAAAATATGCAGCCGCTGTTTGGTAATAAAGCGACAAAAAAATAGAAATGATATGTATGGATTAATTGAGCGAAAAGAGGTCGGGCTTGGTTAATGTTTGCTTTCTTTCGTACGTGAAATCAGTTACGATATTGAATTAATGAGAAAATAAGCCGGCCATGAACGCTTACCACGAGGGAGGCTCATCATGTAGTCTACAAATGGGGCATTTTATAGGGAAACAACTATTTTAGAAGTTTCCAAGGGGAAATACCAAAGTTTGGAAAATGTTATGAAACGCCACCCACCCGGTTTGGCTGGATGATCGGCGAGGACACGAAGATATTTCCTAATGAAAGACATTCCCTAAAAATATATGATATTATTAAATTTAATGTGTATCATACTTGGCTAGGGATAAACATAATCAACATCCAATACACGGTGTTCGAGACGGTGATGATGCCAACGGTCAGGAACCAGAACCTGCAAAAATATAGCTTGTGAATTTTAAGCTGAAAATTACCATAAAAAGAGGAAAATTTTCTCGTTGAACATGTTGATCATCAACACGCATTGGACTGTATGTCGATGGATATTACCCAACACTCGGACCTAAAAATCTAGGTTTTCAAAGTACAAAAACATACTTCAAAGTCACATAGTGTTACTCGGGGGAACATTCCTGTCTGCTCCCATTCCACTTCGTGCATTAAATCCTGAAATTACTTACTTTATGCTTATACTTCAATAGTATCGGAAGATTAAATCACTCTTACCTTCAATAAACTAAATCCATAAGCCAAATCGTTGGCGCCTAACAAGTGGTTGAGGAGGAAGAATTGGAGAAGAACATTTGCCGAGTAGAGGACCTAAAATTTGAATAGTTTTCGTTTTCCTGGTGTCTTAATCTATACCTTGATTCCAATATAGAGCATTGTGACGTAACAGCCACAATGTCGACCACATTGGGCACCAAGTTGTATCGAGGAGAAGCATGTTCGAGAGTGGGAGGATCGTTCGATTTGGGTCAACTAAAAATGCTAGGCGTATTTGTGAAGAAATGGGGTATATATTTTCTATAAATTCTAGGAAATACTCTTATATGTAGTATCTTGACATACCTCATCCTCCATGTGTCTGGCCATCGTGTAAACAGTTCTACTCTTCACTTCCTGGTCCATCAACCTGGCGTCACAAGCCATCTGGACAAGCCCTTGCAGGTTGATCCCTAAAAATACAACGATTATCCTTCAAAAAATGGTATATTTAACAGTAATTTCTATAACCAACCAGAGTGCCAGTACAGCAACCCTCGCCACAAAATGCATGGCACATAGAATAATAGCGCCTCGATGGCCAGGATAAAGGGCACCCATTGGTAGTAGCCAATTTGTCGATTTCTTCGCGAGTAGATTTCACGTGGAATGTCCTCCTGGAGTTTTGAATATCTATTGAAAGCCTTCAAATACATACCTGCATTGGCACCCAATACGTATTTTGGACCCAGCAATAGTTTTCGGTGTACTGCTCCATGGCGTCGGTGAAAGTGGCCGGTACCCAACATTGGATAGGGAAACCTGGAATCAAATGGATTAAAGTGACACAATTGTTTTAAACGGGATACGATCGATGAAATACTTTAATGCAAGCAATTCCTTGATTTACTTACCGACATACTGCTTTGCCGAGACCAACAAGGCGAACGAGGCAACTGAAAACTTACTGTTAATATTTTTAACCATCATTTTTGTTCAAAATTCCTGAATCGATACCCACTTTAACTCAAAAACCTTCCACTTCTCTAGCTAGCTCTCCAAACCGATCCCATAAAAAAGTTGCAGCTACCGAGAAAATTGAATGAGAAGCCCCCTAGGTGGGTAGAGGTGGATTGGCACCGAGATGGGCCTATACGAAACCCTTTCCCTGTTAAGGTACATCTTCAAATTCACTTATCCAAAAAAGACGCGTCCATGGTTGGGTTTTCGGGGAAGTTGGGGGTATGGTAGCGTTTTTGGAGCGATACTAGGTTTTCGAAAGCTTCCAAACCTAACTAAACTGGAGTAAAAAAAACATACGAATCGTGGTAGTGTAATAATAGTTGAGTTTGTCGACAAAATCATCGTCGAGTCGGGGATAGAGGGCTCGGAAGGCCGAGGCCAAATAATACAAAATCATCGCCGGGCCGAACTCTTTCTTGTGACCGTGACCTCCACCTAAAAAAGGCATTTTTAAATTATATTCTACCGCAATAATAAGTATTTGTTGTTTATCGAATTCTTCAGCTTTTTTGGGTTTTATTCAAAAGCCGCCGGAAAGGACATTTCCGTATTCCAGCCGCTCAGCCCGACCGATAAGCATAGGGCCAATTTTGAATAACCGATTGTTTTGTGCATGTTGCGGAAAGGGGAGGCAAAGTTGTTTTTGATGGCTTTGTAAATGCAAATATGCTTTGCATTTTAATGTAGTTATTCAAATCGCATACCGGCTCCGTGGCCGGGGGCTCCGACGTGGTGCGCGTCGATGCGGAGCTGATGTGAACCTTCGAGGAGTCTTTGAGCCTGCAAAAAAATTGTTTTTAAAATGATAGGATGGATTGGGGGGGAGATTGGGCTTTTGGTTACGCTCACACACAGGCCGATTGGCGGGGTTTGGGCTAATTCGGTTATAGCTGGGCCAGATCCAAATTTTCCCGATAAAAGGGGGTGGGCACAGTGGGGTTCTAGCTAGTTAATAGAAACCGACTTTATAGCGAGAAAGGGAACTAAAAAAATAACTAAAAACCAGATCCATAATGTGCATTTGGTCTTGTACCCGCTCCAGCAGATTATGGTATAATTACCAGCATCAGGGAGCTTAGTTCAAACGAAGTTTTTGGACCTCTATTGTATTCGCTCTAAAATAGCCAATTCTACGTTTTGGTGGCTACCGAGCTACCGAAATGTCAACACATCATATAGCCAAAATGTCACATTACAGATACCCTGCCCCCGATCTGGTTGGTTATGCTGATCCAAGAAGATGAGAACCACTTCCTACCGCCCGCTTAGCCCAAAAAAGGCAATCCTCCTTACAGATTTGCTTCTAGCGAACGCGAACATGTGCATTCACTCAGTTGCATCCTCGGCCAATGAGGGACAGCCGATCTTTCCGGTATTCGTCGAAATGACTTAGTGACTTCGATAGACCATCCGACGAATTCAGAATTGATGTCTAGCTAGTGAAAGGAGTGTGGGGCCGTTGAAGTTGCCAATGCCTGGGCCTCCGGGGCCTGGGAGACACAACCTGGGAGAGGCGAGTAAACTCCGGAAATAGGGGGGCAGTGCCTTCGAGGTCTCGGGCGACCACCAGGGGCGCGAGGAGACCCAGCTAGGGACCCAGGGAGGCCCACGCCCTCTAAGCCACCCCCTTTTGCGCTTCTTCCTCAACAACCAGTCCAGCCACACACGGCATCTATCGGTATGGGTAGGGAGGGGGAGGTTGGTGGCCGGTTGGGGTATCGGGGGGAATGCGATTTGTCGCCCGAACGTGTATGTGCTAGAGCCTAAGCAATTGCATTATCTCAACCGGGCCACATTGGGGTAGGGAGGTCTCTCCTCACTCGCATCGCCCTTGATCGGGTCCCTTCTCAAGTGGAAAATGGCTTTTGCACTAGGATGGGGGATGTGTCTGTGGGGCGTGGGGGGGCTTTTGGGAGTGATAAAATGGCTTTGGTGACGTAGGAGGGCTACCGTAATCCAGTCATCTGGGAATGTTCCTATTTACTTCTTGCAATGCTTTGCAAATGGGAGGCTTTTCCCGGAGTAACAAAAATCCTGATTGTTTTAATATAAATTTATACATTTCTAGCCCTTTCTGGGTTTTAGTAGGAATTTAACAAAACTCTGTTGTTCGATCGTAATAGGAATTTAATTTAAGGACAAATAACAAATTTCTGTTACTGTAACGGGCAAAGGGAGGGATTTGAAAATGCTTGATGCTAGTGTTTCAGCATTAATTTCACGCTTTCCAACCTCTGGTTTGTTGATTTTAGCCTCTGATTTTATTGGGAATTTAATAAAAGGTAGGATCTTTCCTACACCCTTGATGCCATCAACAAGACTGAAGTAGCAGTTAAAACCAAACCTTCCGACCTTTAACCATTAATTATATACCTTATCGTTTGTTTCCAGAACTACAGATAACCAAAAACAAAATCCAGCCGATCAATAAACCTAGTACCTTGCCACGGCCATTACCCTTCAATTAGTGGATGGCTGGGGAGCAGCAGCTAGTCGTTCCCCCTCTATACCACAGGCACCCTATCAGGCAATCGTCCAACTCCACACACATAGCGTCAATTATTCATTGCCGTGTGTTCCAATGGAAGTCCCCAAAATGGGGTGGCGGGGTGCTGCTCCCCGAGATGTGGGCCCATCCTAGTGCCCCAGCAGCACCTATGATTGACTGGGTTGGGGGTTGGGGGTACTGCTTCAAGACCTGGGGAGGGGGGGCCCTAGGGCCAAAAGTTTTCCGCACCATGCACCCGCTTCCGATGCTGAGGAAATTTGGAAAAAGTTGCGATGAACTTTTGAGGTGGAAGGGTGGTTGGGGAAGTATTGGGGGTTGGTAGAAAAATTTGCACGGGAGCTATGAATGGAAATCATCCCAACGGCTAGTAAACGGACCGAAACGATACCCTCCCGAAAAAACCGTCCCACAAACCAGACTACATAGAAAAAAAGAGAGATTTTCCTATGCAAATGACGCTTTCATCTGCAAATAATTTCGGGATGGTGTTTTTTTTCTTTCTTTATAATTCACAATCCTGCATTGCTTTACCTATGTTATGCTAACTAAATCCATTTTCGAGCCCATTCTCCCAATACTATATTCATCAGTGGTCACTCAATGGGCTGACCAAAAGTGCTCATTTCGAATCTCTCCACCGACTTCCGCCAACCCAACCGTGAAGCCATTTGCATAAGACGCCGTTCCGAGGTTCCCAAGCCTGCTGGGGTCGGCAAGGCGGTGCAAAATTGACGTCTGGGGACGTCGGCGTAACTTTGCAAGTTATTAGTTGTTAATTTGGAACCATCTACTATCTAATACCCTTGGGTATGAGAAAACCCCCAGTTGCAAATCTGCGGATTTCTGGGTGGTTCGTAATCGCCATTGTCCCGCGTGTTTGGTCCTGCAGTGGGGCGCCGTGCCATTTGCGAAGTGCTACTATGCGCGTGCATTTGCATTTGGAATGAGCATCGAGAAGCGGTAAGTTTCGGTAGGGGGTGGTCTAGAGAGGTTCTAGGTCGATTTTCAAATGCTAAAATGAGCAAGGAAATGTTTTGAAATAAGAAGTTCACATTTTTTTTTTTTAATAAAATTTAAAATTTAAAAAAAAAAAAAAACCCCCGCGTGGCGAGGGTTTTGAGGGCCGGGCCCAGAAAAATGAAAACTACTCCCGTTGTGGACTTACAGAGGGAAAATATATCCTAGGGAACAGAACGAAGCTGCATGCAAAAGCACGTATATCCATTCACTTTTTTTATATATAGCAGATTTAATTCTGACCCCTATTGTCATTAAATTACACTTTTAAAGACCAACTACCCAAGCCAGCGTATCTTAGGTCTCTGACCAACTGAAAGAGGCTAGTGTACGTCACCGGGGGTCTCGTGTGATTTGGAGACAATTATGCATGTGTGAGGCGATGGGGATTGGATTAAAGTCAGCCCGGGTTGGCAAGGCTGCTCGACACACCCGGAGGGCAGGGTTGCTTTTGGCCATTTGCTAGCAATCATGGGCCATTAGAGCTAGGGGCTTTGGGCTTCGGATTTTGCGGAAATTTTTCAGGCGTTAGGCGGTCTGGAGTCCAACGTTCAAAATTATACAACTCTTTTAATAGAAATTATAAACTCCCGTGTGGACTAAATATAAAAATTTGGCAATTTTTATGAGTATAAATTTAAATTGAAAAAAGCTAAGGTTACTATTTACTTTACTACGATTGAATAACGCCGGTTTTAAATAGGCTTTTACTACCGACTATAACTGCAGAAAATTATACAAAATTTGAAAAAAAGTTAGGAGGGAACAAAAATACTTCTCGCTGCTAAAGTAAGACTTTGCATTCATGCAAGCATCCCCGGAATTACCAGAAATCGTAGTCTAATTAGTCATACAAAAAATTATATGGAAAGTGACGCTCAAAATCAGTAATCTCCCCCTCAAAATCCGGGCTTACACTCGATAATCGCGCTCCGATAATAAAATTCTGCTGTTCCTGGGATGCCCCATTGCGAGGCTTCAAAGTTTTCTGCTGGTTTTTGTCCCCTTACCAAATCCCCATGGAACCCCCCTCTTGTCTGCACTTCCAAATGAAACCCCCTCCAACTAACTCTCATCACCCAATCGCAAGTACATGATCCACACTACGAGAAGCCATAAACGGATTGAAATGACAAACCTGATAGGAGGGAAGGTTGTCGAGATGTCGGGCTTTCTCTAGTGGAGATCTCTAAAAAGATGGAATTAGTTTGATTTTGATGTTGTTGTGTTGTTTCCCCCTAGTCCTGCTCTTTTTGATTTCCGTAATGCAGACCGAGATTTTTCATTGTCCGGCAGAGTGTTTTTGGTCTTTCGAGTGGTAGGGGTTGAAAGGATTACCCTGGTAGGGGCCAGAAGAAACACACCCTAATCCTTGCTTCTTTTAAGGGAAAGTGGTGGGGAAAGGAACTCGATAAAATGGGGTTTGGAGCGTCATAGTTGCATTCGTAGTGTAGTCAGTCGACTGTTATTTTGTAAAGCAATTTTTTAGGAAGGTATCCCTTTAAATGTGTATGTCATGGATTTTCGAGACGTTCCTCAGCGGGAAATTGATAATTTTACGGATAAAGAGAGAGCAGGCGAGCAGCGGGAGAAACAGAGATAGCGAGGGCGAGAGGGGATGAGACAGAAAGAGAGAGAGAGAGAGAGAGAGAGAGAGAGAGAGAGAGAGAGCGAGAGACCATATGAAGTTCTTAACAATTAAATCGATTACACCGAAACTTGATTATTCTGAAATTCAATAGTTTTCATCGTATCGAAAAATTTAGTGGGGTTTTGACATTTTCATGGCATAAGAATTGGCTAAATTTCATAGTTTTGTGATCATAGTAAAAGGTGTAGTCGATTTTCTAGTAAATTTCCTGCGCAACGATTTTCGGGATATTGAAAACTCGGTATGATGCTAAAACTGAATTTTTCCAGCAGCTGGCAAAAAATCCATCGAAATTTGTTAACCTTATTAAACCCCTTATTATCAAGGTTGTCGCGACGCTGTTGCGGTAGGGGACGGCGCTGAGGTAGGACAAGTGTAGGTGACCGGGGTGGCGGTGGTGGGGGAAGTCCGACGATGCGACTCAGCAACGGTGGCTGCTCGGGCTCAGGTCGCAGCGGGAGCATCCGCTTCACGCATCCGTCTGTACTTGCCGATACGGTTGATACGGATGATGAGTCGATATGGCGGAGTGGTGGTAGTGTGCTCGTCGGATCGTAGGGGAGAGCGACCAGTTCGAGCCCCTCCGAGGGGGCTCCGACCGGGGCACATCCCGCTAGGGAGGCCAATGGTGCAGTTCTGGGGGGTCAGCCTAATAAAGAAAAAGAATAATGAGGCCTAATAGAAGAAATTGAATTGATAGATCCGCGGAAAAAGAAATATATAAGGATTTTTTTAATTCAAAGGGCGTCTTGCTTTAGACCCGAATTTGCGTTTCAGCTCATTTAAAATATTATTTCTAGGCCATATAAATAACCGTAAGCAAAAAGCCATTAACAATAGCTAAAGTGAAAAATACATTTAATTTTGCTATATACGAGTTCTGAATAAATATATGTATTCTAAATCGAACGGTCGGGGCAAAATTGGTATTTGCATTGCTTAGGTTCGTATTCAAATTAATTCAATTTTTGATATAACTAATTTTAACGGAAATACAGATTTTTAAATGAAATAGATTATCATCTGTGTTCCAAGTCAAATAAAAAAATTGATTAATTTCCATGCAAATTCAATAATTTCATCGATGAAGCTAATTTTTCCAAAATAATTCCTAAGACTTTTCAAAAAAAGTAAGTAAGTAATTCTGAAGGCTGAATCCATTTGAATCTTAAGCTCAAAGAAAACAGCCATCATCGCATCGCGGCGAAACATATAACACGGGTTGAAACAAAGGGGGGTCTACCCCCCTTACCCCCGGCGGGGGTCTGGAGGTCGGAGAGGCGGGAAAGATTCGGAAAAGTTTTGGAGGGGGGCAACGGCAGAGGCCTAAGAGCTCGATTCGGAAGTGAATTACTCGCCCTGGGTACGCCTTTGAGAGCTTTTCGTGAGTGTGTATGTATGTGGAAGCAAGGAGCCATGGAAGTGGGGACAGACAGCACCCACCCAACCCAAAATGGCGCGTCCAAAGGCGAAAACCTCGTGTGAAAAAGGTGCCATGTCACTTAGCGCTTGAATTTCGTGGGCCAATGGGCGCAGGGGGGGCTTTTAACGGTTGCTTGAGAGGTTGGGTAAGGTTTTTCAAGGGGGTTTGGGAGCTGGATAAGTAAGCTGAAGGCGTATGAATGCCAAAACTGGTCGTACTCAAGAGTGGACCTTGCTTGCTATTGCGCCCTAATTGACTTAAAGTCCCGATTTCCCTCAGAGAGGTGGCCCTGATTTCCCCTTGAGATTGGTGCTTTAATTAAAAGGGCAGGCAGCGCACAGGGGCCATTTCGATCTTGGAAGGTGGGCTACGAAAAGGAATAGAGTTCATTTTACTGTAAAAATCCGCATAAAATTTCGAGCGCATTTTTTATGGCAGCATTTTTTCTAGTTTAAACATTACGCATTAAGGCCAATATGGATGACGAGCGAATAAAGATGCAAATTGAAGAAATAAAAATTATACGGAGAAATCTCAATTTTTTTAATTTATAGTTTCTAGTTTGATTAACCTATATATACGCAAGCCACTGACTCCTTGCCAAGCCTAAAAATAGTGGTGGGACAAAGAAAGGTTATTTGGTGGGTTGCAGGTCTCCATTAGCGAGGGCCAATCAACAGCTCCGAGCTCTTGGAGACCGTAGCGCTCCAATTGGATTCGGGTGCCCACCTCCTCGCTTACACTTAGGGGAGCCCCCCAAGACCCTTCTGCTTCTTCTTCGTCTTCTGCCCTCCCATACACATAACTGCATTCCCTCACCCCCCAACAACTATATGCCCCTGGGTGGACCCGAAAACCTAGTGGTCACTAGGATGGGTGGGGGGCCAGACGGAAGACGAACGGCTTCTATAGCTTTTTTTGGGAGGAAAACGGAGAAAAACGGGCGAAGACTGGAATGGCTGGAACTGGAGATTACTTGAAATTTGCCTACGAATTCTGGAAACACCTATAAAAATAATGTAGCGTACCCCGTTCCCCTCCTCTAGCGGTCTGGAATTTGTGATTTTTGCACTCCCGGATAATCGAGAGCCCAAGGAATATTTTTAAGAACGCGTTTATCATGCGTTTGGTATAATAATTGTTCCGAGAACCCGGGGTTTACAGTAGAAATTAACTAATGTTATAACGATCCCATAAAAATTTGCCATTTTTGCGATTTTAAGCCGGAAAGAACAGAAATAAGCTACCTAATCCGGAAGTAAAAGCAATTGCTTGGCATGTCTTTTCGAGCTTTTGATCCCTACGTACCATCCAAAAAAATACACGCTATCGGTTAAGGGACTTTTTGAAAAACCGGATAGGATTCACGCCATTCGAAGTGCAAAGTATTAAAAGTAAAATATCAGACCATTTGCTCGATACTATAAAAGTGAACAAGCATACTTTGCAAAATCCCAAAAAGGCTCCTACCTACCCGAAGGGCATGGAACAGACGAACGACGAAAAACATGGTTCAGCCGATCCGCTCGAATTTCTTTAGTCAAAACCGATGGCTGCCGTATTCAAGGTCCGGCCCACGCCGCTACGATCCCTTTGTTGTGAAGAATGGCGCGTTCGTTTTTATGTTTCGCGGGCGCGTAATATGTTTTTTTGCGGTTGGGATTAGTGGTAATTTGGGTATATCGGGAACGATTCGTATTTTCAACATGTAAAGGATGTTTGGTAAAGCGGCTTAAGAATCGGTTACGCTTGAATTGTTCAATTCAGTGGTTTGAATGGACTTAAAGATGCTGGATCAAAATTTGAAAAGTTAGCGTTTTGCCGCAAAATACACTACACTATTATTAAAAATCATGACGTTTTTACAGCTAGACAGGAATAGAAAACTCCAAGGTATCAAATTTTTTTTATGATTGTGCGACTATTTCTAAAGTTCTAAAATCGCAAAAACCCCTGCCTCTTGAAGCAGTAGTAAATGAAAAAGTAGAATTAGGTTAAATTATCAACTGCCTAGCTTAGCAACTGCCATTAACATTTAATAAAGTCACGGTTATTCAATTCATAAATGAAACAATTACCAGCGTCCTATAATACACTTCCAATCAAACGCTTCCGGTGCATCAAGTGTATTCTATATACCGCTCCATTCTAACCCGCGCACATTCCCCGGGGAACATTATGTCCCTTCTCCCGTTTTTTTTCTCTCCTTTGCATCCACTTCCCCGCACTTTTTTGCCACCCCGCGTACATTTTACAATGTAATCGGAGCCGTGCGGGCGGCTTGTTTTCATTTTGTGCCACATCCCCCACCCCGGGGCCATATTTGGGGGCAAGGATGCGCTGTGAGGACTAGAAAGTGGCTAAAGTCGTGGAGGCTCTTCCTCTTCTTGCGGTCGTCTTGTTTGCAAAATCTAGGCCCAATTGAGCCGTTTGGTCCGGGGCAAAGAGGGGGGGGGGGGCGACGGCATGGGGTCCAGAAGGGAAAATGGCTGTGTATTTGTGTGGTTGTGGGTGGGTTAGATGGGCATCCGATCTCATGGAGAGGCCAAACGTTTCCAAAAGGGTGTGTAGTAGAGATGTTCTTATTCAAATATGGATATGGATAAGATTGGAATAATACTAATTAAAATATGGGCTTCCAATCCAAACAAAAATATCCTGATTAATTGAAAGACATTTTTTTAGCTATTTAGTCGGAAAAATTTCTGATCTGAGTCACTTCCACTTATTCAAATGGCTGATAGGAGCTGAAACCAGGAAACTTTTTTTGGCTAAGGATTTTTAGTCCAAGTTCAACCGGCCGCATACCTGGATTTTTCACAAATATTGTGACCCAACCTTTAGCCACCCAGGGGCTATTTTGTGAGGGGTCACCTGCCGCAAAAAAGTGGGAACTAGATCGATTTGTTTTGCCGTCACAGCCTGGGGAAGTGCTAGATCCCGGATAACAGTTGTTAGATTAAGTGTTTTCGCGGAGATGGGGCCGGGGAGGTGAAATATGGCCAAGGAACCGATTCTCAGTTAGGAACTCGCCGCAAAAGATTCAAAAAATGCATAAAAAAGGTTGACTATGTTGTGTTGAAGCCTTACTGTCTAATAAAAAACACCAGTTGATTCCGAGAATTTGAAAGCATTGTTTGGACATCCCTAGACAAAGCCCTTTTTGAAATTGACTACGTAGAAAGGAAAATCGGGAATTCCCGCGGGGGAAAGGGTCTGAGCCGGAAGCAAAAAAAAACAGGCGGCAGAATGGTCAGCTGGAAAGTTTAGCTTTGCTGATGACTTTTAGTAAATTGCGAATGTTATTACTTTATTGTAATCCGAAGACATCGCTGATGATTCCTAGATTCTGTTTTTCACCATGGGCACATAGACAAATTCAGGGATTTTGGACACCCCGAAACCATTTCTACAAAACTTAATTGGTATAAAAAATAGCTATTGTTTTAATGGATGGCCTGACTTTTAGAGAAAATTTTTGGAATGGTGGCTTTTCGGGAAAATATTTTTTTCGGTATCGTATCCATTTACCCAAATTCAGAAGAGTATCTACCCTAGACCCGATTATCTAGTCTCTACCCAATTCCTGTCTCGTCTGACTTCTGTTCCGGATTGCCCTGCTGCCGGCTATAAAATGGACATCTTTCTGTGGGAGGGGAAATGAGGGTTCGGATGGGCCTCACAGATTGGATGTGCTTCCGTGAGCACCCTCCACTGGCTCTTGACTCATAATCGGGTCCTACAGGGGGGGCCACAACACCCTACACCTTTATCCATATAGCCTTCCCTGCCCCCCCACCCCCGTAGGGTGTGATTTAGAAAAATGGAAGGTTGCGCTGGGTGTGGGCCGGCTGGTGGTCCGGGGCAAGGGGTAGAAAGTGCACATTTTATGGGCACTAACCACGGGCGGGTTCTTAAAACCATAGGTAGGCTTAAACTGAAAATGACAAAATTTCCCCACGTTTTTCAGATATTTGCTAGTTTTGGAGTCGCGTCAAGCCTTGAAAAACCTTCGGAGCTTTTGGGGGAGCCGCGCATCCG